TAGATTTGTGTTTAAATTCTTTCGGGTATTGACAAGAAGTCGTTAGAAGACCCCAACAGATTTTATCATTGTGACTTTATAAGTCAATCTGATTTATTTTTTCAAAAACTTTCTCATGCTTCATCCCAGAATCTTCCAACCCCAAAATATAATAATTCTAGGATTTTTGGTTACTGAGAAGTTGTTTGAATGTTTGAACAAAGACTGATGTGGCTTTCGATAAGGGTAAATTAATCTCTAATTTCACTCATGATCTATGTAAGTAAATGTTCTTTTTTTCTCAGAAAAATCCCCATACTTATCTCAGACCCTTTCGGCCAAATATCACGGTTCTATGCCTGTTGGTTGTTAGGAAGTTGCTTGAACGTTCTAACAAATATGTTTCTTGTGACAGAAGTCAATTTAATTATTTTCAAAACTTTCTCGGACCACATCCCAGAGCCTTCCGGTCAAATATCATGATTCTATGCATTTTGCTTATTTAGGAGAAATTAATTTTTTTAACAAACTTGACTCCTGTGACCTTCAAAATGGATCAAAGTCATTTCTTTTCGCAAACCTTTTTGAGCTCCATCCCATGAGCCTTCCAGTCAATTCTCAGTGTATTTTGGTTACTGAGAAGAAGTTGGTTAAATGGAATAGTTGATACCGGACCTATGATGAACGATGTATGTACATGGCATGCCACACCACAGTTCACCTGGCCCTTCGTGCTAGGTGAGCTAATAAATATTGAAGTTTGAACAGTGTTAATCAATCCCTTAATATATATAACTTCTATCAATATTTCCCCGAGATCTCAAGCACCCGACATTCAGAGTACGTGTAGTACAGAAGGTATATCCATGTGTCCCGAAACCTCGTATGAAGAGATACGAAATACGTTTGAAGTTATCAGTATATGACAAACGTTATAATAAAATGTGCGCTTTTAGTTTAAACAAGATTTATCGTAACTGTATTGAGACGAATTATAAAATAAATATTGTATGTAGATTTTCATGTAGCTTAAAATTGCACTCCGTTAAACCTGTTATCAGTGAATGGTCTCCAGGCTACAGAGACAACCACCGTGACGAAGTTGTCCTTGCACGTCTTCGAATGGGTCCTACATACCTTACACATTCATATATGTTGATGCAACTCTTAATGTAATAACGGCGCTTAATGTAGTAATTATTACAATAAGCGTTGCAACGGCTACGCTTAATGTAGTAAAGTTATTTTATTACAGTAAGCGGGGCAACTGTTACATTTAATTTAATAATTTTTTTTTAATTACATTTAGCGCCGAAACTGTACTATTGACAAATATAAGAAGGTCCTCAGTGTAATAAAATCCGAAATGAAGGGGGATATATGGAGTCTTCGGTTTTGTATTGTTATGTCATTTTGGGTATTTTTAGGGCCCCACATCGAGATGCGGAAGCCCTATAGGAATCCCCCTGTCCGTCCGTCCGTCCGGACGTACGGACGTCAGCACTTTTGTTTTCCGATGATAGCTTCAGTTATGATTAGATTAATGATTAGAATGCCATCAAACCTTGCATGTGGCTAAAATGCCAGTTACCTCACTTTTTGTATGCATACACATTATGATGACCCGCGTCAGCCGTGTCATATCAAAGACGTTTAAAATGGTACTCGAAGCTTCCCCCTTAAAACATTAATACTGCAAAGACAAGGAACTGAACGGCCTGGAGTCAGTATAACGGTGTGGGTAGTGGGTTGGGTACATGTATTGAGTCAGCCATGCATGCCATGTACCTATGACATTATCTGCAAATGACTTAAGCTGTTGCGCGGACGTTAATCGACAATACAACACCACCCTTTTTTGGTCCAACTTTCAAGGTCACGGAATCAAAAGGTTATTGCTTTGTGTTGTTTTTTTGTTATGCTGTTGCTAAGATATAGTTGCATTGATAAGACTTTTCGAAAATAGCTTTTTTAGCCAAAATGTATCACAATAATTCTTAAAACCAACATATTGTGTTTGAAAAAAATATTCGCTTTTTTTGGAAGGTCACAGGTTTTGGCTGTACCTTTTAGATTAAGAAGAAGAATTTACACGCGATCAAACTGCATATAATCTTATCCTCTTTAAATGATCAACACTGCATAACATAACATTGCAATATTGTATTCATGGAAACCTAGTCTCCTCACAGATCACCGTTGAAGACACGATGTAATCTGGATAAATAATAAAACAAATTTTATTCAAACCATTCATGATCAACAAGATAGATGTGATATTAAACTTAGAAACATGTGCCAGCACAACATCCATATGCTTTTAAGGCAACAAGAACTTCATCGTTATATGGTGAAGGTCTGTAAGTGAGTAATAGTATCACAGTACAAACACATTGATTAATTGTACCGTAACAGTATAAAAATTGTTACATTAGCGGTAATTTAAATACAACCACAACGCTTAGTGTAATAATTTATTTTGTATTACTCTAAGCGTAACAATTGCAACTCTTAATGTAATAAAGATAAGTTTATTACATTAAGCGTAACGGTCGCAACGCTTAATGTTACAATTATTACATTAACGCCGTTATTACATTAAGAGTTGCGTCATATGTTGAAAGGCGAAGATAATCCTTTGTGCATAGGATGTGATGAGCCATTCACCGTTAACCATTTTATTTGACTGCAGTGACCTTCGGTCTACTCGAGAACGTTTTAACCGTAACATTTCAAGTCTAAAATCCCTTTTTGAAACTGTTGAAATTTGTAAAACTCTAGATTACCTGAAAGATGTTGGTCTATATAATAGATTAAGGCGTACCATTTTAATCTTTTGTGTTAACATACCCATTTAAGATATTTAACATTTGTCTTTTACCTTTTGGTTTGTTTAATGTCAATTTTCCTTTGGATCGTTGTGTGTTTTACCGTTTGATGGCCCTAATGACATTTTATATGTTGACGAGCCGTTAAGAATGTAATAATAATAATGATAATAGCATTCCGAAGCTTTTCATCTCGGGGAAAAGCAAATAAACTTACTTGCTGTCCACGATTACTACTGTTGTTACAACTGATGGCCGCACATTGTACCATGTTGACATCTGGCGTTTGTTTACAATTTTTCTGCTTGACAGATAGCGCGGATTTTTTGCAATGAAAGCGTTTGTCACATATGACGTCACGGATAAGGGCGATAACTCAGTCATGGCCTTTGTGTTTCGCAAGATCGACTGAAGAACAGCAGTTTTTAAAAACTCAATTAATTTACCAAACACTCTAAATTTGTGTAAAATAGCACGTTTTTGTTTTTTATGATACTTTTATAACACTCTGGCATCATCGGCAGTTATTTTATGGGTTTTGGCTTTCTGTCACCTTTAATAGATAAATATATTTAACATACCTGTTCTAACGTTACTATTTTCTGAACATACATAATATCATAATGGATCTGATTTCCGCCAAAATGTCGAACACTTTCAAAAAAAACATGTCGCCTCAGTCTAAACTGTATTTCACTCTTTGACAAGAGACTCGTCATCTCAGTCTAAATTGTTTTCCACTAGGATACAGAAACTCGTCACCTCAGTCTAAATTGTTTTCCACTCGGAGACAGAAACTCAGTCTAAAGTGTTTTTCACATGCATACAAAGATTCAACACCTCAATCTAAAATGTATGTCAATATAGCACTCGATTACCCTTTGATCTGTTTTGATGATCAAGAACAGATACACAAATGTAGCATTGAAATACGATTTTGATATGCTCAGAACACTACCATCACGTGTTGTGAAGGTGGACATCATAAGGTATGTCCCTCTAATTGTGTGATGTTGTACAGGTGGCATTGGGGGTGATGTTTCTAGTAACCTTGTGTTATACAGGTGGTGTTTAGTTACCTTGTGTTATATAGGTGGTGTATTTATTTACCTTGTGTTATATAGGTGGTGTTGGGGTGGTGTGTTTAGTAACCTTGTGGTGTACAGTTAGTGTTGAGGTGGTGTGTTTAGTTACCTTGTGGTGTACAGGAGGTGTTGTAGTGGTGTGTTTAGTTACCTTGTGTTATACAGGTGGTATTGGGGTGGTATGTTTAGTTACCTTGTGGTGTACAGGAGGTGTTGTAGTGGTGTGTTTAGTTACCTTGTGGTGTACAGTTGGTGATTGGGTGGTTTGTTTAGTTACCTTGTGTTATATAGGGGTTGTTTGGTTGATAATTTACCCAGGTATCAAGCTCATCAAAAAACAACATCTCATCGAAATCATATTTTATTTCATATCACATCAGATATTTAATATAAGACACACTTATAATAGTAATAGCAAATTTCAACAAACCAGTTGGTGGTGTGTTTAGTTACCTTGTGTTATATAGGTGGTGTGTTTAGTTACCTTGTGTTGTATAGGTGTTAGGGGGTGTGTTTAGTTACCTTGTGTTGTATAGGTGTTTGGGTGGTGTGTTTAGTTACCTTGTGCTGTATAGGTGTTAGGGTGGTGTGTTTAGTTACCTTGTGTTGTATAGGTGTTAGGGTGGTGTGTTTAGTTACCTTGTGTTGTATAGGTGTTAGGGTGGGTGTTTAGTTACCTTGTGTTATATAGGTGTTAGGGTGGTGTGTTTAGTTACCTTGTGTTGTATAGGTGTTAGGGTGGTGTGTTTAGTTACCTTGTGTTATATAGGTGTTTGGGTGGTGTGTTTAGTTATCTAGTGTTGTATAGGTGTTTGGGTGGTGTGTTTAGTTACCTAGTGTTATATAGGTAGTGGGGTTATACAGGTTGTGTTGGGGATGTTTATAATTACTTTGTATTGTACAGTTGGTTTATTGCTGATGTGTTTAGTTACCGTGTGTTGTATAGGTGTTAGGGTGGTGTGTTTAGTTACCGTGTGTTGTATAGGTGTTAGGGTGGTGTGTTTAGTTACCTTGTGTTATATAGGTGTTTGGGTGGTGTGTTTAGTTATCTAGTGTTGTATAGGTGTTTGGGTGTGTTTAGTTACCTAGTGTTATATAGGTAGTGGGGTTATACAGGTTGTGTTGGGGATGTTTATAATTACTTTGTATTGTACAGTTGGTTTATTGCTGATGTGTTTAGTTACGGTGTGTTGTATAGGTGTTAGGGTGGTGTGTTTAGTTACCGTGTGTTGTATAGGTGTTAGGGTGGTGTGTTTAGTTACCTTGTGTTGTATAGGTGTTAGGGTGTGTGTTTAGTTACCTTGTGTTATATAGGTGTTTGGGTGGTGTGTTTAGTTACCTAGTGTTGTATAGGTGTTAGGGTGGTGTGTTTAGTTACCGTGTGTTGTATAGGTGTTAGGGTGGTGTGTTTAGCTACCTTGTGTTATATAGGTAGTGGAGTTATACAGGTTGTGTTGGGGATGTTTATAATTACTTTGTATTGTACAGTTGGTGTATTGCTGATGTGTTTAGTTACCGTGTGTTGTATAGGTGTTGGGTGGTGTGTTTAGTTACTGTGTGTTGTATAGGTGTTAGGGTGGTGTGTTTAGTTACCTTGTGATATATAGATAGTGGGGTTATACAGGTTGTGTTGGGGATGTTTATAATTACTTTGTATTGTACAGTTGGTGTATTGCTGATGTGTTTAGTTACCGTGTGTTGTGTTGTGTTGTGTTTTTTTCATATGTTTTATATGTTCAAATAGATAAAAATTAAATACAGTTGGGTTTATGTTGGAGCCATGGATGGCATCATGACTTCATTTCCTTTTCATAGACACCAGTCTTTTTTGCTAGATCAACAGTGGGTATGAGTCCTCCCTTTTCCAGTTTTTTCATCTCGTTATTTGTATGAGATTCCTTTGAGTTCTGTGATCTTTTCTCCAGGTCCATGTAAATTTTAAACATTACTACTGTTGCTAAAGTACACATAATTAGAGAGAGAATGTGGTCTTTTCTTGTCAACTCATTTGGATTCCTGAAAGTAAAACAACATGTACAGGATAAGATTGAAATAAAACAATGTGTACAGGATAAGGTTGAAATAAAACAACATGTACAGGATAAGATTGAAATAAAACAACATGTACAGGATAAGATTGAAATAAAACAACATGTACAGGATAAGATTGAAATAAAACAACATGTACAGGATAAGATTGAAATAAAACAACGTGTACAGGATAAGGTTGAAATAAAACAACGTGTACAGGATAAGGTTGAAATAAAACAACATTTACAGGATAAGGTTGAAATAAAACAATGTGTACAGGATAAGATTGAAATAAAACAACATGTACAGGATAAGGTTGAAATAAAACAACATGTACAGGATAAGGTTGAAATAAAACAACATGTACAGGATAAGGTTGAAATAAAACAATGTGTACAGGATAAGATTGAAATAAAACAACATGTACAGGATAAGATTGAAATAAAACAACGTGTACAGGATAAGATTGAAATAAAACAACATGTACAGGATAAGGTTGAAATAAAACAACATGTACAGGATAAGGTTGAAATAAAACAACATGTACAGGATAAGGTTGAAATAAAACAACATGGACAGGATAAGGTTGAAATAAAACAACATGTACAGGATAAGATTGAAATAAAACAACGTGTACAGGATAAGATTGAAATAAAACAACATGTACAGGATAAGGTTGAAATAAAACAACATGTACAGGATAAGGTTGAAATAAAACAACATGTACAGGATAAGGTTGAAATAAAACAACATGGACAGGATAAGGTTGAAATAAAACAATGTGTACAGGATAAGGTTGAAATAAAACAATGTGTACAGGATAAGGTTGAAATAAAACAATGTGTATAGGATAAGGTTGAAATAAAACAATGTGTACAGGATAAGATTGAAATAAAACAACATGTACAGGATGAGGTTGAAATAAAACAATGTGTACAGAATAAGATTGAAATAAAACAACATGTACAGGATAAGGTTGAAATAAAACAACATGTACAGGATGAGGTTGAAATAAAACAATGTGTACAGGATGAGGTTGAAATAAAACAACATGTACAGGATAAGGTTGAAATAAAACAACATGTACAGGATAAGATTGAAATAAAACAATGTGTACAGGATAAGGTTGAAATAAAACAATGTGTACAGGATAAGATTGAAATAAAACAACATGTACAGGATAAGGTTGAAATAAAACAACATGTACAGGATAAGGTTGAAATAAAACAACATGTACAGGATGAGGTTGAAATAAAACAATGTGTACAGGATGAGGTTGAAATAAAACAACATGTACAGGATAAGGTTGAAATAAAACAACATGTACAGGATAAGATTGAAATAAAACAATGTGTACAGGATAAGGTTGAAATAAAACAATGTGTACAGGATAAGATTGAAATAAAACAACATGTACAGGATAAGGTTGAAATAAAACAACATGTACAGGATAAGGTTGAAATAAAACAACATGTACAGGATAAGGTTGAAATAAAACAATGTGTACAGGATAAGATTGAAATAAAACAACATGTACAGGATAAGATTGAAATAAAACAACGTGTACAGGATAAGATTGAAATAAAACAACATGTACAGGATAAGGTTGAAATAAAACAACATGTACAGGATAAGGTTGAAATAAAACAACATGTACAGGATAAGGTTGAAATAAAACAATGTGTACAGGATAAGATTGAAATAAAACAACATGTACAGGATGAGGTTGAAATAAAACAACATGTACAGGATGAGGTTGAAATAAAACAACATGTACAGGATGAGGTTGAAATAAAACAACATGTACAGGATAAGATTGAAATAAAACAACATGTACAGGATGAGGTTGAAATAAAACAATGTGTACAGGATAAGATTGAAATAAAACAACATGTACAGGATAAGGTTGAAATAAAACAACATGTACAGGATAAGGTTGAAATAAAACAACATGTACAGGATAAGGTTGAAATAAAACAACGTGTACAGGATAAGATTGAAATAAAACAACATGTACAGGATAAGGTTGAAATAAAACAATGTGTACAGGATGAGGTTGAAATAAAACAACATGTACAGAATAAGGTTGAAATAAAACAACATGTACAGGATAAGATTGAAATAAAACAATATGTACAGGATAAGGTTGAAATAAAACAATATGTACAGTACAGATAAGGTTGAAATAAAACAACATGTACAGGATAAGGTTGAAATATGTACAGGATAAGGAAATAAAACAATGAAATAAAACAATGTGTACAGGATAAGATTGAAATAAAACAACAGGATAAGATGTACAGGACAGGATAAGGTTGAAATAAAACAACATGTACAGGATAAGGTTGAAATAAAACAATATGTACAGGATAAGGTTGAAATAAAACAATGTGTACAGGATAAGGTTGAAATAAAACAACATGTACAGGATAAGGTTGAAATAAAACAATATGTACAGGATAAGGTTGAAATAAAACAACATGTAAATAAAACAACATGGATAAGGTTGAAATAAAACAATGTGTACAATGTGTACAGGATAAGATTGAAATAAAACAACATGTACAGGATAAGGTTGAAATAAAACAACATGTACAGGATGAGGTTGAAATAAAACAACGTGTACAGGATAAGATTGAAATAAAACAACATGTACAGGATAAGGTTGAAATAAAACAACATGTACAGGATGAGGTTGAAATAAAACAACATGTACAGGATGAGGTTGAAATAAAACAACATGTACAGGATAAGAAATAAAACAATGGTTGAAATAAAACAACATGTACAGGATAAGAAATAAAACAATGTGTACAGGATAAAAATAAAACAACAGGATGTAAGCATAAGGTTGAAATAAAACAACATGTACAGGATAAGGTTGAAATAAAACAATGTGTACAGGATTAGATTGAAATAAAACAACATGGACGGGATAAGATTGAAATAAAACAATGTGTACAGGATAAGATTGAAATAAAACAACATGTACAGGATAAGGTTGAAATAAAACAACATGTACAGGATGAGGTTGAAATAAAACAACATGTACAGGATAAGGTTGAAATAAAACAACATGTACAGGATAAGGTTGAAATAAAACAATGTGTACAGGATAAGATTGAAATAAAACAACATGTACAGGATTAGGTTGAAATAAAACAATGTGTACAGAATAAGATTGAAATAAAACAATGTGTACAGGATAAGGTTGAAATAAAACAATGTGTACAGGATAAGGTTGAAATAAAACAATGTGTACAGGATAAGGTTGAAATAAACCAATATGTATAGGATAAAATACTCATATTTTAACATTGGGATATAAAGAATATAAAATGCTTTATACTGTTTTTATCCTCAAATAAATGCCTCTTCCCTAGAATACATGCTTAGTATCCAAGTTAACTTAGCATACTAGCATACTATTTTAAAACTGATGATTCTGAAAAAATAAAGAAGGGGATTCTTGTGGGCAGGGATGTATTTGAGATATATTGTAAATGTGGCAGATGAATCAAACAGGCTCAATGGTTTCTGAGTAGAACTGTTAACAGAATTAATTTTTATACTCAAATAAGAAGCTAAACTGGATATACATTAAGAATGTAACAAGTTGACAATACAAAACTCAACAGACATGAAATAAATAAACCTATCGAATGTTTATGTTGATTGATCCAGTGACACTAATACAGGGACACTCAACTAGGTTGACTGATCCAGTGACAATAATACAGGGACACTGATCAAGGTTGACTGATCCAGTGACAATAATACAGGGACACTGATCAAGGTTGACTGATCCAGTGACACTAATACAGGGACACTGATCCAGTGACACTAATACAGAGACACTCAACTAGGTTGATTGATCCAGTGACAATAATACAGGGACACTGATCAAGGTTGACTGATCCAGTGACAATAATACAGGGACACTGATCAAGGTTGACTGATCCAGTGACAATAATACAGGGACACTGATCTAGGTTGACTGATCCAGTGACAATAATACAGGGACAATGACCTTGGTTGACTGATCCAGTGACAATAATACAGGGACACTGATCAAGGTTGACTGATCCAGTGACAATAATACAGGGACACTGATCAAGGTTGACTGATCCAGTGACAATAATACAGGGACACTGATCTAGGTTGACTGATCCAGTGACAATAATACAGGGACACTGATCTAGGTTGACTGATCCAGTGACAATAATACAGGGACACTGATCAAGGTTGACTGATCCAGTGACAATAATACAGGGACACTGATTAAGGTTGACTGATCCAGTGACAATAATACAGAGACACTGATCAAGGTTGACTGATCCAGTGACAATAATACAGGGACACTGATCAAGGTTAACTGATCCAGTGACAATAATACAGGGACACTGATCCAGTGACAATAATACAGAGACACTGATCAAGGTTGACTGATCCAGTGACAATAATACAGGGACACTGATTAAGGAACACTGATACAGGAACACTGATCCAGTGACACTAATACAGGGACACTGATCCAGTGACACTAATACAGGGACACTGATCTAGGTTGACTGATCCAGTGACAATAATACAGGGACACTGATCCAGGTTGACTGATCCAGTGACAATAATACAGGGACACTGATCTAGGTTGACTGATCCAGTGACAATAATACAGGGACACTGAACTAGGTTGACTGATCCAGTGACAGTAATGCAGGGACATTGATCTAGGTTGACTGATCCAGTGACAATAATACAGGGACACTGATACAGGGACACTGATTAAGGGACACTGATACAGGGGCACTGATTAAGGGACACTGATACAGGGACACTGATACAGGTAATATAACATGTCATTTATTACAGTGTACCTGATCTAATAGCAGTAGTGGTTTTGGGAATAACCATAAAATCACTAGAACTGACCAGAATATTAGTAGAAAGCTTCAGAAGCAACACTTTGCATTACAGACAGATCCCAAGAACTAACAACATATGGTCAGGATAATTATGATGCAGTCATGTTAAAAATTGCTACTGTGACTGTTATAACAAAGTTTGATGAGGTTGAAAAATAACAACCTTTAGTCACCTTCTGCTGTAGACATCCCCACCAATTTTTACCTCAATGTCATCAAAGGACTTTTGGTCCAAACCAAAACATAACCCTTGGTAAGGAAATCTCTAGACCATTCTAGACAAGTTTGAACTAAATCCCAATGATAGAGCTTGAGAAGTTTAATATGTGAAAAGTTAACTGACAGCAGACAATAATTTAAGAAACACAATGGCTATGGGTCATCCCGACTTGTTGGGTCAGATGACTGAAAGAAATGACAACAAGTTATGTAATAATTACGAAAGTATAGTATTAAAAGCTGCAATCAATGGCAACAATTTTGCATAAAGTGTAAGCAAGGTATTATAGGACTTTGTTTTATATAGATCTTTTATCACCATTTTCACAAAAATGTGGTTATTATATGTAGATTTCATAAAAGTTTTTAAGTAATTTTTGAATATACTCTCACCATTTTGAATCTCGATCTTTGCAGCTCATATCATGTTCCATGAATGGACTTGCATGTTCACGTTCAAAGGCACGTGCACGTTCATAGGCACGTGCACGTTCATGTTCTAAGTCCCTATCCTCCCAATATTTTTGACGTCTGTAAAACATTTCCTGGTCAAAATTTCCATGCTGCTTCTGATGGCTGTAAAACTTATTGTCATTTGACTCTTGCTGCTGACGTTTTGTCCGACGGGAAATGGTATGATCATAATCCTGTCTTTTAACTTTGTTACTTAGGACTTCATATGCTTCTACTACATCTAGGAAAGAAGCAGTACACGCCCCTTTGTTGAGATCTGGGTGATATTTCTTGGACAATTTGAAGTAGGCTGATTTTATCTCTGATTCACTGGCATTCTTCTCTAGATTAAGAATCTTGTAATAGTCTTTCTGTGACCCAGAGTTCTGAGTGAAAGTTCTATATAGAGTATGTACAGTGGACCACAATGGAATACAAGGTGTATGTATTTTAGAAATTTGAACGCTGTGGTAAATCACATTTAGTGTACACAAGTTCCTATACTGACACTTCCTGATCTCTCCAACATGCTGCTTGCTAACTTGGTTCTGTGCGAACACTTTGAGAAGACTTGGAAGTTTTGGATACTGGCAGCATCGTGACCATTCTACACGTGGTAAATTTAGGAGCATTATTGTAGGTCAGTAACCAGGTTTCCTTTCCAATGTACTTCATACATACCTGTCAATCTTCTGCTGAAATATATAGAGGATACTCCATGATTTCAAGATGAAAATCAAATATCACATTTATATCAATGCACATGCATGTACAAAGTCAATATTGGCATGGGAGGTTGGGCGTTGGCTCAGGTTAATTTCTTCAAGCACTTTCAAATATTACAACACAAAATTTTTCGTTAAAATACTGTTTGTTTTAAAACAAAGTCACTTTTTACAGTGTTGTTTGCAGTAATAATCATACTAATTAATGGGAAAAGCAAAATCCTGGCTAGGACGATCCCTTTATCCCAGCAAGCTACTGGCCTAATATCAGTACCCTGGGCCTTTTGGTTATTGAGGAGAAGTTTTTTAAGGTTTTAACACATTTGGCTCCTGTGATTTTAAAAGTAGGTGAAGGTCATTCATTTGGACAAACTTGGTACACTGTTTTCCCACTATGCTAAAGGATTATTATCATTACCCTTGGCCTTTCCTTTTCGAGAAGAAGCTGTTTGAAAGTTTTTTAACACATTTGACCCCTGTGACCTTGAAAGTGGGTCAAGGTAATTTATTGTGGCAAACTTGGTAGAACATCGTCCTAGCAGGCCACAGGTCCAATATCAGTACTCTGGGTCTTTTAGTTGAAGGTAAGAAGTTGTTAGAAGATTTTCATACATTTTACCCATGTGACCTTGAAAGTGGGTCAAAGTCATTCATTTAAACAAATTTGGTAGCCCTCCATTTCAACATGTTACAGGTCCAACATCAGTACCCTGGGCCTTACCATTATTGAGAAGAAGTTGTTTGAAGTGAAAATTTAACACCAGACTTCTTGCCAGGTGAACTAAAATAATAAGTATTTAAACCGACAAACAAGAGTTGTAAACAATTTGACAGGTGTGCAGACTGCAGCAACATATTATCCATCAAACTCATACATAAATAAATTCAAATGCTGTTCATACTATAAGATTTATTAAAAAGACTGATTGATGAAACACCAGTGTTTTCCCTTGAACAGGAATATCATTTCGATAACAAAATAAAAACAAAATAAATTCCAAGAGTGGTGGATATCTGTGATTATCTGTGCACTTTTCTAAAGGGTTTGATTCAAGGTATTTTTTGTTCTTTTTGATTCTGTTTTTTTACTCCAATGAGCCATATTTCTTTGTAAACTTCTTTTTTATAATAAAACCTATTCAAGCAAAGATTTTTCATCTTTCAGTCTACCATTCTCTAGTTAAATAAAATCAGAAAGGAGTCATCAAAAGTAATAATTTCAAAATCATGTTTTCAATGCATGTTTGGACTTCTGCAGTCAAAAAAATGCAAGAAGCTGTGGCTTATTATTCATGGTCAATTTTTATTCACATGACAGATGACATCAAAACATTGGCATTCGATGTTGAATTCTTGAATTATTTCATCATACCAGGAGGGTGTTTGACATGTAAAATTGTGTGTACTAAGAAAAAACACAAATATACCAGTGAAATATTAGCTCATAACATCTTATGGTGAATTGAGTAAATCACAATTTTTATTCTTTCGGAAGCATGACATGTTACAGCAATAAAAATTATCAGGCCAATAGTTCATGTGATACGGCACGACAACATGACCGCTCCGAAATACAAAACGGTCCGAAACCGATGTCGAGCACATATTATGCAACAGGACCGAGTCCTGAATACACAATCATGTCGATCGTGAATACACAATCATACCTCGACCAAAAATTTCTGTCTCTCAAAATAGCACTGCTAATATAATGTAAATATCATTAACCGTATAGTAAATGTGAATTCTGACATCAAATTATCATTTTAGAGACATAAATTTTCGGTGTTAGTACAGTACATCGTACCGAGTCAGTCACGTCAGTTATTTTAAATTGTGGCAAATGACATGTTATTTATCACGGCAGAGTACGTTCATGATGGCATCATGTTAACTTTAAAAGAGCTTACTAATTGTGATTATGGAAATTTACTATTTTTGCACGGGAGTACTTATTATAACCTACCATGTCGCCTAACAAGGTCTTAGCTCCTAACATTCTTGCACTGGATCGACATCATCTAAAAGCTTGAGAAACGAGATCACCGTTAACATTATGTTTGACGCGTACGGGATTAAAGTTAACGCTACTTCGGGAAATATTTCAGTCAGCACTTATTTTAAAGTTTTAATGAATTTGATAAACTATAATTAAAATAAAGATCATACAATTGTTGGCATCAAGATCCACCTGACATCTTTTTTAGGCATTTATGTGTATGGAGTTAACCAACTTTGTTTCCAGAACACAGTCAATTTTGTTTTCCAAATCAATCTCAAAATTGCTTTTGCACATAGGGCTAGACAGAACGTATATATATACATCATTTCAGGATCCATCCTTCATTTTTTAATAACGAAAACAAACTTTTAACTTTCAAAATAAAAAATTACCATCACTAAGTCTCGTATTTAGTGAAGTATAACTAGAAAAACAACATAACCTTCATTTGAAAGCGAAACACCCATAAAATATTTTAATTGATTAATTGTGGGATAAATGACTTAGTAATAGGATACATTTTAATGGAAAATGATACAAGGCTCTATATCAATTCATGTCAGATTATACAATTGATAAGAATTTAAAAATTCAAAGTACCAAATGAGATAGAAAATCATTGAATATGCCAGTTATGTAGAATTTTGAAGTTCAAGAAAGACTGACCTCAGAATATGCTGTGTGGAATATTGAAGCGCAATTAAGATACAGTTGTAGATTGATCTCAGAATACCTGCTATATGAAATTTAGGATTCCACGATAGACTGACCTATGGATTCCATGATAGACTGACCTATGGATTCCATGATAGACTGACCTATGAGAATGCTAGTTATGTGGAATTTGGAATTCCACGTTAGACTGACCTATGAGAATGCTAGTTATGTGGAATTTTGAATTCCACGTTAGACTGACCTATGAGAATTCCACGTTAGACTGACCTATGAGAATGCTAGTTATGTGGAATTTTGAATTCCACGTTAGACTGACCTATGAGAATGCTAGTTATGTGGAATTTTGGATTCCATGATAGACTGACCTATGAGAATGCTAGTTATGTGGAATTTTGAACTCCACGTTAGACTGACCTATGAGAATGCTAGTTATGTGGAATTTTGGATTCCATGATAGACTGACCTATGAGAATGCCGGTTACCGTATATGGAATTTTGGATTCTCATTTTTAATTTTTTTTATTCCTACACAATCTTTTGAGATAGTTGGAAACACTTCATTAATTTCACAATGGTATTTTTTGCAGAAATTGGTCTGGTCTCCTTAGGCATTGTGCTTTTGTCTAGTATTGAAACTGAACTATCAGGTCAGCACCATGTCCTGGTTTAGTATGACATGACTTGTTCTGAAAATGTAAGTGTTTGTCGACTGTCTTGTCACCGTAGGCAGTAACACAGCCTCGATATCACCAAACTTAATATATGTTAAATGTAATGAAAATAAAACTTCAAAAATTGTCTTCAAAGCAAGTTTATTCTTCATGCACACTAGAAGTTCCATTCCAAAAAGAACACAGACTAGTGTTTAATGGTTTTTGTCCATAATACAATCCAATCTATACAAAACAATACTTACAAAAAGGAACAATTACACACCAACATTCCCCATACATACTGAACCATTATAAAAATTGTTACAAACTAATGTTATCTGCATTAGATCTAGACAGATAATAACAACTTGTACTTTTTACAGGTTTAAAATAACATTAAATCTGCATTGAAACCAAACACATAATTTATTATACTTTTTTAACTCACTCATTCATATTGAGGCTGTCTGGATTTCAACACATTGTTTACGGTAGAAATGAATAAATATCCTCGGTGTTTTTTTCCATTTTGATGTCTTGAATACATTTCAATCATAACTAGTCTGAATTTCCTCTTTCTCGGACACCAAATATTACGACAGTTTGAAGAGACAACTGGTTAAGGAGCCAGAGGAAAATCAAGCTAAGTCAGAATGTTATAACAATATCTCCAAGATACTACGATGAGATCTGAATTACATCAGGTAGTGTCAATATTATTATTATTACATTCTTAACAGCTCGTCAACTCATAAAAGGTCATTTGGGTCATCAAACGGTGAAAGTGTCAATATAAGTGTTTTATTCACTATGGTAGTAGTGTATATGTATACTGTTAGACTGATGATACCAATCTCTACAACAATTCATAAACAGATATAAATACATGTTCTTTTATATAAGATTTACTTATAATTGATAGACCCTGAACTTTTTTTCTTGAAGTAACCCAAATCTGATTAAAATAAGATATCTTGTTTCTCTCAGTTACACAGTGGTGAATGACAAATCTGATTTAAGAAATCCCTACCCATCCACCATCACACCTACATAAAATGTGATTAAGGAAAATCAATTTTATTGAAATACCTGTATCACGATAATCAGGTTATGTTGTAAGTGAGACAAACTTGAAGAAACAAAAGGAAAACTGCCATTGTAAACCTAAAGTTCCAGTACTAACAGGTTCAGACACAAGTCAGCCACTTACTGCAAAAGTTGACACTAAATTATATCATTACATAGAAAACAGAATATCACAGTTTAAGAAAAATTGATTTTACACATTTTATTCCTCAAATTAGCAAGTTATATATTTATATATTTTGTTGTATGAATACATTTCAGTATTTCCTTCTATACTGAACCTTAATGACACAAGTACACAACAACAAACTATACCTACTACAAGATATTGATATGTTGTCAATGACAGATTACTGTTGGAGGATTGAACTTATAATTTCTATTTTATCAGATGGTGATAGTCAACCATGATAGATTCTTTCAATAGAAAATTACAAAATCATTTTTTCACGCCAGTAAAATCAAATACTGAATTAGACTATAAAATTCCATGATTATTTAAAATTTATGATAATCAGCACCAGTATTTACAACTGTAGCCGTACAACACCAGTATATATTGTAACATTACAGCTCTAGTATTTGCTGTTACTGCACTGAATCAGTATGTATCGCAGTAGTACATCATTAGTATGTATTGTAAGAGTACAGAACTTGTATGTATCGTTACTGTACAGTATTTGTATGTATTGTTACTGTACAGTATTAGTATGTATTGTTACTGTACAGTATTGGTATATATCGTTACTGTACAGTATTGGAATGTATCGTTACTGTACAGTATTTGTATGTATTGTTACTGTACAGTATTGGTATGAATCGTTACTGTACAGTATTGGTATATATTGTTACTGTACAGTATTGGTATATATTGTTACTGTACAGTATTGGTATGAATCGTTACTGTACAGTATTGGTATATATTGTTACTGTACAGTATTGGTATATATTGTTACTGTACAGTATTGGTATGTATCATTACTGTACAGTATTTGTATGTATTGTTACTGTACAGTATTGGTATATATTGTTACTGTACAGTATTGGTATATATTGTTACTGTACAGTATTGGTATGTATAGTTACTGTACAGTATTTGTATGTGTATGTATTGTTACTGTACAGTATTGGTATATATTGTTACTGTACAGTATTGGTATATATTGTTACTGTACAGTATTTGTATGTATCGTTACTGTACAGTATTGGTATATATAGTTACTGTACAGTATTTGTATGTGTATGTATTGTTACTGTACAGTATTGGTATATATTGTTACTGTACAGTATTGGTATATATTGTTACTGTACAGAACTTGAATGTATTGCTACTGTACAGTATTGGTATATATCGTTACTGTACAGTATTGGTATATATCGTTACTGTACAGTATTGGTATGTATAGTTACTGTACAGTATTGGTATATATAGTTACTGTACAGTATTTGTATGTATCGTTACTGTACAGTATTGGTATGTATTGTTACTGTACAGTATTGGTATATATTGTTACTGTACAGTATTGGTATATATCGTTACTGTACAGTATTGGTATATATTGCTACTGTACAGTATTGGTATATATAGTTACTGTACAGTATTGGTATATATTGCCACTGTACAGTATTGGTATATATAGTTACTGTACAGTATTTGTATATATCGTTACTGTACAGTATTGGTATATATTGTTACTGTACAGTATTGGTATATATCGTTACTGTACAGTATTGGTATATATTGTTACTGTACAGTATTTGTATGTGTATGTATTGTTACTGTACAGTATTGGTATGTATCATTACTGTACAGTATTTGTAGTTACTGTACAGTATTGGTATATATAGTTACTGTACAGTATTGGTATAGTTACTGTACAGTATTGGTATGTATCGTTACTGTACAGTATTTGTATGTGTATGTATTGTTACTGTACAGTATTGGTATATATTGTTACTGTACAGTATTGGTATATATCGTTACTGTACAGTATTGGTATATATTGTTACTGTACAGTATTGGCATGTATTGTTACTGTACAGTATTGGTATATATTGTTACTGTACAGTATTTGTAGTTACTGTACAGTATTGGTATATATTGTTACTGTACAGTATTGGTATGTATCGTTACTGTACAGTATTGGTATGTATCGTTACTGTACAGTATTGGTATGTATTGTTACTGTACAGTATTGGTATATATAGTTACTGTACAGTATTGGTATATATCGTTACTGTACAGTATTGGTATATATTGTTACTGTACAGTATTGGTATGTATTGTTACTGTACAGTACCTCTGTGTATTGTAGGTGTCTAGTTTGTTCATCCTGATTTATTTCATTTCAAATGGAAACCTTTAAGGTACAACCTTTTTAAGGACAAACAAACCAAAAGTGAAGGGAATAACATTCAGCTGTTTATGTATAAGTAAACAGACCAATATCCAATGATCAGAAAGTTATGTACAATGTATTCCACAACCTGACACAGATACTGTGTCAAGTAGAAGTAGAACACACCTTGCTAAATTTACAAAGAATTTTTTCCATAAGTATATCTTTACAAGGGGCAATCTTTATTCTGAAATCAAAATAATTTCCTTGAAGAAAATAAAAGTTTGCTTAATTTCCAATAAAAATGGATAATTTCACCTGATAAAAGTGTCTACACACAATTATAGTGCGAAAGCCACCGCTGTGAAATACACATGTATGTTTCATTACCAAAATGTTTCACTTATTGGAAGAAGTTATGGTCATTGGTAAATTAAAATTATAACAAAATGCATTTGGCAACTTAATACTAAACTTTTAGATCCAGTACACATGAAGTGGGACAAAACGGCCAACCACAAACTAAAACCACACCCTAAAAAAAGGACCATGATATTTAAATGCAATGTTTAACAAGTCACATAAATAATTTTATAAAGATATAGTGAGTTTTAATCTGGATAGAACACACATGTAAAACCTGAGAGAAAAATAAGTACATAAGAAATTATTTCAATAAAGACATACTGTATTCAGTCAAGAATTCTGTTACCACACCAGGGCTGTTTTCATTCATCGGTATGCTCACTTTGACCATGATTGTAAGTGTTTGAAATAAGGATAGATCTACTAGTTTATTCTCTGAAGAGTCTTAAAAAAAGACTTTCAGTGCAGCTATTGATATTTGCAGGTCCATTCCAATTCAGGTTGAAAATTATTAAATGATCTGTATTTTTTCCATTCACCAAACCTTCACAAAAAAGATGAAAATCAGAGTTTTTATATGGTTCCATTAGCTTTATTTTTGCAGGGAGTATAAAAAGGATATAGAACTGAGATCTAGTGAGAATTTCCAATAAGCCTAGGATACCTGACAAAAAATGGGAAAAGAACCATGCACACTGGATACACCTTATTCCTTGGTATAGGTTAAAATTTATATATACAACCTGCACATAACGTTCCTTTGGTCTTACCTACCAAAGAAACCAATGGACTGTTGGGTGATGCAGTGGTAACCTTCACCTTTCACCTACTAGCCGCCTGGGGTTCCATTACTGGAACGGATGTGAAAGGGTATGGGTTCACCTGCCCAATCTTGTGGGTTTCCCCCGCCATGTACTCGTTTCCTCCCACAAGACCCCTCATGCACTTAAATCTGGGCCAACAGGAGTGATAAGTTGAAGTAACTTGTTTTGCAATTGTTGTTATTAAATTATTTAAAAAACCAAGAATATGATCTCAGAACTGACCCTATTGAAACAAGTTTGAATTTGGACATGATCAATTTGTGACTGTTGCTCTATGGGAGTTTCTACTGAAGTGTAATGTATCACTGTGACTGTCCCTGGGACTATTACTGTGGTTTATATATATAATATATAGATCCAGTTCAAATAATAGCAGATTTTTAACTGCTAAGAAATCAATGCATAAGACCAGTAATGACCAAGTTACCTACTTCTGGTAACAATCTAGTAGAAAATTTTCAATTCGTTACCCATTCCATCGAATCAGGTACAAATCACACACTAGTTATATACAAAGCACAAGTATATATGTATATAAAAAGCAACATAAAATAACTTACACTTATGTCCTTGTTGACTTAACATACAAGGATGTATTTACTGAATACGGCAACACTTTTATATACAATGTACCTTTATGTATGTGTCTTGATATCAAACATACTAAAACTCCCATCATTATCACAGAGTAAAGACAAAACACACAGTTGAATAAGACCTATTCTTGGTCTACCGCAATTATGATATGCATATTACAATGTAACAGAGTGATAAAAGATGGAACTCCACCACAATTGGCATATGCTGTGATGTTCAACAATTCAGCATCAATGTCTAACATCTTTCATCACACGATTTCCTTGATATATGACCTATCAAGACATCAGGATAATAATAAGATAATGTCAAAATGGTCATAGATTACAAGTACTCACAATGATGATCATCGATGTCAACATAAGACAAATAAGCTTAACAAGGTAAACAACATTTTTTTATCAATATTTGCCAAGATAATTAATCATGTTATAAAAGTATCTTTCATAAGGTTCCATTTCATATGTGATTTATGAAAATCTCTTCTTAATTTTAGCTTGCCATTAGATGGTTGTCAAAAATCTCAACAAATTGAAACTCTGATAGACTTATATGCTGAAATCATAGTAGCTTCATTCAGCTGAGAAAGAGCTGCAGTTTTTTATTAATACTTTCTTACATCAATATATAATTTCAGACAATTCATTGAAGAATTTTGTGGGCATGTTGTTAGTGTGAACATGTCAGTAAATACAAAGTTCTACAGTACAATGAGAAAATAAATAACACTTTTGTAAAATACCATGATCTGCAGTAAACAAATGAATACACAGCCCTGTTATTATCTATACAATGTTCTACTGTATTAGTAAATACACAGTATTGTTGGTAAATACACAGTATTGTTGGTGAATGCTATGTTCTACTGTACCAGTAAATACACAGTATTGTTGGTAAGAACTATGTTCTACTGTACCAGTAAATACACAGTATTGTTGGTAAGAACTATGTTCTACTGTACCAGTAAATACACAGTATTGTTGGTGAATACTATGTTCTACTGTACCAGTAAATACACAGTATTGTTGGTAAGAACTATGTTCTACTGTATCAGTAAATACATAGTATTGTTGGTGAGAACTATGTTCTACTGTACCAGTAAATACACAGTATTGTTGGTGAATACTATGTTCTACTGTACCAGTAAATACACAGTATTGTTGGTAAGAACTATGTTCTACTGTACCAGTAAATACACAGTATTGTTGGTAATACTATGACTGTACCAGTAAATACACAGTATTGTCTACTGTACTAGTAAATACACAGTATTGTTGGTGAATACTATGTTCTACTGTACCAGTAAATACACAGTATTGTTGATACACAGAAAGTTCTATAGCACAATGAACTGTTACAACAAAGTCATAAATACATTTACACTCTTTCTTATAAAATACTGTTGGAAAAAAGACGGTTTCAATATCTTCACAATGTTGATATAAATATCTGCAGATTTCTCTCAGGTTTCTAACTTTGATATATATATTTATTATTATACAATGTTTCCAGCAAAGTTGTGTATAACAAATAAACACTTCTGTCAGTATAAAAGCAAGTCTTTTACCTCCATAATGCATGAGGCTAGTGGGTATCAAGATATCACCAGTCTATGTTCAGCATGTATACATCTTGAATTGATATAATTACTAGCAATCTGAATGCAAATAGTCCTTAGTATTCATGGTGAAGAATAATTACCCTGCATAGTATCGTAAGTGCTTTTATGCTATTCATGGAACAGCTGAATATCTTCTGAATGTTTCCTTTATTTTAAAAGTACAGGAGATGGAAAAAGTGTCAGTATATAAAAGACTGATGATCAAATAGATTCAGGAAACATGATACTTATCCTATGGCATTCATAGCCCTATGACTGCATTAACTTCAGGTACTGGTAGCATTAATATAGGACTTACAGCATAAATGTAACAGGTTTCCTTTCTTTTTGTTCTTTGAAGCCACAACATAAATATGATCAAGTCAAATTGATAAGTTTTGAAAATATCCCTGATAAAAATGCATTTATTCCATTCCCATTTTTGCTAAAATAACACACTTAATTGGTTTGGTTTACAATGTCAGTAAACACACACACAAACACAGTGAAGACCTGGCTCTGTTACATTAGATAACAGGACACAATATCACTATCATCAAGGATAGTAAAAGCAGAGAGATCAGATGAAATTTTTTGTGTAGCTTCCCCATCACTGTACCTTGAAATCACAGAAAAAAGCTACAAATCCCAGGAAATCGTAGTTCCTTTGTAGGAAATCTGCACTACAAGAGTGAGATAGCCCTACAGTAAATCCTAAATGGATCTAATACTCAGTTGGCAGTATACTGGCTGTTGTCCGATTGTCCCCAGTTTTTTTATACAACTACACATATCACGGTTATATTATGCATATCACAGTCGTAGGGTACCCAGGTACTGCATTTTATTGTGGAGGAATTCTGTCACTTCTCGTGCCGATACCTGGTAGCTCTTTTCCACCTTACACCACATGTCTTTTTCAATAGCACTATCTTCCTGTAAGATGGAACATAAAAGATACATAGAATTTTTCTATCCTTTGTTGCTTGGGAGCACCTTGTTAACAGATTTTAAGTCCCAGACGTTTTATATAATAATACCTAATAGCCTAATTTTAACGACACTTTTGATATACAAGGTCTGATCAATATTTCATAAACTTTCTGTTGTCCAGATTTACAGATCAAAATATTTCATACATTTTCAGTAGTCCAGATTAACAGATCAATATTTCATAAACTTTCAGTGGTCCATTTTGACTGATTTTCTGTAGTGCAGATTCAATGACCAGTATATCATTAACTCTCCGTATGTTATACAGCCAAAAAAGCAAAGCTATAATTCAAACATTAAGACTCATTTCAGGCCTATCAGAAGTCAGTGAAGTTATTTTCACAACAAATGACTTTAAAAGCTGTCCCAGCACTAATGCTAACCCTATTCTCTGGACACTATCCTAATTAGGTTCTAAGGAGGAAGTTATTTTCAGTATTGACAACCAATATGACTACAGACCTAACTGTTCTAATGAAGTTTGATTTGAAAAACTAAACATGTTTCGAGATGCTGTCAAAATATTATATCTACATCCAGAGACTAATTATGCAATACTAACCTCATTTTCACAAAGGTTTTGTGTTAGGTTGAGCTTGCTGAAGTCGAGAGTTAAGAAAACTGGATCCATATCCCGAATTGCTTGGTGTAGATCTTTCGCTGCCTTATCTAGACCATCCACAAGTTGAACGTAGCTCCCAAATGTACAAGGCTGTGAATCACAAGTCAACATATTCATTTATGTAAAGTGACAGGCCTCTTTTCAAACTGTCAGTTGATAATGTAGAACACAATTTCAACCATGAAAAAATAATACCACACATATATCCTACTGTGACTCAAAAATTCAATTCAATTACAGTAACTAGTATTTAACTTGGTATCAATAGAGTCCTTACATGAACAGTTGTATTTTATTCAGTAATGAAAAACAATGAGGAGAACTATTATGCCTTTGAAAATAATAACAATTTCTCTTTTCAGTGCCTTTCAAACTTCAACAATTAATTAATTAAAATTGCACTTCTCAAAGATATACTACATCATTTTCAACGTGTATTGTTTTTTTTTTTTTTCTTTTTTAAGTTTTAATATTTCATAGAGCTGGGGCATGTTCTACCTCAGTATACCAGTCACAGTCTCCAGAGGGACTTGTTCTACCTCAGTAAACCAGTCACAGCCTCTAGTGGGACTTGTTCTACCTCAGTATAGCAGTCACAGCCTCTAGTGGGACTTGTTCTACATCAGTATACCAGTACCAGCCTCTAGAGGGACTTGTTCTACCTCAGTATACCAGTCACAGCCTCTAGAGGGACTTGTTCTACCTCAGTATACCAGTCACAGCCTCTAGTGGGACTTGTTCTACCTCAGTATAGCAGTCACAGCCTCTAGTGGGACTTGTTCTACCTCAGTATAGCAGTCACAGCCTCTAGTGGGACTTGTTCTACATCAGTATACCAGTACCAGCCTCTAGAGGGACTTGTTCTACCTCAGTATACCAGTCACACTTGTTCTACCTCAGTATACCAGTCACAGCCTCTAGAGGGACTTGTTCTACCTCAGTATACCAGTCACAGCCTCTAGTGGGACTTGTTCTACCTCAGTATACCAGTCACAGCCTCTAGTGGGACTTGTTCTGCCTCAGTATACCAGTCACAGCCTCTACCTCAGTATATCATAAATACTTACCACCTCTAGCGGGGCTTGTTCTACCTCTGTATATCATTAATACTTACTGCCTCTAGCGGGGCTTGTTCTACCTCTGTATATCATTAATTCTTACCACCTCTAGCGGGTCTTGTTCTACCTCTGTATATCATTAATACTTACTGCCTCTAGTGGGGCTTATTCTACCTCAGTATATCATTAATACTTACCGCCTCTAACGGGGCTTGTTCTACCTCAGTATATCATTAATACTTACTGCCTCTAGCGGGACTCCTTTGCTCTTTTTACACTTTTTGTTCCACTGACTCTTTAAAGGTTTTAAGATGCGATGACAAACTCCTACCAGTACAGTAACATGAGATAATGTCTGTAAAATAGATGGGGATAATGATAAGATCTAGCATATAATGTACAGAAACATAACAAACAATACACATGTAGTTCATAAATTGATTTAAAACAAACTAATCCTGCATTAGGGACAAAAATATCACATCAATTTGTTGTATGGGTGTAGCACTTTTATTTACTTTTTAAAGAATACATATGAGTGATATTTTACACTCAAAGAGAAGTTGCTCGGGTAGATCAAACTACTGCATTATTCATGTCAGACTAAAGGCATACCTCAGCTATAAGGACTAAATTTTCCAATATACTTGTGTTGATACGATTCTCTCCATCTGTTACCAAACTACCTTTATGTTTGGATATCAAACCTGTAAAACAAGAGTATCAGTGAAACATCTTCTTAATGTATTCACCAGGTTTCAGTAACCAAGTATAATTGTGAACAATTTATGCTCTGGATAAAATTTTTTAACAAAGGGCAATAACTCTATAACTGAGGGGAATAGTCAATTATATGTACTTGAAAGCTTTACTTGTGTCATTCTGATAACACAAAAGGATGCAAAAAAGGGATTACTTCCTGTTGTACATGTGTAAGTACAAAAGACTCATTCAATATAAAACTATGTTTCATTCATGTTGAGTCAAGTATTAGATCTGACTATCCGCGTCTGAAATTCTGTACCTGTGGCAGCCCTACTCTTACCCAACTGAAGGTTTTGTTAAAATCTGATCTAACCATATATGAGCTTTAATACCAAATCAAATTGAAGTACAAACCAAACTGATTGATGCTTACCACTAATTAAATCTGGTACAGATGTTCTTAGTTTTTCTTCTTTTTCGTTGTCTGCAGTATCTGAAAAGACATATGTGACTTTTAGTTTAAATCATTTCCACATATTACCTGACACTGTCTTATCAAGACAATTCTATCACATGAACCTCAGTTGGAAATCCTGACATTTGTATGTACATAACATTTTGCTTTATTAATCACGCTAAAATTTTACAGGAGACAAATGGAAACCTACAAGAAATTACAGAATGACCTTCACCTATTAATGATCCAGTACTTTCTAAGAAATACTGTATACAGTGAAATATTTACCAAGGGATTTTTGGCCTCCATTAGTTCAGTGAATTATTGCTATAAAATACACATCGAAATCATCAAAGATGACCCCAGATTTTATTGTTGTCTACTGGGTCAACATTATGCTACAGTGATAATTTTTCTGCATACAGTAGTAATTAGTACTAAAAACAGTTTTAGATCATCTGACTGGTCACAGGGTTTTATACAGGTTCTCTGGTTTTGCTTCTAAAGTTTAGATTTCAACATGCTACCAACCCGTCAAACTATGTCATAGTTAAGAAATAAAATTTTGAATTATTGTAAAACAAGCCTGAAATATTTCTATACAAAGTTAAGATTTATTTATTTATTTAGAGTGCCAATAATCTCACAAAGACTGACCATTGTCTCCCCTAGACCAACCTTGTCTCACCTAGACTGACCATAGTCTCTTCTCTAGACCAACCATTGTCTCACCTAGACTGACCATTGCCTCACCTAGACTGACCATTGTCTTACCTAGACTGACCATTGTCTCACCTTGACTGACCATTGTCTCACCTAGACTGACCATTGTCTCACCTAGACTAACCATTTTCTCCCCTAGACTGACCATTGCCTCACCTAGACTGACCATTGTCTCACCTAGACTGACCAATGTCTCACCTAGACTGACCATTGTCTCACCTAGACTAACCATTTTCTCCCCTAGACTGACCATTGCCTCACCTAGACTGACCATTGTCTCACCTAGACTGACCAATGTCTCACCTAGACTGACCATTGTCTCACCTAGACTAACCATTTTCTCCCCTAGACTGACCATTGCCTCACCTAGACTGACCATTGTCTCACCTAGACTAACCATTGTCTCACCTAGACTAACCATTTTCTCCCCTAGACTGACCATTGTCTCCCGTTGACTGACCATTGTCTCTCCCCTAGACCAACAGTTGACACATCTAGGCTAACCATTTTCTCACCTAGACCGACCATTGTCTCACGACCATTGTCTCACCTAGACTGACTATTGTCTCACCTAGACTGACCATTGTCTCACCTAGACTGACCATTGTCTCCCCTAGACTGACCATTGTCCCAAATAGACTGACCATTGTCTCCCCTAGACTGACCATTGTCTCCCCTTGACTGACCATTGTCTCACCTAGACCATTGTCTCACCTTCACTGACCATTGTCTCGCCTAGACTGACCAGTCTCAACTAGACTGACCATTGTCTTCCCTAGACTGACCATTGTCTTACATAGACTGACCATTGTCTTACCTAGACCATTGTCATGTAGGTGGTGGACATACATCACATTGCTGACCATATCTGTGAAAGCTTCACAATGTCGTTCTTTGAGATATGAACACAATCGTGTCCTGAATGGACCATGGACTGGGTACTGAAACAGGATTACCAGATATGATTTTATACACACATTAAGTAAAAATAACTTCTTCATATAAAATTTTTGTATATGCAATGTTTCTGTGTAGAGCAAATGTGATTCTAATATGACTGACGAGAGTCTATATGTTTTACTGACCTGATCTGTGTAGGAGAACTCCTGACAAGAGTCTATATGTTTTACTGACCTGATCTGTGTAGGAGAACTCCTGACAAGAGTCTATATGTTTTACTGACCTGATCTGGGGAGGAGAACTCCTGACAAGAGTCTATATGTTTTACTGACCTGATCTGTGTAGGAGAACTCCTGACAAGAGTCTATATGTTTTACTGACCTGATCTGGGTAGGAGAACTCCTGACAAGAGTCTATATGTTTTACTGACCTGATCTGGGGAAGAGAACTCCTGACAAGAGTCTATATGTTTTACTGACCTGATCTGGGTAGGAGAACTCCTGACAAGAGTCTATATGTTTTACTGACCTGATCTGGGGAAGAGAACTCCTGACAAGAGTCTATATGTTTTACTGACCTGATCTGGGGAGGAGAACTCCTGACAAGAGTCTATATGTTTTACTGACCTGATCTGTGTAGGAGAACTCCTGACAAGAGTCTATATGTTTTACTGACCTGATCTGGGGAGGAGAATTCCTGACAAAAGTCTATATGTTTTACTGACCTGATCTGTGTAGGAGAACTCCTGACAAGAGTCTATATGTTTTACTGACCTGATCTGTGTAGGAGAACTCCTGACAAGAGTCTATATGTTTTACTGACCTGATCTGGGGAGGAGAACTCCTGACAAGAGTCTATATGTTTTACTGACCTGATCTGTGTAGGAGAACTCCTGACAAGAGTCTATATGTTTTACTGACCTGATCTGGGGAGGAGAACTCCTGACAAGAGTCTATATGTTTTACTGACCTGATCTGTGTAGGAGAACTCCTGACAAGAGTCTATATGTTTTACTGACCTGATCTGGGGAGGAGAACTCCTGACAAGAGTCTATATGTTTTACTGACCTGATCTGGGGAGGAGAACTCCTGACAAGAGTCTATATGTTTTACTGACCTGATATAGTAGGAGAACTCCTGATATGAGTCTATATGTTGTACTGACCTGATATGGGGAAGAGAACTCCTGACAAGAGTCTATGTGTTGGGAAAGCAGCGACAGAAGATCGGTGAGGACCTCATGTGGTGGTTTCCTGTCATGATTGATGCCATTGTTTGTGTGGCTGTCAGTCTTGACACTTTGTTGGCCGAGCATCACGCTGGCTGTAAGGATTCGTAGCGTCAGCTTTCTCACCTTTAACCACAGTATCTGGTGTACGAAACAGATTGCAATATACAATAACAAATATGACAAACATTTCCAGACTATAAATAACATCAAGACAGAAAAAAGAGCAAAGATTAAAACTGTAAAACTGGTTTAAATTAATTTTCAGAAATAAATTTGATTAAGTTTCATTGAAAAATGATAAGAGGTTCATCCACTGAATGTTCACAAGATGATGAACTTAATGGAGAATCAGGTAACAAAAATTCATACCTCTTCCTTCCGAGAATGTAGTTTAGCCTCTTCAAGTCTACATCTGAAATGAAATGAAACATGGTACAGAATAACTAATTTAAGTCATTCCCCTTTAAATCACAGATATCATCATATAATAATACATTGTGTACATAAATCAGACAACACATACACAGATGTGGATGTGATACCTACACAGCAATGAGATTACAGTCATTTTTAATTCAAATTGACTTATCTCGGGTTCTGACTTTATATGATGATTTTAAACTCTTAACGGTTTGTTACTTGATATATTCAACTTGGTATGGGTTCTTTACGTATAAATTTCAACTCAAGTTATCTGACTTATATGTGTTTCAACTTATTGAATTAAAATATTTTCAGACTAGAAAATGAATGTCCCTTGCTTCCAAACATATTTTTTGTATCAATTCTTCTGGATTTTGTAGGAGTTGTAAAATATGACCTTTAACCCTTAGCCTGACTGATGATTACCTTATGATAATAAGGTGTAGAACCTGATATTATGACCATATGAGGTAAATATTAATCCAATCTGTTGAGAGTTTCTCAAGATTCTCAAGGATTTAGCACAAAAGTATCAGTGAAACTGATGAATGCTCCCCGAAAACGACTAATGGACACAAAATTCAAAGGGCAATAGTTCTGTGATTAAGAAGTTGCAGGCCCTGAATTTGGTATACAGCACATTCTCTTAGTATGACCAACGTATAAATCAAGTTTCAATAACTCCTAAATTATGCAAATGACTACTACCTACCTTGAATGAGGTTCCCAGGATTCCATCACAGAGAAATCCCTATTATCACAGAGGTCATCATATCCATTCTTTTCTGAAATTAAACAGGATTTATTATCATCTGCATTACCTTCAGAGAGCATTCCCTTTAACAGGTGATCAGTTAAGGAAAGCATAATATTAAAATATATTCTCCAAATAAAGGATTTTCCTGAGAGCATGATAACAAAGTAATAGTCCTTTTTAGGAGGTTGGTCTCCCTTTATAACAGTTTCACTTCAGCTAGCATTAAGCATGACCTTATACCTGTCATAATGTCAGATTTTTCTTATCAATCACACATTTTAAAGTGAGTTTCAACACCGACCTTAAACTCATTTACCCAAGAAATAGAAATCCAGAACAAAACTACCACAAAGTGCCTCATTGTATCATGTTTATAATTAGTGTCAATTGCAGTTGACAAAGCTGGTATGGTATCGCATTATAATGCTACAAAATTAACTCAACAACACCAGACATTGATACCTTAAACAGAAGATATCTTGTCACATCAGATCTATCTATGTGTATAATTACCTTTTTCTGGGTCTATTTCCATGTATGTTACCATCTGTTCTGTGCTAACATGGCTGTAAGTATAAATAGACAATTACAATCCTGTCTCGTCTGATTGTATATCAAAGATGTTCTGACCTTGCAGGCATAATATTGACCATTAGACTGTAAATGATCAGAATGTATTGATATAGTTAGAGAATGTTACTATGGAAAAAGGACATTGAAACCTGCTTTTTACTTAGCAACTCCAGGTTTTATGTTGAAGTATCATTGAGAATAGACCCAAAATAAACACAGATAAGAAGAACCAAGGTCTGTGCTGTTATAGTTTATTTTAACCCATTAAATCTATATAAAAATGTAATTTCCAGCTCACCTTGAAGTTTCTAGCACCAAATCTAACAACATACTCTCTGTCATTGCTGAAGAGTACTGTAAAGACTTCTGAAGGCGCTCCCGAAACTTTACAAATTCATGTATCTGCAACAATATTGTCATAAAAATGGAACAATCTGTTTGCAACAGTAAACATTCTTTCCTTTTTAAATATATTTATTCATACTGAATGATCCTGAAAAAGGTGATGACATCATGGTTTTGCAAATTCACAAATAAGGGACACTGAGCATACTGGCATTACCAAGGTATTATTAAGATGCTTTCATGTGACAGAATACTAGACATTTAAAACACAATCAAGTTTGTGAACAAAATCTTTAGAAGTCTATAATTGTGCTTTAAAGCTGACAATGATATATTTATTGTTTTAATTTGCATCACTTTACCTTGCTAAAGGAACCATACTTGTAAGATGCTATCAAATATTCAGCTGTCTGTAAATCAGAAAATGAAGTTTATTTAAAAACATTTTTGAAATTACGACTGATTGGTGCATTTCTGTGTTACTTGTAAGATTATGTATCATATCTTTGTTTTTTTTTCTCTCTCTTTACAACAAGACTATCAATACTCTTAGCTGGCACATATAAATGTGACCTCTGTGTTTTGTTTCATATGTAAATGACCTAAACACTGTGAACAACATTTTTTTGAACCTTTGACCTCTTTATTTTGTTTATGTTTTGACAATATATTTAAACAAAGGATTTATTACCTCTTTGTGGTTGACTGCAAAAAAACGCAGCATTGTTCCATACATAGAACAGGCTGCAACAAAATGTCCCAGGCGTCCAACATGGTTCGCTATTGTGTGCCTGAAACAGATACCAAATGATTTTGAATCAATGTAAGACTTTGCTGATGCAAATTACAGGGTTTGCTTTGCTGGTTTTTGCCAATGGCCCCTCCCACAACCGTACAGGATAGTCAGTGATTTAAGCTCTTGAGACACTAAACCATCTCAGTTATTGATTAAATCACATCCCTCAGATCTTCACCTGAGACACATAAACCATCTCAGGTAGCATAACTTAACATTACTTTTCACCTGAAGTCCTAACAGTTTATTTTCATTATTTTTATTTATTTATAGCCATGAAAACAATAAATATTCTACACAACAAACTTTCCATGTTATACAGTATCATCATATGTACTAAAACATCTGTGATATTTGTAAAGGCTTACCCAAGGGTATCATTCATCACATGTTTCACCTCCATAGACTCATACACTGTGTGACAGGGACCATACGCTCCTGTTAAGAGTAAAAATTAAATTGGTAAAATCTGTCCAACATATAATGAGAATATCTTACTGGTGTTCAAACTAGGATTCGGTCATACTAGCATAAATATTTACACAATCTCATGCAAATGAAAATCAAAGATACAATTCAAATACCCAAAAGATGAACAAAATGACGATTCATTCAGAGTATACTGTTGGTTTCTCTGATTACAGTAAACATATCTTATTTTTGAAAGTGATTAAGTGTGACCTACAATACCGACTGACGACTTAAATTTTTCAAGATAACAGAATGTAAAGAGACAAATCCACATGTAGAGATAATGTCAGACAAAATGAATTATTTATACTGATATACTTTTGTTTTCCAAATGATAATATAAGTGAAAATCAGGTAAAGTCTGTACTCACCCATAATACAATACAAACGCATCAAGATCAGCTTCATATGGAAGTTGGAACGACTATTACTAATGCCTTTTTCTAACTGTACTATTGCCTGCCACACCAGGGAGTCATTTTCTGATAGAATCAGAAAAAAATGTCAATAAAATTATGACAAAACCAAGGCATCAAAAACAATAACAAAAAATTGAATAAAGAATTATAAGATGAATGTATATGTGATGATTAACAGATCAAATGAGATAAAAAGTCTTCTGATAACACTTAAATTCTATTCATAGTAAATGGTGACACTCTTTTTTTTTCGTTAAAAGTGTGACAATCCTAAAATCCTACCTGAAATGTATGTGATATCTTATTTCATCCAGTTGTAGGACTGTTTAAATATTGTTGAATGTCTTATTTACATTAAAAGTAGGTTTTTGAAAGATAGCCTTGCTATATGATCCTGATGAGTGCGTTTTCAGGTTATGAAAGTATGTTGTACAGGCCTCCTTGTGATAGTGTGGAACTGATGACAACTTTGTAGCGTAACCATAATAAAATTAGTGAAAATGGGGATCCCATAAAAACTGTATAGTTAATATGTATAGATCAACTAAAACTGTATCTAAGTAAAGGATGATGAATACCAGATACTATGTAGATATACTTTGTGACTTACTTGATTCCCTCCATATGTCCAGCAGCAGCAGCACTGCTATGAGCAGGTAGTTATCACTGTATTGGAGATCTGTACTCAGCAAGTCTTTACCTACAAACAATGAATCAATCAGCACCTATATTTAACAAGTTTCTACCTCCACACAATGTATCAATCTAGATCTGTACTCAACAAGTTTCTACCTACAAACAATGTATCAATCAACACCTATACTCAGCAAGTCTCTACCTCCACCTCATGTATCAATCAACATCTGTACTCAACAAGTCTTTACCTACAAACAATGTATCAATCAACACCTATACTCAGCAAGTCTCTACCTCCACCTCATGTATCAATCAACATCTGTACTCAACAAGTCTTTACCTACAAACAATGTATCAATCAACATCTGTACTCAACAAGTCTTTACCTACACACAATGTATCAATCAACATCTGTACTCAACAAGTCTTTACCTACAAACAATGTATCAATCAACATCTGTATCAATCAACATCTGTACTCAACAAGTCTCTACCTACAAACAATGTATCAATCAACACCTGTACTCAACAAGTCTTTACCTACAAACAATGTATCAATCAACACCTGTACTCAACAAGTCTTTACCTACAAACAATGTATCAATCAACACCTGTACTCAACAAGTCTTTACCTACAAACAATGTATCAATCAACACCTGTACTCAACAAGTCTTTACCTACAAACAATGTATCAATCAACACCTGTACTCAACAAGTCTCTACCTACAAACAATGTATCAATCAACATCTGTACTCAACAAGTCTTTACCTACAAACAATGTATCAATCAACATCTGTACTCAACAAGTCTCTACCTACAAACAATGTATCAATCAACATCTGTACTCAACAAGTCTCTACCTACAAACAATGTATCAATCAACACCTGTACTCAACATAATGTATCAATAGTAAGATAGGTGAAAATTTATTTATTATGTATTACAGAACAATAATTTGTTATCTATTATAAACATACATAATGAAACTTGATCATATGTGATGGTAATTTGGACCTGAAGGTCTTTTTTAACTAACAATACAAACTTCAGAATTTTTCAAAACTTAATTTCCTAATAGTGTTATTTAAAAATATTTCATTTTTATATAAATTCTGGTACATTATCAAAGTCTGATTTAAAACTACCAATTTGATAACAACAGACCATAACTGAGGCCATGGTGATAGCGTTGAATGTATTCCTTGACTAAGACAAGTCTCTCCGTTGTAGACAGTTTGTCATAGTATCCCATGTACCGCATCAGCTGTAGCAATGTTATGTGACGCTGCATCTGTTTCACCTACAAATCAAATCATCATACAGATTATAATAAACAGATTCAAAAACAGTTTAAATACTGTCAGCTTGTGTTAAATAATTGGTAATATTGCTTAAAGGTGCTAAATAATATTATTTCTGCTTATTATTAGGATTTCCTAAGAGTCAGATTTGATATCCTGTAACTTCATTTGAAACAATGATCATAAAATTCAACTGATAATTGACAACAGTCTAAGCCTTAAGTTTTCACTTACACTAGAGGCATATCCTAGTGTCTCTTCAGGATTTGGTAAATCAACACCCTCTGTTACCACAGATATCAACTGAAAAGAGCAATGAGAAGTGTTCAGATAAATCTATAGGACTTAAAGTTAAAACAATTAACAACAACTATGAAATAAAAAATAAATATGATTAATTATGATGATGATTGCTTCATAATGCCGTAACAAAAATCTTCATAGAAAAAAAATACAAAATTTGTCTCAGGTCAATGTTTACTTGACCATCGGTCAATAAACTTTTTATTTCATTTTGAATAAAAAAAATGATCTTGATCTTTGACCAAACAGCTTTGTGATTATTTGATGAAACATTATGTTTCTGGTTGTTGAAAACATTGCTTGAACCTTAATTCATTTTCACTGTAACAATGACCATTAGACTGCTGGATTGACACTATTGCACTTCCATATGTCAAAGACTGCATGCTGAATATTTAAATTTTGGTTATATCTCGTTGATTGATCATAAAATAAGCAAAATTTTATATAAGTTTGTTCTCATACCTTTGTTTCTTTGTCTTCTGTCAGAAGCTTTGTAAATGACTTCATATCTTCAAAACAGCATGGTTTATCTCCAAATAGATCATAGTACCGTAGAAGTAGCTGTAAAGGGTCTCCTGTAAACAATGATTTCTATTGTCAATGGTTTTGTATATCCCCTTTTGTTTATTAATAGTGTTTAAATACTTCTCCATTTCTTGACTTTTCCCAGTAAACAAGCCATTGCTGTACCTATTCTAAACCTAATTATAATGTAATATCCTAAACGTAATTATAATGTAATATCCTAAACCTAATTATAATGTAATATCCTAAACCTAATTATAACGTAATATCCTAAACCTAATTATAAGGTAATATCCTAGACCTAATTATAATGTAATATCCTAGACCTAATTATAATGTAATATCCTAAACTTAATTATAATGTAATATCCTAAACTTAATTATAATGTAATATCCTAAACCTAATTATAACCTAATATCCTAAACCTAATTATAATGTAATATCCTAAACCTAACTATAATGTAATATCCTAAACCTAATTATAATGTAATATCCTAAACCTAATTATAATTAATATCCTAAACGTAATTATAATGTAATATCCTAAACCTAATTATAATGTAATATCCTAAACGTAATTATAATGTAATATCCTAAACGTAATTATAATGTAATATCCTAAACCTAATTATAATGTAATATCCTAAACCTAATTATAATGTAATATCCTAAACCTAATTATAATGTAACAAAAATGAGCTCTTACCAAATTGTTCACTTTCAGCTAGGTCTGGTTTCCATCGGTTCTTGTCCTTCATCTGTTTGATGAGTTCTAATTGCGCAAGGTAAGGGCCCCTTTGAGGTCGACCACCCTCACACTGCTTGATAGTTTCCTGTATAAATGTGGCGACCATATCCTCTGTGTAGTCAATGTCTTCTTCACTGTAGCAACAAACAACAGTTTTGTTTATCAAACATACAATTAAAAACATTAAAGTAAAAAAAACTAGACAAAAAAAAAAAAGAAGAAAGAAAAGTTTGATCCACAAATTGATATCAAATATCACACCTAAATGCTGCTGATCCACACATAAAATCAATGCTGGTGCTTCAAATGTGTTTTAAGGAAATATTAAAGTTTGAATCAAAAGAAATTTACCCCCACCTGATTTTCAACATTATTATTATATTTGTATAAAACTTGAAAAAAAAAAGACTTTTGATCCTTATTTCAGCCGAGTATCATTGCTAGTAAATGAAGTAAAGAGTCTTTTTGAGGTGGGGTCTCCTAAAAGAAGCTGATGGTTATCTCAATTATCATCTTGTGGGATCTATGAACACAATGGCAACATTCATATCAGCTTCTTGACACACACTGACCATCCAGAGTAGAAATAAGCAAACTTATTATGCCATAAATAGTTGATGTGCTTTCTACAGTAATCTCACCTGTCTTTATCTGGTGTCCAGCTCGCCTCAACCAGACGTAGACAGGAGCGGATGTAATCCTGCCAGTTATTCCAGTGATCTGGACTGCAATATTAAGTCATCAAATTGTGATATCATGATATATAAATAAAATGCAGATCATATACAATGTAAAATCTTGTCAAGGACAAGGTCCATTTTACCAATTAGAACATCACATAGATAAATATTCTACATACTGCAAGGGTTTAATCTAGACAAATTTTATGACTTGAAATGGGTAATAAATGAAAAGTTTTTTCCTTCTGAAGATAAACAAATTCCTCACCAACAAACATGAGAAAACAGGGCAAAAATTACCATCAAACAGAGCTAATTATTTTATTTTTCGATAACATGTTTTGAAAGAATGCAATCAATTTAAGAGAATATCAATCTAACCTCTACATTACCATATATGATCCATGTAAAAGATGTCTTCATGTTTGTCATATGTTTTAACCATTCCCCTTTTTTGAATTCTGACCAAATAGGGCTGTCCAAAATTTCTCCATTTCTCATAATCAGTCAAAACTTCTACTTTTTCCACAATGGGTAGCATTTCTCAAATTCTAGATTAACCCATAACTACTATGACAAAGGAACCGTTGTACAATATTGAAGAAATATCTTACTTTTCCTTTAAGAGAGCCTTGTACTCTCGGTTGACTTGCGGCCATCGCTCTAACTTGGCATAAAGATCTGCAGTTTTATTCTCCCGAAAGTTGAATTCACTTGTAAGTTTTGCTAAAAAGACAATAATAAAATGAAACAGCTAAGAAATGCTTTTATTACACAGAAAAAAATGTCATTTGTTTCACAATAGAACAGCAAATAGTTTATAAGTTCCTGTTTCTGTACGTATGTTAGTTGTGTGTTTATAATAATCTCCTTGATCTTTAAATTTTGATATCTTATGGGTTTATAACAAGGTTGCAATAAAAACAGTTTTTGGGAGAATAAAATGAAAAAATGACCATCACATGGAAATAGTACAAAAGAATAAAGATTTAGATATTAGTATACAACAGGTTCAGATGATTTTACCTCCAAGTGGTCCTTCCACTACCTTTAATGCTTCTTCCCACTTCTGGAGAAGTTCTAGAATGATGAGGTATATCTGGACCTCTGAAAAACAATGTTAACACAGAATGTCACTAAACTACTCAAGAAGTTCTAGAATGATGAGGTATATTTGGACCTCTGAAAAATGACATTGACTTGTTTAATCAAATATTATCTACAAATATGACAACTTTCTTTCAATGAAAATTTCTCAAATAAAACCCAGAACATAAAGTGGAATTTCAACAAGACTCCAAATAACACTTCTTACCTGCTTCAGCAGTTATCTTTTCTTCATCAATATATTTTTTAGTCATGCGCTCAGCAAGAGGAAGAAACATACCCTTGGCTAACTTCTCATCTTGGTGACCCTACAAAATATAATAATGCATTTGCTGAAGTGAAAAGCAAATTGTGAATACTGAAGCCAAAACCAAAGTCATACCAAAAGCCATATTTTGTGTTCAAAAAGATTTTGAAATATAACAGTCCAATTAGTAATGAAATGCATAAGATGGAGATATTTTGTACAAAATATAACTCACAATTGCCTCAAAATTTACCTCCTTATTCCAACATGTTCACAGTTGAATGATGCTTTCACAATTTACAATGATAGAGTCACAAATTTGTGTGATCAACATTTAATATCAGTGCTATTTTCATGATATCATATTGCTTCTTTCAAACTAGTGTCTACATTAAAGGCAACAAAATTAAAACTAACTCTCAGACATCCAGAAGAACAAGTAGTACTGATGATGTAAATAAAAAGAAAATGTGTCTTATGAAAGCAACAGCATAGTTATTAAAAAGGTGCACATACTTTTCTTACTGATTGTGATACAAGAACTTCTTTACATATATGTATATATTTACCAAATTGAAGAAAACGTTTCTGTACATAAAACCCTATTACATAACATATTGTATTTAAGAGAATTGTTTGGTTGTACAGTCATTCAATAAATATGTACCTGCATCACAATACTCATAACAGCCCAGAAATAGTAAGGATTTTTCTGTGGTTGTAGTCTGTGAAGTGTCATGGCAGTCTGCTGCTGTTTTTTGTAATCTCCAAGACGGACATATGCCATGAATAGTGATGACAAAATGTCTTCATTGTCTGGCCGATGTTTGTGAGCATTCTCATATAAATCAGCAATCAGATCCACTGTAAAGCAAGATATCAAATTTTATATGTAATGCTTGTAGAATAAATAAATAACACAAATGGAAATGATGTAGGTTTATCAAATGTTTAATGTTTTTTCTAAGCAATCAGTGTTTTAAATCGGTGTTAAAGAGACTTACATTTGTAGACCTCTCTGTAACAGATGGACATAGCCTGAAGGGTGGCTTCATCTGTTGGGCTTTGTGCATGAATATCCTTTAGAAGAAGAGAACTCTCATCATGTCGTCCCAGTCTTAGTAAAGCAAGAGCCTTTAGTACCTGGAATTATAGGTTACATTGAAGTATATTGAAGAATTTCAAATGATTATAATTTACCTCACACAACAGATCAATTTTGCTATTTTCTTCAGTTGTATAAATGATAAAAAATCTTAAATCTATCACAACACAATATACATTGACCTTTAATATTTGTCAGCTAATCAGGAAAAAGAAGCTAGACAGGGTAGTTTACAAAGATTTAATCAGCATCACCTAAGTCAATTAACCCATATAAACTCTTTTTCAAAATGTTGATGTTTTACAATATCAAATAGATTTCGACAGAATGAAAAATAACACAAACTTTTGCACACTGCAAATCCTTCTGTTTCTTCAATACTTTGTCAGCTTCTTGAATTGCTTTCTTGTTGTTTCCATTATCTAGACAATCTGAAACAACAAAAATACATCACTATCATGTTTTAGTATTTTGACATATATCTGTTTATCTTATCATTTGCAATTTCAGCAGCATTACACATCTCTAAATCTCGTACAATTCTTTTAAAGTATTATTTTCCATGATTGGACAGGAGTCTATCACAGATAATTCAATATAAATTTACATCCTTTTTCTACAGAGATCTATATTCCAAACCTAAAGTTTTTGATTTCGGATTGAATTAATCATATAAATTGTTGTTACAAGAGATTTATTAGTTCTAGTGGAAAATTCTGTGCGGAAAGAATGTTTAGTCACCATTAACCCTTTCGGTGCCAATTATTTCTCACAATGTACAGCTCAGCGCCAAATATTTCTCACAATGTACAGCTCAATGCCAAATATTTTCCAGAAAATATCCGAAAACAATGGCAAAAATTGTTGACAAAAGTCGCCTATGGCGGCCTGTCTGCATGTTGCCTTTAGTCACCTATGGCACCGAAAGGGTTAACAACCTTGGCATTTTTTATAAAATAGTTATGATCTGTAACCTTTTCTCCACAAACATGATGTTATTGCAGCCCAAAATTTAAATGTAATCTGTTACATAATTTTATTCCTATTACATAAGTTTATGTTGAGCATGTCGCAACCAGGGTCATAAGTTCTGTAAATTGTCTTATTTCCCTTCTTGCAGATTCATTTTACTAATCTAAGTTTGGCACAGCAATGTCATATTCTAAAAAAAATCACTGATAACTTAATCCTACCCGAGCCTAAAAATTTTGTATTACATGGTTTGCAAAACGTTTACATGTGATCTTCACACTATGATAAGTTCTATGTTGTAAATTATGCGGTATGAATTGAACAACCCATAACGTTGAAGATTCTACACAAATTCTTAGACCCATCAACCTTTTGACAAAAATGTTGGGCACAACCTCCCATATGGGTAGTTACTTCTTTGAGTAATAAGTTAGTTACTCAAATGCATGGTCATTCTGAAACAGAAACGCTTGTTTAAAAATTTGCCAATAAAGGGACATAATCTTTAACATTATCCAAAAACTTTGTGTTAAAAGGACAATTTATATCACTGACATTGATTTCAGTGTACAGCCAGTGGCAGCATTAAGCGCAAATGTCTTTGGTGAGCATGAAGATACCTTGTGCTGTTTTCAGTTACACTATAATAAGCAGTGGATAAACAATAGAAATGATGAAGTCTGTGATTTTAACAAAAATGTATGACAACTTCACAAACAACTTTTTGTGTAAAAAAGCACAATTTTCCCCCAAATAACCCTGCAATTCAGATGTTATTGATTATTCAATGTGGTAACTATCCTTCAAATGCCAGGACTCTTACCCATGACTGTGGTTGTGCCCAACATAGGAAATGTTAAAATGTTCTATAGCAAAATGGTGGACTTCAGCAAGACTACAAATAAAATGCTGACTTTAAAGTTTTGCCTAGTACGTTAAGTGTTAGTATCTGTATTTCGCATCATATCCAACCAAGTCTAATTACGGTTTGTAGTGTGATAATCGCAAACTTTGACGTTTCCTGTGGAGTTCTTAAAATTTTGTGGCAGCTAAATTACAACCATTCAACGCAAAGTGTGAAAAGGATATATCTGTGCATAAAGCAACATCATTCGACACCATCATGCTTCGCTTCAAATTCGATCGAATTGTCTATATCAGTTAAAACAAACCATAAATAGGTCTCAATCTTCTTTCATTCACATCCACATGGCTACGAGACGCCATCTTTTTTATTAATCTCACATTTTCTCGCCAGATACGAGATCAGTAGCATTGATATTCTTCCGCCCAATCATTTAACTTATTTTTTAAATACATATTCGTTCGACGGAAAAAACAACTCTTGAATATTATGATAAGACGCATTTGATGCAAATGATAAACAAAAGGTTGACGTCGATGATAAATAAATAAATAAGTAAACAAAAAAACAAACTATTTTTTCAAACGGAAGTTGCATGTTATATTTTGAGGTGTTCCAAGGCACTTCCTGTAGAAGTTGCAAGTGCTTGTTGTAATACCTGTCGTTATTAGGAGTAATACATTTACAGTACTTACATCTCTGGCACTACGAACAAAGACAGTAAAAATTATGGCTGCCTCGTGTGAAACTCAAACAGAGGCCGTGATTAACATTTCGAAAAACTGCAGATTGGTGATGGAACAATATGAAAAGCAGAAAAGATGTTGGCCACAGGTTGGAAGGCACATTTTAGCGACATTCGACGAAGACACCCTCGTTGTGTACCAAGCATACAAACCTTCCATAGCACAGTATGCTGTTGAGAATCAAAGGTAAAAGATTTTCATATCATGGTCATTTCAACCAGTGACGTAGCCTATAATAAAGAGATAGGAAACGTTGTATTTCTCTGAAAGATAAGAATTTCGGGATACTAGCCTTGTTTCGTCTCTGCTTTCTCTGAGAGTCCATTTTTTATGTTTTCAAAATAAACAGTAGTAGAAAGATTGATACTTTTCAAAATGATTGTGTTAACTTGAGTGATAAATAATTTCTGTTCATCTGTAATTTTGCAATAGTGTTATAATAATATTTATTAAAAAAAAGTAAGTATAGCATACAGTCTCCGCTTTGTCCATCCGTTTGTTAATCCGTCCATCAGGATTTTGTCCAGGTAGATAGATCTCAGCATGGAGAAGTGCAGTTTTTTATACTTAAATTTTGTCAGAAGCATAATAATAAAAAAACGTAATAGGTAGATATATCTCAACAAGAAGGCGGACAGTGCACAAGAAACATAGCTCTCTCATTGCTCTGTGTTATTCTTTCATGCTTAAATTTTGTCAAATTTGGGGAGCATAACCTGTCTGTGACAGTCCTTGTTTACAACTGTAATATGTGTACCACTACATATTGTGTACCTTTTTCAGACAGAAATATGAAGTAAATAGTTTCTAAATCGATGACATTATAAAAAAGCTGAATAATTTTCTACTTGACTAGTGTAATTTTTTTTGTCATTTTAATTGGTTTGTATTATTTTTGACACGAAATTGGATTTATTTCTCACTGACTGAGAAAATGAATTTGAGCTGTTCTTGTCCCTATTTTTGTCCATCATTAGTTGATATGTCTCATGAAGGCATAGTATTCATTACTATTAGACATCTGTGAAAATATAACTCCTAATAGAGTTGGAGTCACAATATCTTGGTTGTGATTGGTTATAGATCGAATTGTGCAGGTACTACAGATGGATGCCCAACAATATTCAATAGTCAAACCCAATGACAGAAGATGTAAGGCATTTGATAACCTTGATTTGATTAATATCATATTGATGTTACTTGCTATGTTGGTAGATATAAGTGTAACATAGTATGAAGTCAGGGTTTTGCCAACATTAATAAGTATTATACATGAATCAGATTGATCCACTTCTATGGTTTTGAAGTTTGCATCAATTTAATGAAATATAAATTTTATTTTATTACTTAATTTCTTTCAATTTCAAATACAATTGCTATGCTGACTTCTCTACTTTGATGACTAGCATTCACACATTCAACAACACTAAAACTTCCTCATGATCATTTTCACTTAATTTGAGTTTTTAGTTGTCATCAGTCTAGTTTATCAAAACACACCTAACTGAACAAGACCTATCAATCTGTAGCTTAAACAGCCACAACCTCAAAATATACCCCTCTGAGGATTTCAGGTTCTCTTTCAATAGTGGCCCACCCACCCTTCCCAAACATAGCTTGCTTTCCTTATAAGCTTTTCTGGCAAGAAAATCTATGATACACCAACACATTGTATGTAAAGATACATGTTTCACATGAATGTTTGATTGACCAGCATGTATTACTTATGAAATATGATTAGTTTTTCATACATATTATAATTTATTTGTTTTAATTCTATGTTCCACATGATACTCATTTTATGATAAACAAGTAAGTACAAATTTATAATTAAAGACTTATCTATATACAGATCTATATTTCAGTTATATATTTCGATACTTGTTATTGTTTCATATGTCCCATGATACTCATTAATGACATATAAATGAAAAAAAATTCATATACAAATAGATATACATTTCAGTTCACATTTGGATTTTAGACAGTAACATCAATACCAAGGCACATTATGAAATATCAATCTACGATCACAATTACCATATCAAGGAAATTAGAAAGATTTATAAGCTTGTAAGGTTTCAAATGAGTACTAAAGTAAAGATAATGGATGAAATGAAATACACTCCATTTCATTTCTAGTTTGTTTTGCTCATTTTGTACTGTCCCAGGAGCAGGGATATTTAATAAATACAATGTTTTTATTGAAGGCACAGAGATGAGCTCAACAACAGTGTTAGGATGAAAACTTCTATATCTGTTCATTCTATTATATGGTGTTGATGAATTTGGTTTCAAATATATGTATGTAAACTGTATGAAATGAAATTAAGTTTTGAATAAGATGAAAGATAGAAAGTGCAATATTTTTCCAAAATTCAGAAAATAGTTTTTAAAGATTTTTTGTTTTTTTATACACCGCCAGATGCAGTCGTATATTGGCGTCATCTTCTCCGTCCGTACGTCCATTTCTTGTGAACACAAATCCTCCTAAACTAACCATCAGATTTTTATGAAACTTGCTCAATGTCACTACTACAATGGATAGATGTGCATGAAGGGGCGATTTTTTGGTTCTTTGATTTTTGTAAGATTTATGCCATTTTCAACTTTGTATCTGTAGCTTGCTCTTAGTGGAGATTTGTGAACGCAAGTCCTCCTAAATTAATGATCATAAAACTTGCTCAATGTCACTAATACAATGGTTCAATGTGCATGAAGGGGTGTCTTTACGGTTCATTGATTTTTGTAAGATTTAAGATACAGACAGGTTAAAAGTAAAAGGACCAATCTTGATCTTTATATTTTGTGGCGGCGTATATTGTGTCCACGGCACTCTTGTTTAGAAAAGTATTGGCAACATTTACTTTACACATATCTATTGAAAATCAGTTTTGTAAGTTTAAAGCAATTTCATTGTATATATGCATGACCTTAAAGAGAAAAAAAAACAAACATTGAATTGCAGTGATGAAGATTTGAAGTACAGTCTCTTAGATTGTGTTTATCATGTTTAAGATTTGGAGGACCAGACTTTGAACTGACCAGGATGTCTTGGATCAAAACCAATTTTCTGTGGATGATGTATAGATGTGGCTGGGCAACTAAAAGGAACCAAGAGAGAGTGTTAGCAGTACGGATTAAAAGAGATGGATTTGAAGAAATTTTAGCAAATGCTTACACTGTTGAGGTATATTGAAAATGTAGTCAATCTTTTTAGTATAAATACAAAATGCTGCTGTCTGCTGTTGAAGTATATACAATATATACTTGTATATAAATGAATTCACATCCTTATAAAGGACTAGAGAAAATAAGTTTAAATATCAATTTTGAAAATGTTGAAACATTTTTAGGCCAGATCAATGTCAGTAAACATACCGGTACTTAATTCTCATTTAGAAATCATCAGTAGACCTCTTATCTCATTATAATTAAAGAGACAATTAGGTTAGGAATTATGCAGTCTGACTCAGTGATTATTATATACATTTTTTTTACTTTATCTTTTACCAAGTTAATATTTGAAGGTGTTATTGAACATTTAATTTTATTATAGTCTGTAGCCTAAAAGGGTGGACTGTCTTGGTATAAAATTGTAATATTTGCAAGTGAATTATTTTTGGTGACTCATGATTTGGCTAATAGCATCAAAAGTTCAACATCTTTCTATTATTGTGCTATTTTTCTTCAATGCAATTCTGAAAGTCTGGATTAGATTTCAACACTATCTTTCATGAATTATCACTGCAAGTCAAAGATTTTAAATGCATGAATCCTGACTTGGTAGACTACTTTCCTTGGTTTTTAGAACCTGAAAATAGATATTTCTGTTTGTTTCTTGTTATTGGATTGAATTTTTGCTTATAAATTACTTTCTGAAATGAGACTTTAACAAATGATTCACCAGAGTAAAAGTTAAGTTTGAAGGAAAAGTTTGATAAAATTATTTTCTAAATAACTTTATTTGATCATTATATAAGAATCCTGATACTTGACTAAAAGCTGAAATCAATGGCAAAATCTTATTTAAGAATAGATACATAAAATTTCGTGAATTACAAAGTGATAGATTTTGCCTTCATTAAGGTTTTGCTGTTTATTTTGGTCGATTCTAAAATTTCATCAAATTACAATTGCCTTAGTTAGTTATTGCTGTTGTACTGTAAATCTTTTTTCTTGGAAGAAACTATCTGACAGTCCTAATAGAATGTGACTGGAGAATCAATTGAGCACTGTTTAGTTCTGTTAAACTACTGATTTGAATATGTTTTTGTACATTTATGAAACCACAGTTTCAGAAAGCAAGAAAGATTCAGACAAAAGATATAAGAGTGCGTCTTCAGTGGGATCCAGACCATAGCCCGACCTATGCTAATCAGAGAAGGAAAGCCATCCAGTTAGGACTGAAAGGAGAGGTATGCATTTTTTTCTCTTACCAACTTTAAAAGTTCAAGAAGTGAAAGTATGTTGTCATTGCATATATCATATGATAATGGTTACCCAGTATAAAGTGTTTATCTTATCTCTTTGTTATAATCAATATCTGCTGAATTTTTCTGTAACAAACTACATTTTCCTTTAAATGCCATTCAAATTGTCGATCATATGCTGTCTGTCAATCTGTCCATAAATGATTTTTATTATCTCAAATTTGTTTGAGAATTACTGGATGGATCTTTCTCAAATTTCATATATAGATTCCCCTTGGTCTCTTTTTGTGCTAATTTGATTGTATGACTGATCAGAAAAACAAAATGGCTGAGAGAAGACCATCTCTGATTTTGTCTAGTAAAGTCTGCTATCACTACTTCTTGAGAAGAACTTGATGGATCCCTGTCAAATTTTATATGAAGGTTCACTTTTTTTCCCTATTTATGCCTGTTTGATATTATGACTGATTAGAAACACAAAATGGCTAACAGGAGGCCATCTTGGATTTTAACAATGAAAATGTGTTATTGCTATTTCTTGAGAAGTACTGGATGAATCTCTCTCAGATTTCATATATAGGTTCCCATTATGTCCCAAGTTGTGCTTGTTTTATTTTGGGACTGATCCAAATAACAAAAAATAGCGCCATCATGGATTTGGATGTTAAGGATTATTATCCCTTTTTTGTGCAAAGGAATGATCAATTTTGGTATCAGTAAGATCAAGATTAGGCTAGAGAAAAGAAGGGAAAAGATCAAACGTTCAAAGAACAAATAAAGATCAAACAATCTACCAAGAACTAGACTTTTCTGACCTACTGGTTTGGAACTGTTTTTATGCAATTCAAGCAATATCTAGAACAGTTTTGTCAAAATAAAAATTCATTGAATCCAGTTGTCATTCAGTCATATAATCCAAAGAGATCATAATTCTGCCACACTGAAGAAATTCAAAATTGAAAAGTACTTTAAACTGTTGCAGTTTTTATGCAATCTTTACTCAAATTAATTATTACTTGTGATTGATTTCTGTCTCAAACTGATATCCATGTTATTTGGGGCTTTTATGGGTTTCAGAATGGCCGTCCTCAATCAATCTTGTGTAAGATAACAAGTGTTATTATAATAGTCAAATTTAACTGGGTCAGAGCTCATTTCAAAAGGTACATGTAATATAACAGGACAAAATTAATGCGAATCCAATGGTAGATAAACTTCGCTGAATTCCATGCAAAAGGAAAGAATTAGGAATACTACATGAACCTTGGCCAAAAACTGGTCAAAATATAACTTTTGGGGCAAGAGCTGGAGAAGTGGAAATAACAATTACATATTATAATGGCTTTAATTTACTTTTTACATAGTAACTTTCTCTGATCTGGATGAAGCTGTAAAGAAATTCAGTCAGGTTTGGTCCTCTAGGCTTCATGTTTGGCTTGATGTTGGGCAGTAAAATCATAAAAACACTGATGGATGCTAGTGAAAGCCCCCTTTAGGATATCTTGCTCTTTCTTGATGCATTTACTTTTGGCAGTGATAAATGTTACCTGGAGTACCATTTTTAAAACAAGAATCCATCATCTAATTCAGTAAATTTGAAGATTACAATACTGAGTAAACTTTCAGATGCTGCAGAAGTATAGCTGTGAATGGATTGTCAACATCACTGACATCACTGATCTGGTGAAAAGTATGAAATCTGATCTGGATAAAGGAGGTACAGAAAAACTTTGGACACCAAAAGAAATTGTCTATAATGTCAAAGACAAAACAGTACGAGAGAGAATTGCTTTGTCAAGTGAGACAGACTCAGACCAGGACCAGTCATCAAACCCAGGAAGTTCCTGTTCTGCACCACCTGAAATGATGGCAGCTGGACCTCATTCATGATGATGTGTTTTTATAGAAGAGATTATTGTTTATAGTTGGTTGAATATGGTGACTAAGGTGGTTAAGTTGGTAAGGTTATCTACTCAGAGTTCACAAGTTCTGTGTTCAAACCACCGTCTGTGTTCCTGTTGTATTTTGCTGGTCCTGTTACAGTAGTTGTGTGTTGAAGGAGGACCTTGACTTAGATAATGAATAGAACTGGGAGGAAGCTGAAAGCCTGAGTGGTCACTTGTGATTGGATAACCTCTGTTTAGGATACATAACCTCAGTGTTTTATTAACATATATAACTTCCTTGTTATGAAAAGAATAAGCCCACTGGGAAAAAATTTGTTCTGTGTTATATATAAACACTTTAGTTTCACACATACAGATATTGTACATGTGTTGTTAAATGGCCATTTGTGATTAACAACCATTTTGGGCCAAGACGTATGTTTGTAGATGATATAAAACTAACATACATTGTATAGTCAAATTAGTAGATTAAAACATGAAGGCACTTTTGTCTGGCCATGTTGAAGAAATTTATATAACAAACAGATAGATCTGTGGTGAATTTCTTTGACAAAAGCATCTGCTGACAAGTCAATCTTCAACTCTTCATATCATTACTAATGATGACATCTTTTTCAGATTTTCAAAATGTTACTTTCTGTAATATTATTGGAAAATATTTCAAATTTACAATTTATTTTAACATGACTAACAGGGAAATAATAAATAACTGGTCAGTTGTTCATCAGTACATCTGAAATTTTATTGATAGTAGTTCTCTACTTCAACATCTGCACCATAACATCTGTGATAGCTGCTTTAACATTTACACTTATCTGTGATAGCTCATATAGTTCATTCTGTTCAATTAGCTAATGTGATATTTTTTTTACAGGCAGTGAAATGTATTGATACAAGAAATTTTGCAAAGTATTTAATTATATCATGTTTGCCAACTTTGAAGGGATGAAACCGGTTTATTTACTCTATATCTAAAAAAAAATCTTGTAAATTAGACTTGATAAAATCATCATACTTTTTAAAGTTAACACTCTTCTGTTAAAAGATATCATAGAAACTAACAAAAGAGAAAGCTGTGTAGGGTTTATTAGATTTGTAAAATAAAACACTATTGAAAACTTGAATTTAGCAAGTACCACTACTGATTTATAGTTCCAAGTTACCTCAGGATAGTTTTACTTGAATGTCCTATGAATTATGTTATCGTTTACATTTTACTTTCATATATTAATTTCATGTTTACATTAACAACAAATAAACATCTGTGATATAGATTTTTTTGTCTGGAGTTTGTGTGGATATTTCATTGGTAGAAGTGGTATACATATAAAACAGCTCCTTATCAAAGGTCAATTATACAAGTTTTGAACTGGGTAAATCAGTGGCAGATAAATCAGCTGGATTACATAGTATGTGTTTATCTAATGAAGATTTTGTCTAGAGTTAAGAATTCAATTTTAGGTAGGGGGTCCTGGGTTTGAATCTATAGTTACACATACACTATATATCAAGATTCTGGTGTGATTTAGTGAAATTAAGTTTTCAGAGAGCAGACAAAAAAAAGATGGCAAAAGAATGAAAAAAATCAATAACTGTATCCCTCAAAAACAAAGACAACAAGTACAAAGTTAGCGAATTAATTTTTTATTGTCTGACAGACAGACATGAAACAGCCATTTTCAATACTCCAGGGTTTGAAAATTATGATCACTTTAATTTGCTCTTTTCACCCAAGAACATTTCCTGGCAAAATTGAAGTTACATTTAAAATAGTTTGATCGGTCTAGAGCAGGATTCAGAAGCAAAAACTAACAAATCACAGACAGATATGGTCCTTTGAAGATTAGTACAACATAGATGCCAAGCCATATCAAGATTTGTTTCATGTGCAACAAACAATCAAACTAGTCTTATTGTCTTATCCACAATGTGTCACACATGGAACATTCAATTTTGTTATGAAATGTTCCAAGGGTGCCGACAGCGATAGTAAGTACCCCTGGTGTATCGAGAATGTAAAACAGGATAATGTGACAAGCCAAACAAAAAGTATGTTTGTTTCCTGTTACACATACATTTTGAAAAATTCACAGCATTAAAAATAGTCCAATGAGTACTGTAATAAAAACTTTCAACACGTTAAAAGTTTGGAGGTAACAGGAAACAAAAAGTCTTTATTGAGATCCATTAATATGACCAGAGAAATCACTGAGTGGTCATATGTAAAACACCTTATGGACTGATAACTAGAAATGTGATTCTCCAAGATGTTAACATAATATCTTCATCAGCTTGTCTTTGCACGATTCCTGCATGTTATATGTAGATTTTCAGAGATGGATTTGGATTAATGACACTGTACTCTCTTCAGCAACGAAACCAAAGTCACATTTTCTGAAGAACATAATATTCTTTGTTCATAATTAAGTGTTATACAATCACAGTGAATATAAATAGTATCAATATTATATTTCCATCATTCTATATGATAGATCAAGGATCTAGCCATCCTTTGTGATACTTCAGGGATCTAGCCTTGCTCACAACATAATGCCAGCAAACAGGACAATCATTCTGAAATGTTTGTCAGTGCTAAGACTGATCCTTCTAATAGCTTTTCAAATAGTCAATAGAATTTATCCTGTGGAACCAACCATTCACAGATTCACTTTGTGACTTGATTTTGAAGCTGGTTCATTGCTTCAACCTTTGCATTTTCATCCTGTTGTAGAGATATCAACTTCTTGTTGACTACCTCCTGGATTTCCAAGTACTTTGCAATACATTTGTCAATACAAACTGCTTCATTTTTGTTCAGTTCAGTTTCCTTTCCATTTGGTGGTAAACATTTCTTCAAACACACACCTGACGCCCTGAAACAAATGGAAAACTAAAATAAAGAATGATTTGATGCTGAGAAGTAATCTGTAGATGACTGATGCCCAGCCACAATGATAAACCTGCAAAGATAACTATGAAATTTCATCAAAAAAGTCTTAAATATGTTTGAATATTTTGATCAAGATGTCGGAGTTCGGTAAGGAATCTGCTCGGTCACTTGCCAGGATAGAATTTCATGCTTCTGTTACGTCAACTATCGTCAGGAAAATTCTGACATAAAAAAACGCTGTTGTAAATAATATTGGAGAGAAAAACAGTTGAATGTGCATTTCACAGTTGTAGTACTGAATTTATTGCAAAGTTCCACAAGAGGAGTGTTGGATCACCCTTTGTTATCAAATTTAAGAATGTATGAAACCCATGTATGACCAGAAGTAGAGTATACCAGGTAATTCAATAAGGAATAAACTCCAACATAATGTCATAGACTTTTGCATTTTGATGTCCTTCATTACAAACAGTTGGGACTTTTTTTTCCAAAGTGGAGGGATTGGTATTACATTATGTACATTTTTTCCTGTGTACTCGTTGTTGTCATGATTCAGCTTTTAGTATCAATAATTTCAACATTGTTCCATGTATAGGGTAATTCTGTTAAGCATAACTCTCTGGAAGTTTTGGGCAGAACTTAAAAGCATTGTGGAAGAATTACTGCTACAAGCCACAGGACTTATGTGAACGCTGACTTGGTGGATCACTTTTGAATTTCAGGATCCATAAATAAATAATTCAGTATTTCATTTATTTGTAATGTTTGTTGGGTTTTTTTTTATGACATTTGAGTGAAAATTACAAAAAAAATGTTTAAAAAAATAAAAAAAATAAAATACTGCAACCCCTTCTTTTCCCAAACATCACAATTTAAAGTCTTTTTTAAATGTACTAAAACAAATTATTACAGTATCATTCTATTGTATCTTAATAAAAAAATCTAATTTGCTGGTAAATGAAATTTCATTACATATTAACAGAAAAGCAGAGCAGCATAAAAAAATGGTTTGCTAGTAACAAAAATCTCCTTGTAAGTAACCAAGATTACTTGTTATTCTTGAAACAAGAGGCCTAATAGGCCTGCAGCACTCACCTGGTATCAATATACAAGCAAAATGTCATGCCTCTAGCACATTTAGTTCCTGAGAACAAAAGGTCACGGTCATTTTTTTCACAAACTTTGTTGTGTTTCATCCTAGGAATATACCAGCGAAATATCATCCCACTACACCTTTTCGTTCATGAGAAGAAGTCATTTAAACGTTTTAACAAATCTTTCTCCTGTAACGTTGAATATAGTCAAGGTCACTTATTTTCACAAACTTTGTTGGGCTTCGTTCTAGGAACATAATAGCCAAATATCGAAGCATTTGGTTCAATTGTTATTGAGAAGAAGTTGTTTGAAGGAAAAAGTTGACCCATGACAATGAACGAGATGCTGCACCACAGCATACAAATTCAGGGAAATAAGTGAAATTTCATTACATATTCTGATGTCTATAGCAGAAAAGAAGAGTGGCAACGTATCATTTTTTAAATTACTTCCTGTCATCAAACCTTTCAAAATCTCATCACCAAATCAAAAGTTCAATTTTGTAAATTAAGGGCATCCGAGTTTCATACACCCTTAATATTGTGATAAATATCCTGAAAGCAGGAGTCAATTTAGTTTTTGAGCGGGCAGTGATTATTTTTACCGGTAGTACCTCTAGATAATTTCTTAAGAAGGCAAGCATTCTGAATAAGCAATTTTTCTTCTTACCTACAACATATATACAAAGTATGTTTGTTATAAACCTATCATTAAATTTTCAACATTTTTTTGAATGAAGACATACCATAATAAATCAATTCACAATGAATATTGTGTTGTATATCTTATATTCAAAGGGTTGATTGTGTGACAATTCAAGGAATTATAAAATTGAATATCTTTGTCTAAAAGATGCTAGTGTACAAATAACCTCAACTTAGTTATTCATTGACCATCTTTAATCAAAACCCTGTCATGTTATTGGCTAACTATCTTGACCCTGGATTGAACTTCTCCGTTATTCAGAAGAAGTAATGGTTTGTAAATATGTAAACACATGTGATCTCAGTGAATTCGAAAGTAGGTAAAGTTTGATCACATAAATAAACTGTAGTCCTGCTCCATCTCCGCATGCGATGAGCCTGGATCTAGATCTCTTAGTGAAAAGTAAAATAAAAATTGGTCTAGGTAATCGTTTGGACAAAATTGAGGGCTCTTCATTTTACCATACTATTATACCTTGACCTTTAACCTCTTTGTTTTCATGTATTTGAACCCTCTGGCCTTCAAAGTGTCTCAAGGTCATTCATTGAAACAAAATTGATAGCACTGCTACATACCAAAAACAACCACCTTCATCCTCCGAGTCATTCAGAAATTCATGATGCTAAAACATTTTCCAATGAACTTTAGAATTGGATGTATATTTAGGTAATTTATCTTGGAAAGCTCCTGGCAAAATATCATGACCTAGAATCTTTCCGTTATTCCGCCAACGATTAATGAAGGAACATCCGATGCACCATTGATGAATTGACAACATATCACAAAGACTAATGCTAGAAATTAAAAATGACAATAATTCATTAACTTTGGAGCTTTGGTGACTCTTGGTTGCATCTGCATGTTTTAATTACTTCTTTTTTCAAATATGGTGCTATGAATATGACCAAGATTCTAACTTCAGTTAGTGGTAGTTTTCTAAGATCAAAGTTTTGGAAGTAGTACGTGTACATATTGGAAAAATTAACGGTAGTTATTTCTACAAGAACATCGGCGGATATGATGGAAACGTTTCTGATCATACAAAATTACCTTTGATAGAGATCTTGCATCATTTCTACCTCTAGTTCCTGAAGTGACTTCATTTGTGATTCGTTGAAATTTTCCATCCTGATATAATCAATCTATTCTCGACTGTCTATATCAATCAACGTCTACTTTACTTTAAGAGTTTCCAAGCGCAATATTAACCTACTAAATCTTGAGAGTAAACATATACACGTGCCCTCCAACGGAACCGGATATCGATTTACCGGGAAGGCACACACTAAAGTACTAGACATGATTTGACCGGAGTACTACAGAGTTTTTTTACACCTATAGGTACACATGGAGCAAGAGACAGGTGTACACAATTTTTTTGACGTTTTAGGGTCTAGGTCAACATTCAGTAACAATGACAACCCCTATGGTGTATTTGTATCTTTTTTTATCATTATTATTTTTCAAATCTTTCATCATAGCTTAAAGACATAACAATATATATTCACATTCATATAGGCGATTTTTTTTTATATTATTCATTCAAAAGTATATACTCGATAATGAATAAAGAATAATATGCTGATTATTTCATCTTGATATATATATATCATGATTAATTATTATCAACATCATCATCGTCTATGTGATTCATGGGGCAAATCCAAATGCACAACAATGTTCTCCTTTCCATGTACTTCAAATGACACTGGTGATTTTGCACCTGTCCCTGTTCACACATCTGTGCATCAGTATTTGTGACAGATCTGCATATATAACAAACCTCAAAAGACAGTTTGTATAATTAAAATGAGTAAAATGTATAATAAGACACTTTTAATACATGTGTGTGAGAAATGGGCCATTCTCAATAGGATTAGAGTTGGAAACCTTAATTATCAGTTGAAAGCTATCACAGATAGGATCATTGAAACTTTGGTCAATGTATATATCTGGTCCGTCCCAATGCTGTGCATTTAATGTAAGCTGACAAATGATAATGTTGTGCACTTTCTTGGTGGCCATCCAGTTGTAAATAATTATACTACTGTAAAACTTGAGCTCAGCCAGTAAACTAGTTGGTAATATGTATTACAGTAACGTACTGCTTCATTCACTGGCGAGTAGTGATGATTGTTGACAATTGTATTTTTAGCCCACCATTATCATCAGATAGTAGGCCGTTCAAATTTCCCTGCAGTCCGAGTCCATAATCCATCATCAGTCTTTCTTACCATAAACAGTTCTTGCTATATTTATTTCTAAAAAGGTACTTGATGGATCTTTTTTAAAATTTCAAACATTATGCAATCTTTCAAATGATGAAATACAAGTTATCCATGCTTCTGTATTACAATAATTTAGATTGTCTATTAGTGATAAGGATACAGACCTCCCTCATTTATACTGGATCCCCAAACTTCACAAGACTCAATAAAAAAAACCCGTTTTATTCTGGTTTGTCTGTTTAACCAAGCCTTTGTCTTAACTGCTTACCACCATTCTAAGTACTATCAAATCTAGGTTACAGTCCTATTGTGATACTCTTTACTCAAGAAGTTGAATTACCCTCTTCTAAAAATCATTTCCTCTATAAGTACATTTGAATTTTCCACCCTGTACACCACCATACCCCATTATAAACTGAAGTAACGCCTTCATTCTCTTGTTAGAGCTTTCTTCTCCAAGAAAGGCCAATGGCGGTACAAATATATGTCTGTGAACTATACTGAAGCGTATTTTGTAAAACTTACATCCAAATCAAAGAAAAAATATACGGAGAACAAAATCATAAAAATGATCAAGGTTTTGGTTGACAACATCTTTGTCGAGTTTAGTAGTAAGATCTTCCAACAGACTTGGCATACTTATGGGAACTAACTGCACCCCTCTGTTGACAGACTTGTTTTTGTTTTCATACGAGGCTGAATTTATTGATGAGCTTATCAAAACAGGTCACAAAGACCTTGCAATGTCCTTTAATTTCACCTTCAGATATATTGACTTTAAATAACAAGAAATTTATTGATTACATCTATCAGTTATAGTGATTATGATGATTTTGTAGATGACAAGTCCTCTCTCCTACAAAACTGGAACATCTCCTGGTGGTAGACTGTTTTCTTTTTGAGATGAGCTGACAGGTGGCCATCTTGAATTTTGACATTTCTCAGAAAAGACAGAATGTATCATTTTCAAATTTTACATATAAGTTTGTCTGGTCATTCATTGTGAAAGATGTAATTTTGAGGCTGGTCAGAAGAAAGTATGGTTACACAATGATTTTATGGGTGACAAGATCAGAAGAAAAATATGCATAACCAACAGAAATATTTCTTTTGTCTTTTTTTTTTTTTTTTTACTTCTTTCAGTCAAAAGACCAAATTATAAGCTTGCATTTAACGAAGGATTTCAAGCATATCAAAATTTTCTTTTTTTCCTTAAAAAACAACTTTACATGTGATATGAAAAAGGAAAAAAAGATTGATTAAGAATAAGGTTATGAAAAAATCAAAACATAGAACTGATCAAAGAAGATCATATCCACCTATGATTACTTTTGTTCTGTTCATATTTTAATTCCATAGTACTGTATAATGACCCTGTGAACATGGGTACATACAGTTGGTCCCTTATCTCTACTCTAAATATCACATTAAAAGTTGTAATCAAATTGCCAATACATGTTAAAAACATTTGAACCAGATTTTCAATGGGAGCACACATCCTACACCAACTATAAGTTACATTACCCTCTACAGGGAATCTGATATCACTTTATTGGTTTCTTTTTCTGCAGGGATGTTGATGTCACTTTTGTTTCATTTTTATAGGGATTTTGACACCCTCAATACTCCAAGGATTACAATCACTTTTGCTCTCTGCAATCAAGAACATGTTCTGGCAAAATTGAAGGCACTAGCGAAGTAAGTTGATTGGTTCCAGGAGAAAAAATCTGACCATTCACACTAAACTTACAATATTATAATATACCGTTATGTGACCCAGAGATTTGTTTTATGTACTATGTACATCAAATGACCAAACCATTTTTTTCACCTGTCCACAAGGTGTCGCACATGGAACTTTCAGTTTTACCATGACATGTTCCAAGGGTGCACAGAGCATCGAGGATGGGATTTTGATGTAACTTACTTTCTTTCATTTCTGTTGAGTTTTCGTTTCTGCAATAATTTTAATGTCACTTTATTGGTTTTTCTGTTGGAATTTTTGTTGAGATTTCAAAATCGGTTTCATTTCGACTTTTGATGTCACCATTATTTTTGTTGGGACCCTGCAACCTAACAGTGGGTCACAGTTAAATTTCATTTGGCCATCCTTGAAACCCTTCATCAAAGCGTGCTTCAGTTCAAATAACACAACCCTGTACCTGTTAGTGATGTCATTTGAATATCCAAACTCATTTGACCTTTGTGACCCTTTAAGTATGCTAAGGTATACAATTTGAAAACTCTTAACTCAAGCATACTATTGACTCAATATCTTGGCTTCAAGCTTCTTAGAAAATTGAAATGAAGTCATTTAAATGGGTTTGTTTGCTGGGTTTATCACTATCTTAACAGTCAGGATCATTTAATGCAAATTACTTTATAGTATATAATACTTGCTTGTCACCTAGATGTCCAGGAAAGGACATGAAAACATATGGGATCACATGCTTGACCATGTGGGTTTTCCTCGCGTACTTCAGTTTTCTCCCACAATAAGACCTCTCACATGCCTCCATCTTGGCCAACAATAATTGATATAAAGTTGGAATTACTTGTTTCCCAATTGTTGTAAAATAAATAAAGTTTAATTTTAAATAATGCTGCACTCACTGGTGGCTACTTTACCAAACATCATTTGTGTGGTCTGTCACATGACATTTAGAGTAACTGGGGTAAAATGTCCACGAGCATAACCAAGACAGCATGGGCTAGTCTGCTTCCAAGTTCTCTAAAAAACAGCAGCTGCAACAGGTAGGGAGCGTTGAACCACACACCTCAGATCTTCAATCTGACAGGGTGATGCTGGATGAACAGCATACAGATGGACCCTGGACACCACATCACAGCATAAGCTAATTTGCCCATTTAGCAAGTAAATATAGAGACTTGTCTAGTATTACAGTAAAGCCATTAATTTTTGTGGGAATTTATTCTGATTGACTACGTGGGTACTATATTAATCCGTGGATTAATGTGTTATCATAATGATAAATCAGATAAAAGTTGATATGGGATATGGTACTAGTGGATTTTGTAAGACTGATTTAACCATGAAATCGAGTGCTAACAAAACTGTACCTTTTTGGAAAGTTACCAAAGTTGTGCTCCACAACAATATATGATTTCATAGTAAATGATTTTTACATTGAAAGAAAACAATAATAACAATAGTTTACAAAACTGTATATCTTATGTAATTTGATGGAATGACAAGTCTAACAAAACGACAATAATTATTTCAGTAAACATTCACAATTACAAAGTCTGAGTCAAACTTGTATTTTTCATAGCGCTAAAATCAATTTAATTGACAAAATCAAACATGTCTTTCAATTTCTGCACTGAGGTACATAATTTCCGAGTGAGATTTGGTTTCCAGTAAAATCACATGATTATTTAGCCGCCAACAAATCCTGGCACAATAATGTTGTTGGTTTACCATTCTGATAATACAGACACTTTCACCAGCCACCATTAATTTCGGGTTCTATATCAATAAAGTATTTTCCTTAATTCAAAACTGTCCTAGTTATCTAGCTGTTTTACAATAAAGCCACATGGGAAGAAATGATTATGACTGGACTGATGCAGATCCACTGTGTTACATGTTTCTTAAAAAAAAAAACCTTCTTAAACAAGTCATGTTTAAAACACTTTATAAATCTGGTGATTTAATTTTCATTATCTTCATTTCAATCTAAGTTATCACAGCACAAGAGAAAATGATACATGTATTCCTGTAACACAAGTTAAATATGTTTAGGAATCATTTTCCTAATAAAACATAACGCCTCATAAATATTCAACACCTGATAATCCTTTGGTCCACTGTCACAGAGTTGTTATGTAATGTCTCACTCATTGGTATTGTGAAGGTTTTAGAATCACAGCATCCTTAAATTGCCCTCCTCTGACGGCTGGATTTGTATCTTTAGACACCTCTGTCTGACTGCACAGGCATGAATCTTTTCAACATGCTCGACAGCACAAAAGGCAATCTTTCTGACACATTTTGCCTGTTCAATGGATAATCTTTCTAAATTCAAACTAAAGTTGTATGCATACTTCACTTCTGTACTTGTGCTTGCTCCTGTTGTATTGAATTTAACCTCTTTCCAATCATTTCATGGATTTCTAGATATTTTGCTACACATCTGTCGATACAAACTCCTTCCCCTTTGTTTAATTCAGTCTCTTTATAATTTGGTGGAATACATTTCTTCAAGCACACACTGGTCAATCTGTAAAAGAAGAAAATTAGAACATCTCATGATCAAGATCTGACATTTTGAACGTGGTAGGAAATCCAAATAAAAGTCACTTAGTCCTTTTTTATATTCACTCTCAGAAGATCTAGTTAAAACTATTGTAAACCAAGTTGTTCCCAAAGATGTATAATCATCAATAGTCCTATGGAATTTTGAATTTTTACACAATGTATACTACTTGTGTAAATCCAGCTACTACTAATCCTATTCTGTATAAAATTACCTCATCACTCTTTATCTGAACACAATGTGCTGTATATATCCCTTCCAATATGTGCTACCAATGATACTTGTATGGTAACAGTACTCAAGAGGAGAATTAATCTTACTCAGCCATCAGTTTTAAAATGAGATCAAGTGTGTGACCAATATTACAGTTACCTTTCTTGTGTAAATTTACCAATAGCAGCGATGTGGTGCATGCTGTATCCCACTTTTACTTGATTACAACAATTTACAACTTAATCCTTTAATACAAGAATATTTGTTTTCATTCAATTGAAGAATATATCACATCCAAAGTAACTATAATTGTGCGTTTTTCCCCACTTCCTGTATTGTTCAACAGTCTGGAGCGGATGTTCAAAAAATCTGTCACAAAAGCTTTACAAAGCTCAAAAGCAGGCAGCAAGGGTGATTTTAGATGTACCATATGACACTCCATCTGCTGATTTGTTTTGTGTTTTAAACTGGTTGCCTTCAGCTGATTTTTATCGTTACAGGACAGGTTCAATGGTATACAAATGTGTCCATCATCTTGTTCCAGAATATTTATGTAGTTTGTTTAACTTGAAGTCTGATATTGATACCAGATGTACAAGATCAAGCCATAGCAATATTTTACATATTCCTAAACATTGTACCAAGTTTTATGGCAATAATTTTGTAGTTGCAGGAAGCCAACTCTGGAACAACTTGCCGAATGAGATAAGGACGGCAACACGTTTTGCCTCCTTTAAACGTTCCCTCAGCAATCGCCTCATGAAGCATGGATGAACAGATTTCATAATAAAATTATCTAAAGAACTTTTTAAAGTCTATTCAATATTTTAGCAGATTATTATCCTATTATCTTACCTATAACATTTTTAACCCATAATTAACTCTTTATCCTCCAGTGTATTTCATGTGTCAACACTGTAAACACACATTTTTTTATTATTGGTATTTTTTTATGTCATTTTTATTTTTCTTTGCTACACTATTATATTATGTTTAAGGCTGGAGCTGTTTAAATTGACTTAATATTATGTATGATATTTATGCATCCTGTGATATACCATTCTAAACTGTTATCTATGATATCTTGCTTTCTTACTACAGGTTTACTATGTATATACAATATGTAACTTTTATCTAACACATATATACTGTATTTTACTAACAAGAGGACCATATGGAAGATTAGCCGTTGGCTAAATATGTAATCCTCAGAAAATAAAGTTTATTATTATTATTATCATTATTATTATTAGAATATGTTAATTTGGATTTAAATGCCTGTTACTAAAACAGCAATTTTGTATATAACTTTACAGTACGAAAACAAGCCAATTAATGTTAAAATCAACTTTCTCAGTGTGGTATGACTCCAAATTTTTATTGCTATATTATCTAATGGCATTTTAATAAAAACATTATACTGTATCTATGCCTAGGTACATTTTATATACTGTATGTCTTGTTTTAGTCGGATTCCTGTGTTTCAGTAATTATAATAGAAGCTTAGTTCATTTCAGGCTTTACTTTTCATCTTTCAGATAGGATTTGCCTGATGCCTAATTCCTACATATCATACATATGCTGAGTAATTTCAATCAGGGTCATAGGTTAAAATGAAAGTCACAATGACATCATTTTGCGCCTGGTCCCAAGGCCACAAATAATCACCTATCAGACGTCGAGATGATGAACAGAAAATGAATAAGGGCTATAACTCTGATAATTATCACTGAAACTTGGAACTGGAACACATGTCAGATATTGAGTCAGTGAAAGTATCTATACCAACCTCTTTGATTGGATCTAAAGTATTGGAATGAATTGTAGAAAAAAATATATATTATTGCATAGGATGAAAAATATCAGCACACATGTTTGTGTCCTTGCAAATGAAAATGATTTACATGACGCAACATAAGCATACTAAAAGTCACCTTTGGTAAAGATTCTGACTCATCTCCACCTCGATTTCCTGGATCACCTTCATTTGAGACTCAGTTAAATTTTCCATCTTGATTTTTGGTAATCACAATATATAGATCTTGTATATTACCGGTGTTCTACGATACACACGTGCACTGTGACCTTATTCCATCCGGAACCGGAAACATAGTCAGCTGTTACATTTACCAACTTTTTACCCAATCAAACTCGATATAACATACACAATGACCAATCAAAAGAACCTTAACAACACTACTTGACGGATATTTGTGTTGACTTCGATGACAGGTACATGCCAGAGGAGAGTAATACTGTGAAACTGTGACCTAATCTATCCATTCTTACTGTATTGCGGCAGAACAACTTGATCAACTCTGTGTGATACGTCATGTATCGGTCGACCTTTTTTAGTTTCACTTTTGCTATTTTCATGGAATCACTTTTATTCCGAAATCAACTACTTTCACATTGTCTATTGTGTTGCTGGGAAAAAACAATCAAACCATTGTTTTGATTTAGCCATATATCGTCTTTTTTTTTACATCGTTAAAGATACCAAAATAATGGCAGACAGTACGACACTTGAAACGAAGTTTTGTTCAAACTGGTAAGTATACTTAATGACTGACATTGGGATCGTTTATCTTAATACGTCTACACTCAACATGCTGTTGTTGTGTTGTTGTTGTTGTTGTTGTTATTGTGTTGTTATTGTTATTATTTTACTTCCTTGCCTGACGTTAACTTGGCTAAAGCTTTAATGTTTCCATTGGGATAAGATTGTCACTCACTTAGACAATTCTCATGGTCATTTAATTTCCCTTCCTGATTCAATTTACATGTACTGTATAGACAGTGCAGGTGCATTGTAGTGTGATTCAAAACGTTGAAATGTTACAAATATCAGTACTCCTTTTTTTTATTTATTTTTTTAATTTTTTTCCCCTGACTAGACCAGAATGTTCATACTACTAAAATTTTGATGGGTACCATTGCCAAGAGTTATCATAATAACTAGTTCTTACTATGTGGATGAGTTGCACAGGAAAGTATAAATATTTGTCCATTAAGTCAGAAAATTCAATGAAATCTGAAGATTTTCACCACCTTCTTGTAACCTTGTCATCAGTATCTTAATTCATAAAATATAAAAACCATTTGAAATTTTGTCAAAGTCTAAATGAAAAAAAAAATTATCAGTGGTAAAACATTCCAACCTTGATGCACTATTTCGGGTAGTGACCAGTAATTGAAGATACAGGTGCTCATGTGTATTGCTTTATGCTAAGTGATAATATTGTGTTGTGGGAATTGAGGCTAATAGCTCATCTAAAAATAACTCCCATATCAGAATGATTGTACATACCTTGCACATATATAACATTTCGTGGTTGTGCCTGCTGCATTGGTCTTAGATACATGCCAGCAGAATGAAGTTCACAAGCTGTAGTGGGAGTATCAGATGAATGATAACGTAAGCAGGCATTGGATGTTTCTGTGCTTCATTCATGTCTGGCTGACTATAGAAGTCGACTAAGATTTCTATTATACCTCTTTGATTCTCAGACAGTGGACCATTATGGGATAGGGTAGGCTTGTGAAAGGGGTCTCAACACCAGCTTTGATTTCCTTTTTGGATTAAAAATAAAGAGCAAAATAAGAAAAAACAACAAAATGCAATATCATACAACATCACACAATAACTGTTGAAGGAGCTACAAAGCAAAATTGATAGAAATATTTGGAAAATTTGATCCGATATCAAGGTCACCATTTCAATTGTCAGTGTTAAGTTTTTTATTATGAAGCAAATTTGATCAGAATCTTTTGATGATAAGACCAAACAATATTAAAAGGTCACCATTGAAAAGATTGGTATTAAGTTTTCTGGACAGAGTATTAAAGAATCAGCTAATTAATCATTATTGTTTGATAGCATAATTCTTTTCTCCAAATCATCACGATTTGGATAAAAATGTTAAAAATGGTGATTACGTCAAATTTTATTGAAATCAAACGTTGAATCACGTTTTCAAATGTTTAGGTTGATTACTCAGTCATTGGTCAAGTCTTATTTTTTTTTTTTTTTGACAAAATGAAACTGGTACTATTACATATGACACAGGCAGTATGTAACACAATTTGTGAAGCTAGAATTGAAGAATTCAAGAATTTGTTTTGGCTAATAAGATAAAATTTCCATAAGTTCTACCCTCATAAATTTAAATTTAATTTAAATAAGTTCAGTAAACATGCATGAAATCAGCTTTAGATGTTGTTTATTTTTTATTATACATCCTTGACATTGACAAATACATGAGGATAGTCTTTTGTTGTGTAATGGTGTCTATAATTTTTGTTATAGCATAATATAAATCTGATTTCTTTCTTTCATGAAACTATATATATTATATATTAATTAGTCCCCTGTTGGGAACCAACATTATTGTAGTTTTGTGTCCTTCCACTTATACAGAATTAATCACAGGAACTTCAAACTTGGGATGTGAATTCACATGTGGATGTAGGTCACTCTGACCTTTAAGACCTTTGGTGTACATCAAAGGAAATGTGTGTCTAGGTTTTCTTCCTACACTACTTGTCACTGGAATATCATACCAATTGTATGGGTTTACCATGATAAGGCAATGTGTCATGTATCAAATGTAGGTCACTCTGAAATACATTTTGACCTTAGACTCACATCAAAGAAAACATTTATCTGCAGGGCCCTATCTTCTACAATACTAGTCACTGGAACTTCATACTAATGTTATGGTTTCACCTTGGTGAGGTGGTGTGTCATGTATCAAAAGTAGAAGTCATTCTGACTTATATTTTGACCTTTGACCTTCATCAAAAGAAAAGTTTTTTAAAACTATATTTGCTCTGCTACTTGTCACTGGACCATATTGTTAAAGGTATGAGTTCATCTTAGTGAGATGGTGTGTCACATATCAAAAATAGGATACTTTGACCTTCATTTTGACCTTTGACCTATATTAACTACATCAACTAAAAGTTTGTCTGAGACCTATCTTCTAAACTAGAAGACACTGGATCATCATGTGTAAGTTGTGGGTTCACCAAGGTGAGGTAGTGTGTTATGTATCAAAAGTAGGCCATTCTGACTACATTTTGACCTTAGACTCACATCGAAGAAAACATTTGCCTACAGGGCTCTGTCCTAAACTTCTAGTCACTGGAACTACCTACTAACGGCTGAGTTTCACCATGGTGAGGTGGTGTCATGTATTAAAAGTAAAAGTCATTTTGATTATATTTTGACCTCTAACCTTCACCAAATGAATTTTAGATTCTTTCTCCTACACTACCAAATCAGTCACTCGGATCTATATATTGACCTTTTAGCTATATCAAAGAAAAATGCTTTAGTCTCTATCATCTACACTGCTTGTCCCTGGAAGATCATGCTAAGGGTGTGAGGCCATCTTAGTGAGGTGATGTGTCATGTATCGAAAATAGATCATTTTGACCTTTGACCTGCATCAATTAGAAAGTTTGTCAGAATTCTATCTCTTAAACTAGAAGACACTGGAACATTATATGTAAGATATATGTTCTTGGTGAGGTTTTTAATATCTTGTAATTCACATTTAACTCAAAGTTAAGTTTTTATACCTGGTCTCAGTAATGTGGTATTTTGTGTCAGTAATATATCAAGATGCAATGTATGAAGTTGTAATTTATATAATAGTACTTGTACAAGATTTATTTGCATATAATTGGACTTTCAATAAATAACCCCACTCCCTCAAAAAAAAGAGAGGAAAAATAAAAAACATAATGAAGTTTAATTACTTTTCCAGCAAAAGAGAGATAAATGCCACAAATTTCATGATGCACGAGATGCATTGCAGACGGCATATCTCACTTTGCACACACTGTCAGGAGCCAATCCCCAAGGCTGAGATGGAGATCCACTTTGAGGAAAGCCATGCCAAAATCAACTGTGGAAAATGTAACCAGGCAGTGGAAAAAATGTATTTGGAAGAACATGAGGTATAGCATGTTTAATATACATAATGTGCATATAATTTACAGACCAATTTAGAGGAAACATGTTGTATAATACTTCTTGGAGGGAGATTATATATGATATATACATGTATATCTATTTAATATTTTGTTGATGGAAAAAGATTAATTTGGAATGTGAATTATTTAAGATATGTTAATACATTTACATATGAATCTGAAGATGAATTCAATTTAGTTTCTTTTCACTCAAAAGGACACTGATATTGAATGTGATAATGAAGTTTCATTTTCTTTATCTACAGGAACAAGAATGTCCGAAACGCCAAATGAAGTGTGCATATTGTGAAATGGATGTTGCTCAGCAGGATCTTGAGACACATCTTGGCTACTGTGGCACACGAACAGAACCTTGTGCTCGCTGTGGCCAGTATATCATGATCAAAGATCAGGTTAAACATGAGGACAGTAATTGTACCTACCCACAACCAAAACTAACAAATAGTAAGGAAGTTAATAGACAGATGTCCAATAGTAATGGTGCTACCAGCAATGGTGAAGGAGCTAGTGCAGCCTTTTCTGACGACATGTTGTTTGGCTCAGGAAATATGAATTCTTTTGAGTTTAAAGAAATTCAGAGAATTCTGACAAAGCCAGAAATTTCTGGAGCAGCAGAAGGTTCAAGTGTCCATAGAAGTCGTTCTGAAGCTGTAAAAACCAAAAAGGCAACAGGAAAGAAATCAAACGACAAAAATAAGAAATCTGATCTTAACCGTCTGAGAGGTATATTTTGACATGTTCTATCCCATGGAATTTAAGCTTAACATATGGAAGTCTTAAGTTTCATAAATTTCCCCATGTTTATGATTTTGTGACACATAAACAGGTGTATGAAGATATGCTGATCAATGGAAATAACACCCATATAGTTCACCGATGAAAATCATATAATAAACTCCCCTACCACAACCCGAAGCTGAACTACTGGTAACCACATTGATATTGTGTAACTGTTCAGCTATTGTTACAAAGTATTACAAAATTGGTTATATTTAAGGGGGTTACTTTTACTATATTGCTGTCAATTAAGATAGGGCAAATAAATATACAGAAACTATTTTACAGTGAATGAAATTTTGAATAAGTATGTGAAGGGCCTTTATTACAATGTCTGGTATATAGATGTGTGTGCAAAATTTAATACCTGTGAACTAGTGCAAACCAGAACACCTGTGAAATATCAGCATGGAAAAAACTACACTGTAACTTACCATACATGAAGTGGAATCGTTATGTATTAACTTAATCTGTTTTCATCCTTTTAAGAGCAATCCAGCAGTGGTCAGTCTGCGATGGGTCCCATCTACAATGAGGAGCAGGACAGACTTCTGGCTATGGCTCTGTCCGATGACCTTCACAGTGCCGATGGCATTGATCAGTATATACGGACTATAGACAAACCAAGAGTTTCTCTCACCCCAGACAGTCCTCTGTATGAGGACGGCTTCGGAAATCCAGCAAACTTACACTCAAGTTTTGGAGGCATGTCTTGTTTGATCTAATTCCAAAATAAATTGGTTACTTAGATTAGATAAATTAGACATCAGGTTAATGACATTTCGAATGATATGTAATCTGTTCAATATTATTAGTTTTATTGGCAAGAACATTGACATGGACAAGAAGAGACAAAGTGATTTTCCTTATGGTATGACAGGTTTAAATTCACCAATTAAATCATGAGATCAATATATGAACAACATGTAGCATGTTTTACACCTCAAGTAAATGTGGGAGACCTACATCAGAAGATTAACAAATATTTATATGATGTACTGTTCTTCTGATCATCATTTTGATTGCAAAGTTTTGCCAGAAATGTTTGGAAAAGGTTGTGTTTAGGAATGTTGTGATAGCAGTGGGGCAAAATTTGCCATGATCTATGGCTGCCTCATGTGAGATTAAAAGTCACATGAGCAAGACTATGGTGTTTCTTTTGTGGCGACAACAGCATCGCCAACATTTTAGTTTAAAGTTTTGTGTTTAGATTCTTATTGCTTAACAAACTATCACTAAACTTCATATAAAGATAGATCAAATAGTCTCAAAACCCCCAGTATGTGTAGTATTATTTTCCTTTTTATATGGTCTACAGACTCTGCATAAAAATACTTTAAAGTACCTCTTTGTCTTGGTTGTATCATTTCAAACATTGGATTTGCTTAATGACTGATCAACCAAACAGGTTATACAGTTATTGATGTGCTGGCGTACTGTTAATTCATTTTTGTTTTCAGATTCAATGTTTGGGTTTCAGATCTGTCTGTTTTACCGTGCGAGTTTTGTGGCCAGGCTATTCCAGTAGATGACCTCGTTATTCATCAGGTAGATATGTTTGATTGTATGGCATTACATTGATGTCTCTATCATGAAATAGTTGATTTTCAACTGCACCTGTCCATCAATACATATGTAAAAATAGATACATTCTAAATTTCTGTGATTTTAGAACTTAAATAAGTAATAAGCACATCAAACCTGTATCAACAGCTATGATTGTTTACCTTAATGCAATTTTTAATGATAAATTTCACCTTCATTGTAGTAGCTAGTGGCTGCCTTACTGAACAACATGCAGGAGGCAACATTGTCAACACAGACTAGTTTGTTTCTCAGTTTCATTAGAAACAATTTTTCTCAGACAGAGAACATCAAACTACATACCTCTGCTTGTTACATGAGGCCAATGTTTACCAATCAAGATTTCATAAAATGTATTAAAATGAGTCAGTTTCAGAAGTTTGTATCATCCATATATGTGTATCAACCTTTTCTTGTTTAAGGAATAGAGCTTGCACCATGTACATGTCGGCGCTGTACTGATTGCTGTCAGTGAATTTGTATATCATAATGGAAGCATTGAAAATGCTTCACATAATTGCACCATTGCTTTAGGTATAGATTGAATGATTCAAGTAGAATGTAACAAGTTGATTAACAGGACATCAAAATCAAAACTTATAATACTATCATGTCCAGAAATTGAATATATTTGAGTAATAACTTAATTATGCAACTTTCCAGAGCAACTGCATAGAAGACCCTCTGAGTTCTCTGATGCCCCATGCAGCTTCCTCAGAAAGTCCAATTCATGAGCGAACAGAGGACAACCGATACAGAGGGACAGCCCCTGAGAGTAGACAGCCTCCCCCAATCATCAATAACCTTGTACCAGAATCCTCTGCTCCACAACAACAATGGTGGGTTTATGCCAACAAAGACAATGCTGTAAAGTTGTTGTTTGAATGAGATTCTCCAAAATTCTTTTTATCCTTTTATTGTCTTTCTCCTTTTGCTTGTTTATACTGCAGCTCCCGAATCATAAATTCATTTGAATTAAACTTATTTATTTGTCAACAGTTGTGAAAAACAAGATATAAGCTTATATTAATCACTCTTGTTGGCCCAGATGGAAGCATGTGAGAGGCCTTACTGTAGGAAGAAAGTAGAGTACCCAGGGGACATACTTTTTGATGTCCACTTGAGGAATTGAACCCTGAACATCTAGGTGAAAGGCCAGTGCATTGCCACTGTGTCACTCAGCGACCCGATCATGAATAAAATTTGTAGATCCATTGAATGATTGTACTTCAGTTGTTAACCACTGTTACACTTTCTATTTCTAAAACTCTTATACTGTGATTGCTAATCTCGATTGCTTGCTTGGCTGCCAGGTTTGAACAAATGATCTCACCAGAAGAGGATTTTGCTGAAGATTTCCTGCTGCCCTGTGAATTCTGTGAGGAGTTATTTCCCCATGAAATCTTAGTGCAACACCAGGTGAATAATGTAGTTTTGTCCTCAAATATGTATTTTGAGTATTCCTATATTTTTGTGATATGGTAACCAACAGACATCTCCATGGTAGATAAGGATAGTGTCATTATGTTATGATAAATTATGTTCTCAAGCATTTATTTTTAGTCCATCATCATCGTCAGATGTTGGATTTTTCAAATCACCCTATGTCCATGGATTATCGTTCATGGTCTCCATCTGTTGTCTGTCTGTAAACCATTCTTGTTGTCTCCATTTCTTGAGAATTGTGGATGAATCTTTGTCAAATTTCTTATGTAGGTTCCCGTTGGTCTCCAGTTTTAACTTTTTAAAATTTTTGGACTCATACTAAAAAGCAAAATGGCCATCTCTGATTTTGATAATGAAAGTTTGTTTCAATGTTTTGTGAAAGGTTCCACAACTTTCTTATGAAAGTTTCTTGTGGTTGCTAGTTGTCTCTTGTTCCCATGTTGTTCTATTTTGATTTTTGGACAGGTCAGAAATTACAAAATGGCTTACATGTGGCCTTCCTGGATTTTGATAATAAAAATTACGAATCTTTCTCAAATATGAAATGTAGGTTTACATTGGTCCCCAGTTGTGAACTTTTGATTTTGGAATTGATTAGAAAATCAAAATGGTTGACAAGCAGCCATCATTGATATTGACAATGAAAGTTTGTTGTTACTATTTCTTGAGAAGTACCAGAGGTATCTATTTCATACTTCATATGGAGATGTCCCTTGGTCCCTTGTCATACAGTTTTGATTTTTGAACTGATCAGAGAAAAAATGAGAACAAGAAATTGGCTGAAAGGCAGTCATCTGGGATTTTTACAATATCAATTTGTTGTTAATATTTCTTGAGAAAAAACCAGATGGATCATTCTTAGATTTCATGTGTAGGTTCCCTTTTCTCTATAGGCATGCCCTTTTGATTTTGGGACCAATAAGAAAATTGAAATGGACCTCGGGCTTTAATCTTGTATTTGGCAGTGAATTACTATTATCTCTATTTCTTTAGAAGAATTTTCAAATTTCACACGAAAAAGTGAAAAGATGAAAAATCAGGCAATGATGGATGCCAAGATCGATCCTTAGAGGATTTCTTGTTTATAATTGGACTAAAATTTGAATACATGAAATCACATCAAATATATTCATAATTTAGATAGAAGTGCATAATTAGGATCAATAAATGCTATGTATAATTGTGTTGTAGGCTGTATGTAATGCCAATGAAACTGTAACACCCAGAGTAACACCCTCCTCAACTAGTAGGAACATAGATCCCTCAAACAGACATCTACCGACAGTGGATGAGCCCTCACGTGTAAGAAAACGACAGCCTGCACCTGATATAGCGAGTATATTAAGTGAAAGTCCAGACAATCGTCGTAGACAGGCTGGTACCTCTTCACGAACAAGTTCCAACCATATACCAAAACATTCACAGCAACTAAAATCTACCATGGAGAGGTATGGTGTAGCAGCTGATGACACCTACCAAAAGAGAGCGGAGCGTCGCGCTCTTAGGCATCAAAATTCCCATGAAGATGAGGAGGATGTGACTCCACGTCCTAGGACAGGGAAATCAGTGGGGCGAAGGAATCTTGGTACTAAGAGTACCCTTGATAGTCTCCTCCAAGTTGATCCCACAAACTCTGTTAGACCATCACATGATCTTCTTGGTCATGTGACCCAAACATCTTCCACTAGGAAAACTAGTAAGGACAATTTGAATTCATCCAGACAGACACGGCCGCTGGGTGGCCCCTCAGTGCCCAGCCATAGTGTAAGGACATCTCAGAAGTATGATGTGAATACCTCCAGCTTATATGGCAACACAAGTAGAACAAGCAGAGGTAATGTATAGTAACACAAGGTTAGATACACATATAGGACAGGCAGAAGTAGTGTAGTTACATTGGTGGAACAGATAGAAGTTATGTAGTTACTCTAAAAGGACAGACAGAAGTAGTGTAGTTGCACTAATAGGACAGACAGAAGTAGTGTAGTTGCACTAATAGGACAGACAGAAGTAGTGTAGTTACACTAATAGGACAGACAGAAGTAGTGTAGTTGCACTAATAGGACAGACAGAAGTAGTGTAGTTACACTAATAGGACAGACAGAAGTAGTGTAGTTACACTAATAGGACAGACAGAAGTAGTGTAGTTGCACTAATAGGACAGACAGAAGTAGTGTAGTTACACTAATAGGACAGACAGAAGTAGTGTAATTAGTAATTTAGAGGTAATGCTTTGTATACATTAAATGTAAGTACGTCACAGTCCTGTTGACGATTCATAGTCAGTGTATTATAATTTGTAATTAAGAGAAGTTAAATGTCAAATACATATGTTTCATAATGTCATTGGATTTTAAGCATTATTCTGTCTTATTCAGGCAATGATGCTGCTGCACCTTCCAGGAGGCCCAAAGAACCACTGACAGCTCGTGACGTCCAAAATGAACTTGACCTCATTCCAGGAAATAGGTCAACATTAGGAATTAGTGGTACAACTGGATCCAGGAGGGCTAGGTATTACCTTGTGGAGATATTACCGCTGTTTGGAACATCAGTTTCAGGGATATACAATATGGCTAGATATTTCACTTTGGGGAACATAACTGTGTTTGTGTATTACACTTCAGGGATATACAATATGTCTAGATATTACACTACAGAATATCAGTTTTATCTGAGTATTACATCAATGGTATTTGGGTATTACATTGTGGGGATACAAATTGTGTATAGATACAATGTGGGAACATCAATTGTGTTTGGGTATTACATTGTGGGGAACATCAATTGTGTTTGGGTATTACATTGTGGGGAACATCAATTGTGTTTGGGTATTACATTGTGGGGAACATCAATTGTGTTTGGGTATTACATTGTAGGGAACATCAATTGTGTTTGGGTATTACATTGTGGGGAACATCAATTGTGTTTGGGTATTACACTGTGGGAACATCAATTGTGTTTAGGTATTACAATTGTGTTTGGGTATCAATTGTGTTTGGGTATTACATTGTAGGGAACATCAATTGTGTTTGGGTATTACATTGTGGGGAACATCAATTGTGTTTGGGTATTACACTGTGGGAACATCAATTGTGTTTAGGTATTACACTGTGGGAAACATCAATTGTGTTTGGGTATTACACTGTGGGGAACATCAATTGTGTTTGGGTATTACATTGTGGGGAACATCAATTGTGTTTGGGTATTACACTGTGGGAACATCAATTGTGTTTGGGTATTACACTGTGGGGAACATCAATTGTGTTTGGGTATTACACTGTGGGAAACATCAATTGTGTTTGGGTATTACACTGTGGGGAACATCAATTGTGTTTGGGTATTATATTGTAGGGAACATCAATTGTGTTTGGGTATTACATTGTGGGGAACATCAATTACATATACATCATGTCTAAATATTACAATTTAAGAAACATCAATTTTGTCTGGGTACAAAACTTACTTGATAATTTTTCACTCGGTATACATTGGTTACATTGTTAGTTAAAAGTCAATAATTGTTGCCATTTGTTGCATGTGATTTTAATTTACTGAAGATCATTTCAAAATGCCTTTGTATGAATACATGATATATTCATGAGGTTATGTTGTTTGATTTGAGTCATTTCATTTTATGCATTGGTATGTCAGTTCAAAATTTTACACTTTTAACAGAAATTCACAGGCCTCTGAGGACCTGGCAGCATCCAGCATTCGCACTACATCTACAACTCCAGGGTCAGCCAGACGGGACAGAGGGAATGGCATCTTCTCACATGGACAGGCAACCAGTTCTAGCTCGACAAACACCCGCTCTACTGTAAGTGTCCTAGACCTATTTATCCAAATATTTAAAGAGATTTTTGAAAACATGTATAGCTGAGGTTGATTTTAAGAAAATATTATTGTACCTTGTTATGTCCCTGTCATTTTATAGGGGATATATGTAGTTTTACCCATGTCTGTCCTGTGTTGTCCAGACTCTTATTATGATTTTGACAAGAAGGGATTTTGAGACAACTGAAAGCAAAGGATAATTATGACTTTTCCTCAAAAAAAATTTGTTTTCTGTTCCAAAGTTAAGTCAAGGCCATTGACATAATTGATCGAAATTGTCAAATTTTGATACTTAAAAACACGGGAATGTAGGAATTCAGGTGTTACATTTAGATATTTCCTAGTTTCTTAAAAGATACCTCAGCTCCAAGGATCAAGTTATATATTTACAGAATACCTACATGAAAATTTTGGGTGCTGTTCTATCAAAGTATTTACGTAGAAATGATACACTTTCTATCTCTCTACCTTTTCACCAGAGGCAAACATCTTTGTTTAATAGCTTGTAGCAGGCTGGTAGACAACTAGACCTGTATTGATTCAATAATGCTTATTATGTTTAGAATACTAGATTGGCTTTTAAAGATTTCTTTTCAATTACCACTAAAAGTTGAAAACAAATATCAAATATAAAATTGACAAATTGGGTTTGTTCTTTTTATGTACATTGTATATAATTGAGATTTATTTGTATTGATTTGCAGAGAGCCCCTACACGTGCCCGTCGAGATCGTGATCCCTACCACTGATACATGGAATTCTTTATGTAAGCTTGTCTGTGAAAGGAAACCTGTGATCCTCTGTATTCCTGTCTGCTCTTGGATAATTTTATTGTAACCAGGTCTACCATTGGATACTATGATCTTTGTAACCTGATCCTCTGTATTCCTGTCTGCTCTTGGATAATTTTATTGTAACCTGGTCTACCATTGGATACTATGATCTTTGTAACGTGGTCTACCATTGGATACTATGATCTTTGTAACGTGGTCTACCATTGGATACTATGATCTTTGTAACCTGGTCTACTATTGGATACTTTGATCTTTGTAACCTGGTCTACCATTTGATACTATGATCTTTGTAACTTGGTCTACCATTGGATACTTTGATCTTTGTAACCTGGTCTACTATTGGATACTATGATCTCTGTAACCTGGTCTTCCATTGGATACTATGATCTTTGTAACCTGGTCTACCATTGGATACTTTGATCTTTGTAACCTGGTCTACTGTTGGATACTATGATCTTAGTAACCTGGTCTACCATTGTTTACTTTGATCTTTGTAACCTGGTCTACCATTGGATACTATGATCTATGTAACCTGGTCTACCATTGGATACTATGATCCTCTGTAACCTGGTCAACCATTGATCACTGTCTTGTGATATATCCCTCCAAAGCTAGTTTTCATACGTCAGCTTAAAGATCTTGACTCACCAATCACAGATTGAATGAGGTTGACCATCAGTATGGTCTTCCCTTGTTGTAATTATATAAAGGACATACCTGGTAATATATGGAGTCAACACTTGCCATTGTTACATATCAGTTTTTTTCCCATTCAGCTGTGGGTAGCGGTGTTTCAAATACATTTGACAGAATATGCTTGTCTAATATTAGTAAACTTTCACTTGAACATCAGACTTTCTCAGAACACATTTGTCCACACCATGAGGTGTGTAGGTGATGTACAGGAGTACAGGACTTAAGAAGAAATCCAGTTAACATTGACAGTCTTTCAGCAATGTGTTGAGTGTCCTACATATTTTTATATACTGTTAATTTGATCATAACTAGTCATACTGTATCAGATAATTGTTGAAAGGAATTGAAAGAAAGAAAACATCACAATTTAAAATTTTGTTAAGAATTTACAGAACCTAGATACCAAGAATGTTTTGTTTATGACACGGTTCTTTTATATATTCCTCAATATGAGCATGCAATGTGCGAAAAGTTGAAATTAAACCAAGTTAAATCAGTTTTATGCATAAAGAAAAAAATCCTGGCAACTGACTGCAATCTAGTCCAACTTCCACTGCTTTTTTTTTTGTTTTTGCTCTTTCAGCCAAGCCTTACCCTAAAATAAAAGATAGCAGAATTGATTGCCACCACCAAGTAGCTCAACTGTCATTTACACTCAGATTGGTCGTAAAAATCATCATGAATACTGAAGATTCTTTAGAATCTACAAAATGTGTACTTGAAAAAAACAAGAAAAATAGATTTTATGAAAATAATGTGTACATTGTTTTGATATATTTGCTTTTTCACTTATGAGGTTGTTTTAATTACATGTAACCTAAAGAAACTCACTCTAATGCACTTATTTCTGTGTCTGTGAAATCTGTAGAGGCATAGGATTTGCTCAAAATTTTAAACAAGGTATCAATGAGTGTCAGTTAAATGATTTGTGATAAGTATGATAAGTATTTATTTTTCTCTTGTCTAATTTGTGTTTTCAGAAAACATTGAGACTTTGTTAAAATGATTGGGATATTTTCGGAAAATATCTTCATGTTAATATTTGTATTATTTATGTTTGATGTGAGTGTAGCTGTTATTATCATTAGACAATACTATCTTGTTTTGGTTTTTAATGCTGACAATGTATTTTAGTTAATCTGTCTGCTTGTTGATTTGATATATTGTTACAAATATGTTGTAATCATTTTTGTCTGAATTTTGTCAGTATAGATGGTGAATTATATAATCTTGATTTTCTGTTAAAATCATATTGAATGGTTTTTATTACCCGAGTCTCAGTTCATGTACACAAAAGGTAGTCATAATATTCAAAGGGTATGATGAGGATTTCTTTATATTGTAACACGCTTCGATCCGTTTCATATATACGCTAAAATATATGTATTGGTTCTTATTTATATTTCAAGAATATACCATCCACTTTTGACTCTGTTCCATTTCATGGAAATATTTAATTTAGAATTTTGAAAAGTCCGTATACATTGTTTGACATCAATATACACATATTGTAAATATTTCACCTTTTTTGGTTTGCTTGGGTGAGACATCTTCAGAAAAGCTTATATTATGGGTCTTATGCGTGCCTTTATAAATGTAATGATAGAAGAGAATGAGCATCTTCGTAAAAAAGAAAAATGAAAAAAATAGGATGAGTTGCTTGAATCCGGCTGTCAGTGAAGTGTGGATTAAGGTTATCTTGCTTAACAGAGTCGAGGGTAATGGGCAATGTGATCTGCTTTAGAGGTACATCTTTCTTTGAGAATAAGAAATTTGCATTATTGTTGATCACAATTGAAGTCCCGTTTAATTTCATAATAAATATTCGTTAATAAATCTTGGTTGATTATGATGAAATTGTCTTTGTGTCCTATAACAACAGGTCTTGGATGAACCGTGACTCCTATCATTGTAAGATCTATATCTGTCCTATGGCAGATTGTCCTTGTCTGCTATTGGCTTGTTAAAAACTTTGTCAGACACTACCAGTATATAAATGTGCAGTATTTAAAACCCATGACAAATTCAAAGATACACTTGACTGGAAATTTTCCAGTGATACATTTTTTTCCATTAAGAAACTTTCTGAAGTTTTGTCTTGGTTTTGATGAGAAACTGTTAATCTTAATCAATGGTTTGTCTGTCGCAAACTTTAAATATCAACAAAAAGGCTTATGGGCCTGAACCATCATGTGATTGTAGAGACCTTTATATGTTATAGAAGTTTTAAATGTGTTTTTCAAGATGGTGGCCATATTGGATTTCAGATCAACTCAAAAAATAACACTTTGTCAGGACCTTCTCGGGATCATTTCAATCCAATGAGAAGAACTTGAGAAGTTGAAATTGAAAAAAAAATTGTTTACACATGGTGAACAGTGAAGGTCAAAACATGTTGGTTAAAGGTCATCCTGACCCTTTGGATCAGATGACCTGAACTATCAAAGTTTATCATCAGTGGCCACCTTGAGAATCTGAAGATTTGTCAGGCACAACTATAACAGATAACGAGCATATTTGAAAAAAGAGGTCCAATCAGTCAATTTTTCCAGACATAGTGAAAACAAATTTGACATAAAAAATGGCCATCTTCAAAACTAATCAACCTCAAGATGTAGCATGCACAGCTCTTACACATATGTATTAAACTTAATTTATTGTAGAGAAATTTCTTCAGTAGCTCTTTAGAAAAAGAAACATTTTTCATTTCAAAATCCAGTATGATCACTAGTGGCAAAAATCTGATAAAGTTCAAAATATGCCATGTACAACTACAATGTAGGTCTCCTGATAAGCACATTCATGTCTCAAAACTTTTAATCTCTTCAGGAGTCTTAAAGAAATTGTAAGTCTTTTGGTGGAGCTTAAATATGGAAAAAAACCCAAATAAAAACACATTAATATTTCAAGGAGAACCCTTCACTAGTTCTTTAGATATTATAGTGGATTATATTGAAATTCTTCTCAGCATTTACAGGTACAGCAGGTTCCATTAGCTACACCTTATGAATATGTGAAGGTTTCAACTTTAATAATTCATTTGTCTTATGGACATGGATCTCAAAATTTATTATCCTTGCATGAGAAACCTTCAGGACAAATATAACCAAGATTTAATTTTAATACATCTAACAACTGACCATAAATTAGCGACTCCTGGTGGTTCTTTTGCTTATTGACAAGTTAGTGTTACATTTAACCCTTGCAGTGTGTCATGACACAATGCCTCTGATATTGAGAATTTTAAAACAGATGCACTTCACACAATTCTATGAAGCTCATTTTCTGTTAGAACAAGTGCACTGAAACCACATCCCCTCTTCCATTTCAGGAATGTTTAAAAATGAGAGATAGAGACAACATTCAATATTTGAAAGTTTTTTTTAATTACAAACACATATTCAATTCTACACAAATACACAATATATCCCTTTAAGGCCACATACTTAATTCTATCTATTGACCAATCACAGTGATGTATATCTTCACCAATAAATGGTCCAGTCCTGCCAATCAATGATCAGTGGTTATCTACTGACTAATTACTGGCCAGGTAAATACCCTTCGTATGAAATGAAATTTTAATTAGAACTAAAAGTCTAAATGTTTTCAGAAGGATAAATAAGGAAATAGCTTAACCATCACAAATTTCTGTAAACAGTTGTTAATAACATTGCATACACAGTAGCATATATAATGAGAGAGAGAACAAGACATGCATATTTGAATTTAAATTTATTAAATGTGCTTGGCATAAGTGCACTGGCATTTGAAATTCATCATCTTTGCTTTCCTAACATGTTATTTCAATTTAGACACATATAAAACTCACACTACTATTATGCTTAGTAACTTTTTAAAAGCATTTGAACAAAATTTCCTTCATTCAACATGATTGGCAATTTGCAATTTCAAATTTACGAATGACTAAAATTTGTAATCAATTGACACTTTCCAATCAAGGCACCAATGACTTTAACTTAACAATTCAGACACTGAAGCATAAAAAATCTTTTGATTTGCTGTCATGAAACTGTTGGCACAATATATGGACAAGATGACTACTGGCATGTGATATGAAAATGTATCAGCACAAGACCATTTAGTCAGCACAAAATTAACAAAAGTTAACTAAATCTTCAACACCAATAACATTAAGTAAACAATATCAGACAATTAGAAATATCACTTTATCTAAACCTAGTCTTCAATAAATAGCAGGATCTACTAATATATTTATTCTCTTCAGTAAACTTCCACCAGCAGTAGTGATAAACATGTTTATGATAATTACTACTATGAATATTAATTTCATCCATTTGTAGAAACATGTATGTATCAATATTTAAAGAGTTGATTGAATTCAAAGTCTGGGGTGTTTCCTTTTAAAACATGTTAAACAAAGGTATTTGTGACTTTAACAAACCACTGCACTTACTAGTCAATTACTCTGATTATTGAAATACTATAATCTTACATTGGTTTGAATTCGACAGAATATTCACAATATATCACTACAATGGAATACGAAAAATAATCAGCTGCTTTATAACACCAAACATCCTGTGCTGGCACTCCTTTCTTACAGGTCAAATGAAACACCTGCAAAATACAAATTCACTACAGGTAATTAAGTGCACATATTTATACCATACATTCATGCAAATCCACATCAGTATCAATGCATTTTGGATAGGTATTTATCACCTAACTACCGTTATGAGAGTGGTTACACCCATTCCATAAATTTTTTTTATGACACATTTGTAACATAACTGAATGGTAGTGTGATTTGCAGGAGGTTTTCATTGTGATGTCATAGCTTCATGATGTCATATGTATTGTGACATCACAGAGAGAGATATATTTAAAGTAAGAATATCACAAATCTAAGTATAAGCTCAATATCATGACCTTGGCCCTCTTGGATATACGTTATTGATACAATTTTTTCCCTTTCTAAATTGGTGATTGGATTGGAGTTTTCTACTTACAATTTAAAGAAGTTTCAGCTGCCTCACTGCTGCCCCAACAGAGCATCCCAGCATGGCAAGTAAACCGATGTAGCCAAATGTTCCCCATCGTCTCTTCTCAGGTTCTACATCACAAAATGGAGAATTTAATGTTCAAGTAAGGTTGAACACTCTATGACAATAATCAGACCAAAATATATAATACTAATGTAAAGAGCAGAAAAGTAAACATGACTCAGTGACCATGAAATTGAAGAGGTGACATACTAATACTTTCTTGTACTACAAATAAAACATGGCTCTGGTTACTCTGATTCATCAGACTTCAAACTTAACTGTAATTTCCAGTTCTTTTTTTTATTTAAATGTATTTTCATATAACTAAAGGAAATGACAGAAATTTGTAGAGAAGCTCATTCTAATGACACACAATCTTGTTGACAAAGTTAATTATGACATATTAATGCCGAAAACCAAATATCACTGTAACTACTTGTATGTACAGTGTACTATGTACCTCCAGTGATGTAACTACTTATACAGTGCAGTGTATTACATACCTCCAGTGCTGTATCCTTTTGCAAATGCTATCCTGCCCAATTGATAAATTACTCCTCCTCCTGCTGACGTCAGCTAAAAATGAATGAAAATGTTGACACAATATGATAACTGTCAAATTACAAGCACTAATAGGATACAGTAGATTCACTACTACAGGTAGAATTACACAGATTACAAACACTTACAGGATACAGTAGATTCACTACTACAGGTAGAATTACACAGATTACAAACACTTACAGGATACAGTAGATTCACTACTACAGGTAGAATTACACAGATTACAAACACTTACAGGATACAGATTACACAGATTACAAACACTTACAGGATACAGTAGATTCACTACTACAGGTAAAAATTACACAGATTACAAACACTTACAGGATACAGTAGATTCACTACTACAGGTAAAATTACACAGATTACAAACACTTACAGGATACAGTAGATTCACTACTACAGGTAGAATTACACAGATTACAAACACTTACAGGATACAGTAGATTCACTACTACAGGTAGAATTACACAGATTACAAACACTTACAGGATACAGTAGATTCACTACTACAGGTAGAATTACACAGATTACAAACACTTACAGGATACAGTAGATTCACTACTACAGATAAAATTACACAGATTACAAACACTTACAGGATACAGTAGATTCACTACTACAGATAAAATTACACAGATTACAAACACTTACAGGATACAGTAGATTCACTACTACAGATAAAATTACACAGATTACAAACACTTACAGGATACAGTAGATTCACTACTACAGGTAGAATTACACAGATTACAAACACTTACAGGATACAGTAGATTCACTACTACAGGTAGAATTACACAGATTACAAACACTTACAGGATACAGTAGATTCACTACTACAGGTAGAATTACACAGATTACAAACACTTACAGGATACAGTAGATTCACTACTACAGGTAGAATTACACAGATTACAAACACTTACAGGATACAGTAGATTCACTACTACAGGTAGAATTACACAGATTACAAACACTTACAGGATACAGTAGATTCACTACTACAGGTAGAATTACACAGATTACAAACACTTACAGGATACAGTAGATTCACTACTACAGGTAGAATTACACAGATTACAAACACTTACAGGATACTGAAGGCCTCCTACAAAAAGCAACATCAAGAATGTTGGGTACCCTTCCAATCTGAAATAAAAACAGTTTTTATAAGCAAATGAACAATTACTTCTACTGAAATTTCACTGCCATAAACAGATCAATTCCACAAGTCATTTTTAAAAAATCCTCTAAAATACCTAGTTTATACTTAATTCAGTTTATACACACTGATCATTTTGATAAATAATCAGGATTTTTTATTATGTTTAAAATAAAGCAACTGTAAAGATATGTATTTATATACATGGCTTATTTTTATACAATAGAGTCTAAAACATCAAAGCATGGTTAATACACTAACCATTTCCCATAAAAGTGACGATAACAGATTTCAATTTTAATGGCTTTTGATTGGACCGTAATTTCCTACTCTGTAAGATAGAAAGCACCTTCAAGTCAGTTGCCATACATGTCAAAGCACAGACCTCAGAGTCTAAACTTACGTGTTCTGGTGAGCTCTCTGGATGCAGTTGAACATCTTGCTTTCAGAGTACATATCTGGGTACTAATAAAAAAAGAAAGCTTTCATAATGACAAAATTATATTTCTGTAGTAATCTTACGCCTTTTAAAAATTACTTTGTATTAAATACAAGAGGCCCATGGGCATTAATGGTCACCTGAGCAACAATGCTTCTAGTTATAACATGTCACAGAAATGATTTGGTAAAAAAAGGTAATATAACTTTAACTACATGTATATTGTAAATGCAAATGTAAATTGTGCGATTTGAGTAATCCATCATCTAATGATTGTGGGCTAAAAATAATGCTGTATCATTAGATACCTAAATATTAGCAGCCATAGCCTTTGGCTAGATAGTAAACCATTAAAAGTCACTAACATCACAAGTAAGTACACATTTACTTATTAGGCACTGGTTTAATGTATCATTGATACAAATGAAATAAACAGAATTAGACTTTCCAGAACCTTATATACTTAATAGTTTAACCAACTGATGAAACTTTATAAATCCAGATGGAACAACAGTTCACAAAGACATATCACTTCCTTAACAATTACAGCCCAGCAAGACGGATAACTGACAAATACTCACAGCTACTTCATACTGTTTGCGTGCCTTGGCAACATTCATGGCCATCCACATATTGACAAACGTGCTGCCCACCCCAGTTAGAATTACGTAGCCATAACCCTCTGGTAAATCCTCCATGATCTTTGATAAACCTCCCATCTTAACTTGTGTTGTTCCTGAAATAGAAACATGTGGAATTTTGCTTGATAGTATATGATTGCCTGGTCATCAGAATTTTTAGAAAAGTCGTCTGAGAAACAATGTATGCAGAGAAGTGGTTGTCAAACTACATTCACTATTGAATCATTAGGTAGACGTACACTGTATATTATATCTCATTTTCTCTTAGTTTCAGATTACAAAACCTGCTTTTTTTCTTTGACAGCTATCTGTTAAGTTTGTTCTAATGCCAAGTTTAGGAGCTCTGTTGAATTATGTTCTCTTGTCTACTACTAAAACTACAATTTTACAACCTGTCACTTCAGGAATATTTATGTACTCCTATAGTAACTGAAATAGCTTAACTGTGTTATTTCTAGCATTTTGTATCAAAAGAATGTACTGTATATTTGATAATACATTTAAATTTGCAGATGATTTAATTCAGTTATTTTCATGGTCATAAAGATGATGTGACATTGAATACACTGCTCACACTTACGATGAATTATGATCTTAGGAAATGTGAAAAGCCTTTCTATTTAAACAATCCCTGTGAACAAATCCAAGCCTGAACAACCGTGAAATATCAGCCAAGCAAACTTTACTATACAGTTCAAGGCATACTGACAGGATATTAACTTATAGACTACGAGTAGGGTGTTTCCCCATGAGAGATTGCTAGTTAAAAGCTCCAGCAGAGGATATTTTTGAGTTTTTTAATAAGCACCCCTGAAGCTTCCTATTTCAGGTATGGTGCCTTTGACCACTGAAAGAGTACATCACTGTTAAAAGATAAAAAGACCTGGTCATGGGTTATGCTTGTCATTTAAGATGTAATTAAGAATTTGTGATGAAGGGAACTGGGTAGAAGTACTGGAGATTGGGTCAACTTAAGTATAGATGTTGAAAGCAAATGGTCACTAGAATGAGGGTAATTTTTCCTTTTATTTTCTATTGCTGTAGTGCCATTCCTAAGAATACTGTCACACTACCGGTACTCTCCACATTGCAAAAAATACAGTTACATAACATAAGACAAAAGTTGATCAGTAGCCTATTGGAGGGTGACTGTCAGATGGACTTTGATGATGCTGTGGTGGAGAGCATTGGTGAACAGTGATAATAAAACTGACAGTGGCCATAGGTTAAATGTCGACACAGCAAATGGAAAGAACAATAGTTGTATTGATATGACTATATGATGGTGGCCGGATGTATTGGTCATCATGCCCTCTAACCCTTAGTGACATTATTTCTGGTTAAATATTAGGTTTTAGTCTGATGTTAGTGTAGATATTCTAGAGTATCACTATTAGGCCCAAGCTTCTATGCTCCAGGAAGCTGCTCAAATCAAGTGAAGCATCACCGTGACCTTATGTTACTTGCTGTTGTCAACCATGACATACCCAACGGTCTTCTGCCAGACCCATTCCACATTTGGATGTTATTCTAGGTACATGATGTGACCTACAACTGATCTGTAATTAAAATTGATAAATGATAATGTGCAGCGAGCCTTTACATCAACTGGACATCTAAGTGATGACAGAGTGTTTGTTCCAGGAATTGTTAATGTTCTTTACATCCACCATAAGATAATTATATTAAGCTGACAGGACAATGTGTAGGTCGCTTTCTAGAAGACGAGTGGGGTTCTTTTCCTGGTTTAATATTGTATCTCATCACATGTCTGATATTAAAGCAAATCTGCCACTTCTGTGGTCTGTCCTGTTGTAATTTTACAGAGTCTTTGTGTTGTGGAGATTTTTCTGTACAGCATAAAGTCATCCACAAACAGACTGAAGTTAAGCAGGCAGATAGATTCTCAATATAACCCAGGAATATGGCTAACGGAATTCCTAATGATAGTAGAAATGTTACCGAACAGATTCCGACCCTCGAGAACAACTTTGTGTCTTACATGTACATTGTATCATGACCAGTTAGATGTGCTGCAAAAAGTAGCTCTTGATCTAATGGAATGCTACTTCTGAAACTGTAACCCTGGTAAAATACTAGCCGCAATATACCACTCAGCTAGAGAGAACTTCTCTCTACCTCGATTAGTTGAGTGTCAGACTAGTATGCCAGGGGTCCCGGGTTCGATTCCTAATGGAGGCATTGAGACGAAAAACGACCTGTGTTACATTGGCGCCCATGTAGGGACCTGGGAATAGTACTTAGCCATGCCCTACAGGCATCGCTGTAACCCCTGGAAACTCGAGGATGAGTTATTTCCTGGAGGGAGAGTGTGTAACTCTGGTAAAATACTAGCTGCAATATAACACTTGGCTAGAGAGAACTTCTCTTCAGCTCGATTGGTTGGGCATTAGACTATAAGCCAGGACTCCCGGGTTCGATTCCTAGCGGAGGCATTGAGACGAAAAATTACCTCTGTTACAATACCATAAAAGTGGTGTTTGTCCAGAGATCTATGGTTTGGAATAATTCCAAATGCTTGGTTGGTCATCAACTGCATTGTCCTGTTAACATCAATTGAGACTCCTAGCAATATCATCCATATAATCCCTGGCTCTCCCAACTGAACCAAAGAAGCATGCTCGGTTTGTTTACTATCCTTGGTGTATTAGTTTCGGACGCTATATGTAGACTGTAAATAACGGACTGTATTGAACACTAAACCACACAGACCCACTCTTTTACACCAATACAGCAGTATTAATTCGGCTCCGTGAAAAAAAAAAGAAACATACCACGTGTTATCCTATATCTAAGACCACAGACATCTAATTCAAAGGTGTTATACAACGGCAATCAGATAACGATGACCACCAGCAGCGCGACCTTTGCGCTTGTCAGAGTGCACCTCTACACATCATGCTATTTATCAAATGAACTGTTCGTTATAAATAACTAACAGTTTGAACATGTGCTGTCATGGTTTACAATATAATCTAATTATGCTTTATCGTTAATTTGTCTTGACATTTAATAATTACCTTAGAATACCGTCAAAAGTGTGCAAGGACAAAGCGGCGAAGATCTTGCGTGTCTTCTCTTTCGTCTGATGCAAGCACGAGATGTTCCGAATGGAAAAAAGAGAATATTGTAATTTACGACGCGAAGTTGGTATTTTTCCGGAATAAAAATAGTAAAACTAATACACTTATGAATTAACTGCTAAGATCACAGAGAAAAATACATGTCGTAACGACTTAACAGTAGGGTCTAACTTTTTCTTTACATTACATGACAGTGTATTTAAATAGGATCTTCATGATTGTACAAAGCACACACAAATGAATAGCACCTCTTAACTAATACAAATGCATTATAGCTAAACAATAAACGGAATGAGATTTTAAGAAACGAGTCTGAGACGTTCCCGTTCATGCGAGACTTGGCGACTAAATTATTAATATTTGAGACGAGTTTTCTTAAAAATCATCTATACCGAAAACAATTGAAGGTACATTTGTACATTGTATCACGTAACTCAGACAACACATTGAGAAGTTTCAAAGTAAAATCGTTGAGGATAAAATTACACGGAGGCAGTCATGTCGTTGCACCATTTTCAATTCATGGCGCAACATAATTGTCCATATCATGACAGCAGAATCGATTTCGCCTGAACGACCAATGAGACAATGGAAAACGCTCCACAGTCTATATTAAACAAACGACTTATGTTAAAATATTATATAGCCGAATCCACTGGATATCAGACGAGATGTGCCATGACCGAGCTAATACAATACATTTATATCACGTCAGGTGTCGTAATGAAGGCTTCGTACGTGGTCCGGAGGGGACACACATGTATCAAGATGGCTGTGACGACGCGAGATGAACAGTAGCATTGGCATTCTGGCCCCAACATGAATAATCCCTACGAGTTATTGTAGAACAGATTCCAGCGGTCAAACAAAGACCGTCATCTATGTGAAAGGTATTGACGAGCTTTTGTTTATATCTTATCAACCCAAAGTTGAAATAGGAATCTGAAGCGGATATAGAATCAAGGAAATGTTATTTTTCTACTTGTTTTCTTGCTCCAGTATTGGATGTCTATCGGAGCTTACATGCCTTGTCTCAAAAACACCAGATATATGTACTGATATACAGTACATTCCCGGTTGGTTGTTTTCCCGACATGATCTTTATCTGTCCACTCCAGACCATGTATACGACTGTGTTAAAAAGGCCGTAGTAACGACTTAGTTTGTACTGTGTACCAAGCCAGGCAGTTTTACGATATCTGGAATGCCTGGAGATATGTTGTGGTATCAGTCAGACAGAAAGGTTCATGGTATTCCGAAATACATGCGACACGTATTACGGTTTATAACTACTAAGTTTGATATATGTCAATATAAGTCGGATGTACAGGGCATGTACCAATTATCTTTAAGTGAATAAGTGGACGGCCCGCCATATTCAATAATCAAGACATGTTAGGTCCTAGTTTCATTAATTTTCCTAACTTAAGGAATTTCCTTTACTTCAAATTGTACATTGAATACAGATCCAGTGTATTCTATATCTACAGAACCAGTGTATGCCATTTCTTAAGAAACAGTATATTTCATGTCTACAGATCCAGTGTATTCTATATCTACAGAACCAGTGTATGCCATGTCTACAGAACCAGTGTATTCTATGTCTACAGAACCAGTGTATTCCATGTCTACAGAACCAGTGTATTATATGTCTACAGAACCAGGGTATTTTATGTCTGCAGAACCAGTGTATTATATGTCTACAGAACCAGTGTATTTGATGTCTACAGTACATGTGTATTTGATGTCTACAGAACATGTGTATTTTATGTCTACAGATCCAGTATTTTCTATGTCAACAGAACCACTCAGGATAAACATTTTAATATCGATTGAATATTTTTATTCATTAACTAATCTAAGACATTAAAATTATCAAAGCAGTAACGGCTTGAATTAGATATTGATGTGTATTGAACACACCACGATGTTCCATTAAATAAGGCTGATTGAAAAATTGCGATCGTTTTTTACTTCGAGTACAACAATATTGTATTCATAGCAACACAACAACAATGTTTTTGTACGCCATAACCTTTTCCGAGGTCCTGGTGGTGTTCAGGTTGACCTGCCTTTGGAATACGTCATAATGGACTTCTAGTTTACTAGAGAGTATCTTGGAATATATTTGACTTCTAAGTTACAAGGGAATTTCTCGGAATACGTAATGACTGACATCTAGTTTACCAGGGATCATCTCGGAATATTTTATAATGGATTTCCACTTTACCAGGGAGTATCTCGGAATACGTCATGATGCAGGTCTAGTTTAATAGAACATTTCTCAGTTTAGATTGTTATACCTTATTTTGCCGTAAGAAATTTGGCTGAATTTCTATTTACCAGGTAGTCTTGTAGGACTAGGGGTCGACTTAAAATTACCGACTGTCTGTTTACCGATTTGTTCGGAGCATCATTAAAGATCTTACGAAGACAGGGCCCCGGGAACGCCACCAGGAAGTGGAAGCAAACGAGAAAGACAGAAGATCCTAATGATGTTTTAGTAACAAGGAAATCAATACTGAATTCCACTTGTCTTCTACGTATATGAGCGTGTACATCATTCGGCCTTCTCCCGCTTCGATAACTTGTAGTGACTTAAATTGTACTACACACTCCTATTAAACGTTTCGGTGTCGTTGATAAGGCGTTCGGGGACGTGTAAACCTGATCAAATTGCCGACAGAGCAATTAGTGTAAATGCCAATGGTTTTATCATAATCGTTCATGGCGTTTTATATGAGCGTCACAATTTGCCTTTTGATTATAACATTTTCCACATGTGTTACATGAATAAGGTTTCTCGCCCGAGTGAATCTTGCAATGGCGTTGGAGGTGACCACTTTGCTTGAATGTCCGTCCACATACATCACATTTATCGTTACGCTCGTCAAAGTGTTTCCTCATATGCAACCTCATTCGGGATCGATCTCGGAATCTCTCGTCACAAATCTCGCAAGATACTGGATTTTCGTCACTATGGGTTACTATATGTCTCGATCTCATTGTGATACTTTTAAATCGCGAGCCGCAAATATGACATTCGTACGGTTTCTCGCCTGAGTGTATTTTGTTGTACTCCTTTAAACCCCTATTCGAGACAAAAAATTGTCACATGTGTCATATGGAGATACATTAGTTTTCAGTATAGGAGTAAAATTGTCACCAGAAGGGAAAGGCTTTTCCTCCCTGTTGAATTCATCTTAAACTAACTGAAGTCTGCAGTCTATCTCCTGAACAGGATTTTGTATCTTTGTCACATGTTATTTAAACCGGAATGTATTAATGTAAATTTTGAATATCGCGCTATAAACTTATCAAGTCACTGTTCCGGTAAGTTACGCATGCGCGACTGAGAAAATAATAATAACAATAATAATAATATATACTGGACGCAGGCTTATTAAGCCTATATATCCAGATCAGAATTATAAAGAATTAGCATCCTGGATATGGATCAGTGTGTTATTGTCTAATTCATGATTATAAATACATCCAGTTTGCCCCCAATGTTTATCCAATCGGGATTCGAAAGTTTGGATTGTTAGTGACGTTACAACGACATTAGGAAGTGAATTCCAGTAGTTTACCACCCGTTCACAGAAAGAGTACTTCCTCAGATTTAATCTGCTCCTTCTATTTGATAGTGGAAAACTGTGCCCTCTTGTTATCTTGTCATTGTTTTGTATCAGGAAATCGTCCGCGACAGCCCTATCATATCCTCCATGTGTTAGTTTGTATACTTGAATCATATCTCCTCTCAATCTTCTGCGCCTCAGTGTCGGTAATTTAAGAATCCTTAGCCTGCTCTCATAGCTTAGGTCTTTCATTCCCGGTATTTGTTTCGTTGCTCTTCTCTGTACATTTTCCATCCCATGTCTGTCTTTTTGCAGATAGGGATTCCACACGCAGGCCCCACATTCCAGGTGCGGACGTACAAGAGCTTTATATAAAAGACAGAACGACTTTTTGTACAAGTACGTGTATGTTCTTCAGATGGTTCCCATTATTCTATTGGCTTTATTGACTGCATCATGAATATGTTCGTTGAAATTTAGGTCTTTGTCTGTTATAATGCCAAGGTCCTTTTCTTTTGTTACCTGATCTAATGTAACCTCGACACTTCCATTTAATAGCGGGTGGTTTGACGGACGTGACAGTGGGCCGTATTCATTCTATTTTCAGAGCGTAAAACACATATTACGGTAAGTTAACTCACATTCTAAGTTAATACTACAATTGATAAATGGGACGTATACATATTTATCACCAATATGGGTGGTTATAGGGCGTACATGAGGTATATTACTTCCGTGCGCCAAATAGAAGTACAGGGCGGAATAAAAGTACAGGGCGGAAAATTCTTTGGGAATTTCGAAAAATCCCAACATCGCAACAGATCTCTGTCGTGAAAATTAAAATTTATTCGTCAGAATCACGATGCATTACGTACAGCAAAACACCGCGCCATGACATTTCCCAGAAATTACAGCGCTCGAAAAACAAGCTCAGGCCAAGGACAGATTGGGCGATTCCATTTCCGGTTATATTCCGAGGGGACGTTCGTCGCAACACGGTGAAAATATGATTTCACGTTTTGAAGTAAGCAGTGATAGACAGTTGAGAATATCATCACACATCACGGGAATATCAAACAAATGTGTTTTCCATTCACGAATTGTGAGATTCCGCTTCGGTCAAACTGAAAATGCGATTCAATGTTGAGCCTAGTCTTCGTTTTACCGACGGTGGACGATACCATCAGGTCACCAGTTACGGGGGTTCGCAATGGAATTTTCCTTGGGACAGAACATTGATTTTTTTTCAACCGTCGCGCGGTAGGCGAAGCTCGCCCGCGCGCTGATTTTTTTTTTAAAGATTTAAGCATCGTACAGGGCGGATTTTTTCCCAGAAAAAAATAAACGTACATGTACGTTTATTTGGCACACGAGAGGATCTAATGCCAGGTATCGCTATTGTTCAGGTGTAGCCAGTACTACGTCAACAAACTCACCTGTTCGGGGAGTAATGCACGTGCTAGTGGTATGTTTATGTGTATATAGGCGCCGCTCGAATACTCTAGTTGTGAATATTTCTTAGAATTACAATGTTAGTATGTTAGTATGTATTAGTAGTTACATAATGTGGGTATAGATCGTTAACAGTAAATGTGATTGACTATAATAATCTAAGTACGAAAACGTACGTGATATTTAATATCCAAACTATCCATAAAAAAGATATTTTTGGTTTTGTACATATTCATTAAAGATAGATGTTAGGTTATAGTTATTATATATTGTAGCTTAATGGGCTGAAGGTTAACAAGCAACGCTGACCGCCTGGCACAGGGTCTAAAGCTGACGGTCTGATGAAGGTGATGGCGACAGTCTCTGCACATGCCGTTGCGAGGAAGCCATATACTTACCTGGTACAATGATGGTGATTGATACCTACACTGGAATTACAAATTCGTTTGATTGGTTGTTGTCAAAGTACATCAGCCTGGCTGTGAACTATCCATAGTTCTGGGTTTTTTTGTGAAGATCTGTGAGATCATTGTATTTGGTGCCATAAACTACTTTCCTGTCTGGATCGACGGGAGTCTTGTGTTGGAACTGTACGTGTGCCAGCTTACGGGGAATAAGGAATGTTCTAGCCCTTGCTACAACGACTGTAGATTGATTTGTGTAGAGTATTGTGTATAGGTATAGGAAATACGAATTTTATTGTAGATTTGTAGATATTTTCAGGGTATGAATCGTGGAGGTGGATGTAATTTGAGAAAGAGAGAGAGAGTGATAGCATTGTTTATGTAAAATAGTGTGAATAAATTGTATATATTGTAAGTAGTTGTTGGGTTCTGTATTGAAGAGTCTTTACAACGCTGATCGGTTCTCGTTACAACCTTCTCACATGTCTCCAAGTTGGAAGCATCTTTTATGTCTTTCAAGTCAAGTATATTTGTGTTCGCATTTCCCTCCTCAAACTCCTTACTATCTGCTACGTCCGGAATATAAGTCAGCATTACTTTCCCTTTTAAAGCTTGATTTGTTTTACAAAGTTTTTGCAGTTTTGTTCTCAGTTTACATCCCATAGGGATGTCAGCGGTGGACACTGTAAGGCAGTCTGACGTATAGACACTTCCATCCTCACAGTCACCTGTAAGTACATCAACACTACCCGCAGAAACAGCAGCTTCCTTGCACGTGTAAGTATGACATGTCTCTTGAATACACATTCTTCTTCGGTCGGTAATTGGCAAGTCTGTATCCACTGCTGAATTCAAACCTTGCTTATGGTTTCCGAGAGAAAGAATGTGCATGAAGTGATTCCTATCCTCAGTCTTCTCCTATTTTATAAGATTACTCTCTGTTTGTATCTTTTCAAAGAGTCGATTTCGAATTCCATCTCTGCAGGTCATCATCATGCCCCACTGTTTAAAATATCTGCTTCTAGCAAGAAGGCCACCAAAGTTCTAGATCTGCAACATTGTAGTCAGATAATTAATTTTGTTTAACGGGGGAGACATTTTCTGTTATCATTAATTCTTACTATTAACCAATGATACAGGCGATAATGACCTAACTGCTTTTATTACGTATGTATTTGTAATTGTTCACAAACGGGCACAGCTTCAAACTGTAATTTATCACGTTAGAGGAGGGACGATAATCGGCGCAATAAGCAGCTGTCATTTTTAGCAGAATATCAAGCCATCACAATTCTAGTTAATTCTAACTGAATATATCTTCGCAAAACTTTGAGTATGATAGATAAGCGGCAGTGCTCCAGATAATGCGCATACATGCGTTTTCCCGCATTATTTTAAAACGCACGTGAAAAATGTGTACGCATAAGATTTGTTAAGTTGCAAGTAAACACATAATGTACGACGACGAAGGATGATAGCAGGGGCATATAAAGAGTTATTAACAGAGAGACTATGCCTTAGAGTGATAACTGATCACAAAGATTTGCTTCCAGAATTCTCTAAGTTGTGCAAATTTGCACCACTTTGCTTTAATGTTTCAAGTGTAGAGTGTGAGAGAAGCTTTAGCTTGCAGAACAGGCTAAAGAGCAAGTACAGGTGCTCATTAAAGACAGAAGGTGTTGAAACACTGATAACTATACACATGTGTGAGAAAGAGCTTGAAGCATTTGACTTCACCAAACCTGTCAAGATGTGGTTTGCAAAGAAGAGAAGGCGTACAGCCAGGCTGATGCAGGGGCAAAAGAGGGCCCAGCTATCAGTAATTGATAACTCTTAGACACACTTTACTGTTCAAAAGTTAATTGTTACTTCAATTATTCAGTTATCAAGTTTTCAAGTTTTCTGTGAACAATCATCGTAGAAGATTTTACACTGAAAGGAGTTCTATCCTAAGTTTTAAGTGATTTAAATTTAGATTGCACAGAAGTACACCTAAATGACATTTTATACATAATGGTGGAGGTTTCTGGTTGAGAAGAATGTTTCATACAAGTACATGTTCAATTTATTGTGTTTTCAGCATTTGATTTTGGTTTTCAGTATTGAAGAGCAAAATCTGAGAGTACGTACTCATTGCATGCAAAAATTATCTGGAGCACTGTAAGCATTAGGGTTTAAAAAAAAAAATAAATAAAAGAAAGAAAAAAAAGACCGTTTTGTTTTCCAATATAATGTCAGGGACACATACAAAATAGTTTACTTGCGTGTTCTAAAAATACAACGAATTACATAGCATCTTGGTCAAATGATAATATAATGAGAATTATTTATTTAAACGATGTGCTGTATCTGTAGACAGGTTCGAAACGTCTTTTGACTCATGAGGAAGCATCGGAACTTATTAAACGTCTTCTCAGTCAAGAGGACAAAAATACCATCCACTCAGAATATTTTAACCGGACAAAATCACACGCCAAAATATTTGTATAGCAAATTATATTTGCAAGCAAAAAATTCGAAAATACATGTATGTTGTCTATTTTTTAATTGATAAACCTTTCCACTATTCAGTCTTCATTGATAACAATGAAACCCTTTGCGTTTTATTTGAAAATGTATTTTCAACATACAATTTGTACAAGCCCTGGTCATTTTTTGTGAAAATGCCATTTTGCGTGGTTGTTTGACCTGCACACCGATGTGTCCGAGTCCTGAGGAGTCGGAACTTCTCTGTAACGAGAAGGTGCGTTGAAAATATAGGCCATCGTCCCAAATCCTAGGATGTTTCCCAAATCACTGGTGACTACATATACATACCTTACCTGGTCGCATCTGTCCCAACTTATCGTCCGAACTCTCGAAAATTATTGTCTAAAATTAAAATAAGTGGTAGTATTCAATATACGGATGGAATTTTAATTTGATAGAAAGGAAACATAAAGATGTAACTTAATTATGGCTTCTAACAAATCATAACCAGTTCAATATAATATATAAACACATTATGATACAACACAGAAAGACAAAGTCATACTCCAACATGTTTACAAATGTTTTGACGATAACCGGAACAATGTCCATTATTTAGAACGCTCGTTCCTTCGGAAACCATCTAAGATTTACATAAGTTCAGCAGAAGCACATTAATGAGCATCATGTCCAGTCGTGTTGGAATACTGACAGAGTTTAATTATGAAGACCTTGAGGTAAGTGGTCACGTGTCGAGATTTATATTACCCCTACATTACAGTTTGGCAATAGTTTTGCTTTTCCTGAACTGCTTTAGTTTGCTTCTTTTGTGTTTCTTAGTACGACATACCGGTTTCACGTGCTTTTTCCGGTTCCTTTATTATGTTCACCTTTAGTTTGTACTTTCGTTTTGACTAGCGCTGTGACTATTATATCTCATAATATATTGCCGTTGTCAATTACAAAATTAGGTGGTTTGTAGAGTATTTTACACAGTATACGTCGTTAGAATTTACAATTTAGTAGAGCAATGAATACACAACAGACTTCATCCTATATTAACTTGTACAGTATGATGAAGACGACGATGGTGATGTATTGGTGTCATTCTGATGAGATGTACATATTTGTGTGTCTGAATCGTAGTATGTTACTTGTGCTGATGTAAATCCACGTGAAAAGTGATATAAACACCCCCCCCCCCCCCCCACAAAAAAAAAAAAAATAATAATAATAAAATAAAATAAAAATTTTCAAAAATGGAAATGTAGTTGTTAATCTATAAATGGTTTTGAAAATAATAGATTTTGATTACGTATTGATTATTTTGATTACGTATCTTACAAAGGCGGATTCTAAATGTATGTAGTCATATGAAGTTTCACGAGAACTGTATACTGCTTGTCCATTGACTTTTATGATCCAATACTGGCTTAAGAAACTTTACGAAAATTCAATAAAGGAATTTGATCCCAAAGTCTGCACAAAGAAATTTATCCATTTGTAATCCCATAATTATGGAAAATGTGATTCGGCATTTCAATCATATCAATCTTCTAATTATCTAAAATAATGATAAACCATTACGGCTAGAAAATAGGTCATCAAAAACCCAACATTAAAATTATGAGTATGTTCATCAAGCTGTAGAAGGGAAAATGGCACCAATTGAGGAGAAAAGAGAAACGTGAGAATGTCACTGTAACATGGTTATTGTAAAATAGTGGGGAACTCATAGCAGTAAGGGCTGATTAGGGACAGCGAAAGATGGCAGACATAACGGAAATAGATGAAATTTCCGGTCAAAGGCGATTTAAAATATCATAGACAATAAACACACGAGCCAGAGGAAAACGTCAACCCTCAAGATATGTCATTGTAGCTACGTACTGCCTGGATACAAAGAAGTATATAGAAACATTGGACGTTTGAAGAGCAGACTATTTTCCAATTTTCAAGGACGATCTGACCAAACACCAAGAGAGGACGAAAGGAAATTAAAACAAGAAACAAAAGAAAGACAGGACCGCGGCTGAACAGAGGATGGATTTATCTACAGGGTCCACAGACCAACCTAGAAAAGACAGATTATACGTGTAGAAACGAGACGATATCCCAGAATAAAATATACATGTATTTTGTAGTATTTTTGATATCTTTTTATAGAGGTAATTCGTCTTTGCTTGCGTCCATAAATGACTTTAAGTTAACCCAATTTACATTAGCCCCTATTGTTTGAGAAGGCGGGCTAAAAAGGGAAAAATATCAGAACCAGGAGATTACGGGCTGTAACCTATGTTTAAAACAAGTATTGAACAAATTGTAAGTTATTTTTACGGCTTGAGTTAATTTACAAAACAACTAACAATTGAAATTTGTCATTATGAGATCAACACAGCCTCATTTGCTGGTATTGGAAGAGTGAACAGACATTCTGGACATCAGTTATCAACTTGATGTGGTATATATGGATTTAATGAAACCATCTGCCTAAATTCCAGATTAAAACGTATCCTAAACAACTTCAGCGTTGTTGAATCAGGAAGCAATTTGTAAATTGGATAGAAAACTTTCTTAGTAATAAATACAGAGAGCATTAGATATAGCTAACGTCGAGTCTTCTAAAACGTACACTGTGTTACGTGATATTTGAAGAGGAAGAGAACTATTTCAATGTCGAACGGAGACATCCCTGTTGTTGACAGATCACACAAAATTGTATACAGAATTAAACACGATCTTGATAAACGGCCATTCCAGTCAGCAAATTGGTTCATAGTTCATACAAAAAATGTATGCTATTTTCAATAAACCAAATGAAACAAACGAAACAAAGTTTACGAAAGGACACCGAGGTGAGTAAATAAAACTGGAAATTACATTTTATGCTGATTATAAATAGATGAATTGTATGGTAGTGCTTTATTGGGAGAACTTTCATAGTGTTGAAACAATTATGAATCACTCTTGTTGGCCCGGACGGAAGCGAGCGTCTTACTGTGAGAGGAAACCAGATTAGCCAGGGGGAACATGATATGTCGTTTAAAGCTTCAGTTAGATCACACCTTTATATTTAATGTGTAAAATCCCGATCAGTTATTGTAAACGTGCAGAAAAGTTCAAATAGCGCAAGCATGGATTATTAGAACGTAAGCTTCACAACTAAACTTATAGCAGGATGAGAGTTATCTACCTTTATATCGTAATGTTGTCAATGTTAGTCATGTTAGTTTTATTAATGCTCACCAGTCCGATAATAATAATTAATGGTGACTCTGGTTTTACAGAGAAACGACCTTAAAGTGACCCTAACTGCTTTTATTTCGTTACAATACTCCGTTTCCCCCAGAAGTGTAAAGTGACATCTCTTGATTATCCTGTTTACTGTTTTAACTTTATATTAAACAAGCCTAGAGTTTGATTGCGTTTGGTTTTGACAGACTCTTTAAACAACCTTTATGGTGTCACGAATTCCCGCGAATACAGCAGTCAGAAGAAGGAAAAGAGTAATTTTGTTTTTTGTTGATGGAGTGGAATATAAACGATGTCAATAATGAAAACATAAACAGTCTGCTGACGACATATACAGTCTGCTGACGACATATACAGTCTGCTGACTACATAAACAGTCTGCTGACGACATAAACAGTCTGCTGACGACATATACAGTCTGCTGACGACATAAACATGTAAATTAATTAAGCAATACATGGGCACGATATCCAGATTTCGGGTTGGAGGGGACGCACATTTTCACTTAAAAATAACTTGTTATGTATTGTCGGACCAGTCCTTAAACATACAAATAAAAAAACCCAAACAAACAAACTGAAAGATAAAGTATGATAATGTTATGGTACATTTATTAAGTTTGAAATATAAAGGGACTGTTTTGGAACATTTCCTTCGGGATGGTAATGTCAATATAATAAACGTTCTTATAACACAACAAGAAGAGGTTACAGTATAACGTTTCGATGACTACGCGGTCACTTTCATCAGACAAGTCAGCTATGAAATGTCTGATGAAGGTGACCGTGTAGTCATCAAAACGTCACACTCTAATCTTCTACTGGTTGTGTTAGAAAATGGAGGTGACCGCGTAGTCATCAAAACGTTACACACTAATCTTCTACTGGTTATGTTGTAAGAAATTCTTTGAAGGAACTGTACTTCATATAAATTATACGATACCCCTACCCTCGGGACCCTTCCTACATACTTGATGGACATTATACAAGTTAACGATTGAATGAAAACTAAAAAATGCTGGTAATTAAATCATTTTGGTTTTGAATTAAGGATTTTGTCAATGAAATTAATTTGTCAACGTCTTATTTGGGATGTAGTCCCGATTTTTTTTTTTATTCTAATGCGAAATGAAGAGCCGTATTCTGTAGGACTATACATGGTGTGATAATATCATTTTAGTTTAATATTCTTTTAGATAATGATCACTTGGCAAATGTTGAAGTAGTTTGACGTTTTACAACACTTGTTTGATAATTTCTATAAGTTATAACTATAGATATCGTGTAAGATCCTTGATTACAAATTTCCACCTGAACTTTGGCCATTTTGATCGTCCATAACTTCCTTCCTGCCTTTTTTTACCGTGTGTGATGGTTGGAGGTGAATACTATACTCCGCCTAAGTGTTCTATTCTCTATCTTATCGTGACTCTGTTGTCTTTCTGTAAATTCTGTGTTTTACTTTTCCTACATCACAAGTAGTATGTAGCTTAAAAGTCTTCTACACTCTATCCAGGTGAAGGTCTGTCAAGCAGCAATGTTTTCTTTCGTTATATCCCGAGTGATGTGTGCCTTTTATCCAATCATTTAAAGAGACAAATTACATGGAAACAGAACTGACTTTGAACTCTTTCCACAATTACCCACTACAACGTTATTTTCCCCCAAGAAATTGGCTATAACGACGTTGATCACTTTTCAGGGAGCTTGGTTTCTGTGTGGTAATGCTCCAACTTACATTCTCCCAACAACTCTTTTTTTGCTAGAATACAATGGCGTTATCACAGATTCTCGATACATGCTGTTTCTACAATGTAAAACATTAAGTAAGCCTTTGTCATTGTACAGTTGTGGTACCCGTACTACCGACTACGAGAGGAAGGATATGACACGTTTACCATAGGACCAGAGAAAGGCAAAACTTACAACTCTAAACACGGCTATCCTTGTAAGGCAGAGGAAGGAATCGACGATGTTAGAGCGGAGGTAATGACGCTATTGTATCAGGCTGCAGTAACACGGCCGGGTTCTATTGAGTTCTTATGTGCCTTTTAAAGTTTTAGAATGCGCACAGTTGTCAAATAATTTGTTAAATAATATTCCATTCGCCGTTACGTAAGATTTGCGTGCCTGATAGTGTTGTTTTATACTTTTTACTCTGAAGATATGAAGACAGACAGAAAAAATGATAAAACAAATCATCAAAATATTACATGTTTTGAGATGTTGTGTCATCTAGGTATAGATGACGATCTACTGATAAAGGAAACAGAGGATGGTTTTCCTCGGATGTGTACTCTGCATGCTTTTTCTTTTAACAAATAGGAAGGGTTTGTTATTATTTAGACTCATATTTGTGTTGTAGGAGTTAGCTGGTCTTATCATTCCCGGAGGTTTCGCACCCGACTACTGGAGGAGAGACAAAAGATTTCTAGATCTCGTAAAGACTATATATCAGTCAGGTAATGTTGTAATCCTTTTGTGGTCCTTCCTTCTGCTGTCAAAACACAGTTTTAGCGATGATAAACGAATAGCGTAAACATTGGTGATGAACGAGAGATGTCTTTATTAGGAGTACTTTTCTAAAAATACATTCACTTTCACTTTTCTAATATTCAAATCGTCCTTCGTCTGTCCGACTGTCCTTACACAGTTTTTACTTTATCTGTGTTTAGAGACGGACCGGATGATTCATTTTCATTTTCCTCTTGGACCCTAGTTTTGCATTGATAATTTTGGGACTAATTAGAAAAATAAAATGGCCGACAGGGGACTTTCTTGGATTTCGAATGGTTGCAGATCGTTATCAAATGGCTGAGAGATGACCATCTTGGATTGTGACAATTAAGGCTTTCCATTGCTATTACTTCAGTAGTCCTGAATAGAAAGATACATGTAGCTGGTGATGAGTGGGTTCATGTAACTCTGTCCCAAACAAGCTTTAGAAAATTTGTTTTCAAATAGTTTATTTTTCATGGACACTTGATTCCGTGGATAAATATAACACAATAAGTCTAGTTATACTGATTTAGCAGTTTGTGGATCAATATAACACAATAAGTCTAGTTATACTGATTTAGCAGTTTGTGGATAACTATAACACAATAAGTCTAGTTATACTGATTTAGCAGTTTGTGGATAACTATAACACAATAAGTCTAGTTATACTGATATAGCAGTTTGTGGATAACTATAACACAATAAGTCTAGTTATACTGATATAGCAGTTTGTGGATCAATATAACACAATAAGTCTAGTTATACTGATATAGCAGTTTGTGGATCAATATAACACAATAAGTCTAGTTATACTGATATAGCAGTTTGTGGATCAATATAACACAATAAGTCTAGTTATACTGATTTAGCAGTTTGTGGATAAATATAACACAATAAGTCTAGTTATACTGATTTAGCAGTTTGTGGATCAATATAACACAATAAGTCTAGTTATACTGATTTAGCAGTTTGTGGATAACTATAACACAATAAGTCTAGTTATACTGAGCTAGCAGTTTGTGGATCAATATAACACAATAAGTCTAGTTATACTGATTTAGCAGTTTGTGGATAAATATAACACAATAAGTCTAGTTATACTGAGCTAGCAGTTTGTGGACATATGGATTCTAAGATAGATTTATGAACGAAATCAACGAATATGAATATCACAAGGAAATTAATGGCTTTTATACAAATTCATTTTTTCAAGATTTGACACGTCATGAATATTAGTAATAGGACACAGAGATGTTCAGTATCACATATATGAAAAGCACAGAATAAAGTCATTGCATATCAATCATTTTATTTATTGCACAATTAAACATTAGTGATGTATTGTATCATTAGTGATGTATTGGTGTGTTGTATCATTAATGATGTGTTGGTGTGTTGTATCATTAGTGATGTATTGATGTGTTGTATCATTAGTGATGTATTGGTGTGTTGTATCATTAGTGATGTGTTGGTGTGTTGTATCATTAGTGATGTATTGGTGTGTTGTATCATTAGTGATGTATTGATGTGTTGTATCATTAGTGATGTATTGGTGTGTTGTATCATTAATGATGTGTTGTATCATTAGTGATGTATTGATGTGTTGTATCATTAGTGATGTATTGGTGTGTTGTATCATTAGTGATGTATTGATGTGTTGTATCATTAGTGATGTATTGATGTGTTGTATCATTAGTGATGTGTTGTATCATTAGTGATGTATTGATGTGTTGTATCATTAGTGATGTATTGATGTGTTGTATCATTAGTGATGTATTGGTGTGTTGTATCATTAGTGATGTATTGATGTGTTGTATCATTAGTGATGTATTGGTGTGTTGTATCATTAGTGATGTGTTGTATCTGTATCATTAGTGATGTATTGATGTGTTGTATCATTAGTGATGTATTGGTGTGTTGTATCATTAATGATGTGTTATATCATTAGTGATGTGTTGTATCATTAGTGATGTATTGGTGTGTTGTATCATTAATGATGTGTTGTATCATTAGTGATGTATTGGTGTGTTGTATCATTAGTGATGTATTGGTGTGTTGTATCATTAGTGATGTGTTGTATCATTAGTGATGTGTTAGTGTGTTGTATCATTAGTGATGTATTGGTGTGTTGTATCATTAGTGATGTATTGGTGTGTTGTATCATTAGTGATGTATTGATGTGTTGTATCATTAGTGATGTATTGGTGTGTTTTGTCATTAGTGATGTATTGGTGTGTTGTATCATTAGTGATATATTGGTGTGTTGTATCATTAGTGATGTATTGGTGTGTTGTATCATTAGTGATGTATTGGTGTGTTTTGTCATTAGTGATGTGTTAGTGTGTTGTATCATTAGTGATGTATTGGTGTGTTGTATCATTAGTGATGTGTTGTATCATTAGTGATGTGTTGTGATGTGTTGTATCATTAGTGATGTATTGGTGTGTTGTATCATTAGTGATGTATTGGTGTGTTGTATCATTAGTGATGTGTTGTATCATTAGTGATGTGTTGGTGTGTTGTATCATTAGTGATGTATTGGTGTGTTGTATCATTAGTGATGTGTTGTATCATTAGTGATGTGTTGTATCATTAGTGATGTATTGGTGTGTTGTATCATTAGTGATGTGTTGTATCATTAGTGATGTATTGGTGTGTTGTATCATTAGTGATGTGTTGTATCATTAGTGATGTGTTGTATCATTAGTGATGTATTGGTGTGTTGTATCATTAGTGATGTATTGGTGTGTTGTATCATTAGTGATGTATTGGTGTGTTGTATCATTAGTGATGTGTTGTATCATTAGTGATGTATTGGTCTGTTGTATCATTAGTGATGTGTTTTGTCATTAGTGATGTATTGTTGTGTTGTATCATTAGTGATGTATTGGTGTGTTGTATCATTAGTGATGTGTTTTGTCATTAGTGATGTATTGGTGTGTTGTATCATTAGTGATGTATTGATGTGTTGTATCATTAATGATGTATTGATGTGTTGTATCATTAGTGATGTATTGGTGTGTTGTATCATTAGTGATGTATTGGTGTGTTGTATCATTAGTGATGTATTGATGTGTTGTATCATTAGTGATGTATTGATGTGTTGTATCATTAATGATGTATTGATGTGTTGTATCATTAGTGATGTATTGGTGTGTTGTATCATTGATGATGTGTTGGTGTGTTGTATCGTTAGTGATGTGTTGTATCATTAGTGATGTATTGATGTGTAATGTTGTGTATGTATAAGTTGATCTATAGTAAAGGACAGATATCAATTCAGGATGTTCTACCTGACCTTATGATAACTACTTCTACCTGTCCATAGTTCAAGTTTACGAAAGGTCAATGAGCGGGCAAAAGTCACTGGCCCAGTGAACTTGGCATAAACACACAGGTACTGGGTGTATCTTATTTATAGGCGTCTCCCCGTTCGCCTGTCAAAACACAGGGTACATAACTAAAACATTGCTCAGTCCCTCCTCTCGAGACTAGGTAGTTTTACACTTATTTTCAATGTAAGATAGTAAGGTTACATCGTTGGAGATGTTAATTTGTCTCTCCTAATATATATGTGTTCTCTATTATGTGACGCAATTATGATCATACAAGTCGTTATCATTTGACCAGACAAGTGATATGATGGCACCATATCTAACATAAGATACATTCCTATATATTTACATTCTATGTATCTATGACTTTGTGATAAATCCGTTTTAATCAGCATACTACCCACTTAAGTGTCAATACATTTTAGATCATAACACAATATCAACGTTTTAAATGTCGCCTAGCATTGCACACATAATAGCTTTACTAAAACATTAAGATGTCGCCTGACATAACACACATAATAGCTTCACTACAGCATTAAAGTATCGCCTTATATTACACACATAATAGCTTTACTACAGCATCACGATGTCGCCTTATATTACACACATAATAGCTTTACTACAGCATTAAAGTATCGCCTTATATTACACACATAATAGCTTTACTACAGCATCACGATGTCGCCTTACATTACACACATAATAGCTTTACTACAGCATTAAAGTATCGCCTTATATTACACACATAATAGCTTTACTACAGCATCACGATGTCGCCTTACATTACACACATAATAGCTTTACTAAAACATTAAGATGTCGCCTTACATTACACACATAATAGCTTTACTAATCAATTACAGCAGATGTCGCCTTATATTACACACATAATAGCTTTACTACAGCATCACGATGTCGCCTTACATTACACACATAATAGCTTTACTACAACATCACGATGTCGCCTTACATTACACACATAATAGCTTTACTAAAACATTAAGATGTCGCCTGACATACACACATAATAGCTTCACTACAGCATCACGATGTCGCCTTATATTATACACATAATAGCTTTAGTACAGCATCACGATGTCGCCTTACATTACACACATGATATCTTGACTAAAACATTAAGATGTCGCCTTACATTACACACATAATAGCTTTACTAAAACATTAAGATGTCGCCTTACGTTACACACATAATAGCTTTACTACAGCATCACGATGTCGCCTGACATACACACATAATTGCTTTACTAAAACATTAAGATGTCGCCTTACATTACACACATAATAGCTTTACTACAGCATCACGATGTCGCCTGACATAACACACATAATTGCTTTACTAAAACATTAAGATGTCGCCTTACATTACACACATAATTGCTTTACTAAAACATTAAGATTTCGCCTTACATTACATACATAATAGCTTTACTAAAGCATTAAGATGTCGCCTTACATTACACACATAATAGCTTTACTAAAACATCACGATGTCGCCTGAAATAACACACATAGTATCTTGACTAAAGCATTAAGATGTCGCCTTACATTACACACATCATATCTTTACTAAAGCAATGAGGTGTTAAGGATTTCCAAAATCTTCC